AAACCAAACCCAAACCAAACCCCATATTTTCCAAGTTTTTATTTTAATTCTTAATATAAGTTACAAGGCAAGCAATCAAACTGTATATATAGCCTTCAAGAATTAGAACAAAACTATAAGAATATTTCATTTGATATACATATATTGGTTGTGGTATATTTTAATTTCACTTTGGTTTATATCAATTAATAAAGAGTAGTATCATCTTTATTACTGTCCCCCCTCCCCCCATTATTAAAATACCTAAATTTCCCAATAGTCGATTCGAAATCCTGAACTGTTAAAGGGAGAAAAGAAAAGAATTAAGAGCTCTGGCTGAAAAAATTAAAAGAAAAAAAAAATTTTTTAATAATTAACATTCACCAGTTGACTAATTTCGAATTTAATAAGAAGGTACCTGACTTCAATATTCTAACAACGATTTTAAACAAGTGTCACCTTTATTGGTTTTTGCTAATTACACCAATCATTGAGTAATAACTTAATATTAGTTAATATCTCTGGATTTAATAATCTTTAATTGAAAGGAAAAGAGAAAAAAAGCATTCTTTGACTTTTTGATTAAGGAAAATTAATTCTATCAAGACTGAATATCAGAGGACTTTTTCACATTGTGTTACTTTAATTGATACGTTCCCCATTTTTTTTTATCTTATAACCCTTCACGTCATAATTTTACTCAATAATGCCTAATTTGCTATCGAGAAATCCATTTCATAGTAATCACCACCAACACCACCACCAACCAAATTCATCTGGTGAAAGAGATCAAAGCAGTATCAATCCTAGAGATAGCCCCGATCCTGCATCTCCTCCTGCCTTGATAAAGAGCTCAAAATCTTTTTTGAATTTTATGAGCAGAGGTCATAGTAATGATTCATTGAGAAGCGAAAAATCATCAGATTCGATTAATTCGTCAAGTCCAATACACCAACATCATAATCATCATAGTCATCATCATCAGGTATTGAATAATAATAATAGTAATGGTAACATGACAATGCATCAAAACCATGCCATCCATGATACTTTATCACCAGCTTCACCCAAACCTAGTCATTCAATGGCTGAATTGAAAAGATTTTTTAGACCTTCTTTACCGAAAAAGAAATCATCAAATCTATCTTCACAATCTCATTCATCAAAACAATCTTCAATAATTGATACTTCCCTTTACGGAAGCCATAATAAGATTCACCAACAAGTTAAACAAAAGGATTACGGTCATACTCAATCTGCAATCCCACCAACTTCAGATTCTACTTTATCATTGTCAAACAAGTTCAACATCTATCATGATGATTCTATCTTAGCCCAAAAATATGGTAAATTGGGTAAATTATTAGGTTCTGGTGCTGGTGGTTCCGTTAAAATTTTAACCAGACCAAGTGATGGTGCTACTTTTGCAGTTAAAGAATTTAGACCAAGAAAACCAAATGAATCTGTAAAAGAATATGCCAAAAAGTGTACAGCTGAATTTTTAATTGGTTCTACTTTACACCATCCTAATATCATCGAGACTTTAGATATTTTCTCAGATTCGAAACAAAATAAATACTTCGAAGTGATGCAATATTGTCCAATTGATTTCTTTGCGGTTGTTATGACTGGTAAGATGAGTCGTGGTGAAATTAATTGTTGTATCAAGCAAATTTCAACAGGTGTTAGATTTTTGCACTCTAAAGGTTTAGCTCACAGAGATTTAAAACTAGATAATTGTGTCATGACCTCACAAGGTATTGTGAAATTAATCGATTTTGGTAGTGCTGTTGTCTTTAAATATCCTTTTGAAAATCAAATTACAATGGCCCATGGTATAGTTGGTAGTGATCCTTATCTAGCACCAGAAGTTATCACTTCAACAAAATCTTATGATCCACAATTTGTTGATGTTTGGTCCATCGGTATTATTTACTGTTGTTTAATGTTGAAGAGATTTCCTTGGAAAGCACCACGTCAAGATACTGACGAAAACTTCAGATTATTTTGTTTACCTGATGATATTGAACACGACTACGTTGAATCTGCTAAACATAATGAAATAATCATTCAACAGAGATTAAAGAAGAGACAGGAAATGAAGGCCGCTGCCCAAATTGAAGTAGAGAATGAAAAAGAAAATAAAGACAATCTTACTCCAAAAGAAGAACAAAATAATGAACCCCAACAAAAGGGAAATGGTGATCAACCAGAAATTAATAATGAACCAAAAGTTATATCTGATGGCAAGAAAGCCGATAATGAAAATAATGAAACCAAAACTTCTAATGAATACACTAATGGTGGTACTAGCAGTAACCCAGTTGAAAAGAATGAACCAAAAGTGATTGATTCTAACAAAGCAGTTAAACCAGTGTCTGCTCCAACTTCTACTGAACAACATCACAATGAAGGTACAGATCTAAAATCTGTTAGTTCCAGAGCAAGACATCATAAATCAGTAATTCACGGTCCTTACCGTTTATTACGTCTATTACCACATGCATCTAGACCTATTTTGTCTCAGATTTTACAAATAGATCCATCTAATAGAGCTACATTAGATGATGTTCTTGAAGATGAATGGTTTAAGAACATCCCATGCTGTACAATAGACAACAAGAACAATGTCATACATGCTCCTGGTCACCATCACACCTTAGTTGATGAAGAAAATGCGCATTTAGAAGCATACAAACAATAATAAATATGAAATCAATGTCTCATTTTTTTTAAAGAAAAGTATACGTACAATAATAAAACGAATCAAGTTTCATCATGCCTGCCGTGTGTGTCATTTAATAAAATCAGAATCATGAAGAATTCCTCTACGATTATCTTTTCCTGGCATGGTTAATGTCTAATAATTAAAAATAACTAAAAACCAAATACCTTGCCTTCATACAAAGGTGATTATAATATAAGCATTATTGGTGTCTATTCTTATTTTAATAAAATTAATCTCATTTTTTTTTTCATTTCTTCACATCAATGTCATCATATCAATTGATTATTTTCAGAACTTCATTTCTCAAATTAAATTTCAACATTAATAATTATTATTATTTTTATCATTACTTCTAATTCCAATTTATAACATACTTTTTTTAAAAAACTAGATTATTAAACTATTTTAATAATTAATAAATACTATACTAATTAACTTCTAAAATGTATCTATAATTAAAAACATTGTCAAAACAATGATCTTATCAATACTTGAACAAATATTACATTCTTCATATTTCGAACTTGTTATTACTGTCGTTTACGTCATTTTTTTAAAAAAAATTACAGGTTAATATGCAATTTTTGGTGTTAAACAGCCCATTCATGAAATATTTCATGATTTTAGTAAGAAACAACCGCAGGATGCACTAATCAAAATCGTAATGAAATAAAATGATGCACTTCAAAACTTGTTTGAAGTTAAATCATGTTAACTAACTGATTATAAAGGACTTTAAGTTAAGTTAATTTAACTTTAATACGAGAATTGTTCTTATCCTAGGCTATTTAGCGAGTTTGACAAGGAGTTTATCAGTTTTACAAGTAGTTTTGGTTTTGATTTGGTAGTTACATTGGTTACCAAATTTGTTTAATATGGTTTTGGATAACTCAAACTCTAGATATGATAGATTACCCACCAATGACCAAATTGAATATGAAAATGATGCAGATAGGATTAATCTAGACAATGGATATCCATCTGTTCCTCCAACTTATGACGATTCAAGAGGACTTTCTGAAGAAATGGAGTTTTTTGAAGGTAATGATCATAATCAGCATTGGATTTCTACCACTCATCTGAATGATATGTTAGTAATAGTAAAAGAAAAAATTATTGAACCACTAGATGTGATGTTGCGGATACTCTCTGATCAATTGGATATGCAATTGGGAAAAATCGGTAATCCATTGATATTAAGAAGATTTTTTTATATATTCTTCATGTCTCTTATTACTTATTCTGTGATATCGAGTGGCTATCTACCTAACGATAGCATACGAGGTTCAAGAGGAATGTTTTCAGATCACAAAACATTGTTGCAATATGCAAAAGATTCCATTGATTTAGCAAAGATAGAGAGAGATTTGGAGTATCTCAGTAGCATGCCTCATATGTCTGGTACAAGAGGTGATACGTTGATAAAAAATTACATTTTAGAATCATTTGAAAACAATGGTCTAAAGTTGGTAAAAGAATATATATATGGTGCATATGCTACTTATCCTGATTCATCAAAGCTTATACTATACCCAAATGAACCGGATAAGAAATCAATTAATATTGAATTGGGTCCAGATAATTTTAACCCAATGGCAACTGGTGGTGAAGTTTCCATGGCATCTGTTATTTATGGGAATAAAGGTACAATGGAAGATTTAAAATCTTTGGAAGAAGCTGGTCTATTGAATGAAGATTTTGTACTCCTAGTAGATTATGGGAAAGTTATCAGTGATCAGATACTAATAGCCGAAAAATTTGGAGCTAAAGCTATACTGTTCATTTCAGATCACACAGACAATGATAAAGATATTGTACAAATGAAATCTGTAGCTATTCCAAATTATTGGGCAGGTGATGCATTTTCGCCAGGGTGGGATAGGACATCTTCAGATGCTTCAATTGCGCTGAGCGATTCAAAAACTCTTCCAAAAATCCCAACTTTGCCAATTTCATATAACACAGCTCAACAAATATTTAAATATTTGAGCACTGATGGTTTAAAATTCAATAATGATATGTTCAGCGGCAAGATCGGTGATTTAAAAAGTGATATCCAAGTGAAAGTACATAAAAGGGAACGACAACCAACGTTTGATATCGTTGGTAAAATAGAAGGAAGAGAACAGACTGATAAAGCAATTGTGATTTGTGCTTCCAGAGATTCTGCCAGTAATGGGTTCACCTACCCTGTATTTGGTACGGCTATGATGCTTTCCTTATTAGAATTGTTTCAACAAATAAAGTATAAATATGATTGGAAACCACTAAGAAATATTTATTTCATTTCATTTGGTGGTTCTGAATTTAATTATGCAGGAGCTACCGAATTATTAGAACAACGATTGAATGCATTGAAGGATGAAGTGTATGCTGTTGTAGATATCAGTCAACTAGGTGTACCTGATAGTGAGCATGGTATTGATATTGAAACACATCCATTATTACAAAAGTTTTTTGAACTTGATATTTTCAAAAAGAACTTTAAGGTGAATGTTAGTAACGTTAAGAGTTTCGGAGATTGGATACCATTCCTGGCTAATGGTATCCCTGTCTCTATAATTTCTACACCGAATGTCAGAAATCGAATACTACCAATAGCATCAAGCATGGATACATACGTAAATGGAAAGGAAATCTTCCATGATAAAGAAAAACGGACGCAAGTAGTAAATGTTTTATATGAAGCATTACTAATATCGTTAAATTTGATAGATAAACCGCTGATTCCCTTTGATATTTTACATTATGTTAATACTATTGATGACCTAAAGAAAGATATTGAAGGTAATTTTTCTCATAAATTAAACTTTAATGAAATTATTAGAGGAATGTTACTTTGGAAATCTATTGGTAAAAAATGGACATCTTGGATGAAAGCCTGGGATAATATAGTAATGTCTCATGACCAGGGGTTAGAGCCTTCATTATTATCAGTCCATCGTTGGACTTGGAATAAAAAACTATCCAACATAGGAAGACGCCAGTGTAAACCTGGGGGTATTCCAGGGAGAAGTTTTTATAAAAATGTTTTATTTGGTCCAGCATTGTTTTATGATAAAGAGAGTGAACATAATTGGAGTTATCCGAGCGTGAGAGATGCTATATTCAACGAAGATTGGGATGAAGCTCAAAGACAGATTAATTTAGTAGGCCAAGTATTGAAGGATTCTGCTAAGTTATTTATTGAGGAGAATAATGACGTAGGCTACTGATTGAGACATATTTTATAAATAATTAATAACTAGATAATGATCAAATATTATAATATGTACTTACGACTCTTTTAATTCACACTTAAAATTTATCTCGGTGACTATATTTAAATATAATTAAATATGTTGAAATATAATTAAATATGTTGAAATATTTGGTCTATATATTTATTTGAAATGAATTTTCTCTAAAGTTCAGTCCTCCCTCATTTTAATTTCGAATATGAAATTAGAACATTATCTGGACGTTTCCTGCTTTTAAAACCTTTAGGTTTTCTAAAAAAGCCTCTACCTGTTTTGATTCTCTTCTTGTTATTAAAATCAGTTATAATCTCTGGTTCTTGGCAGCTTTCTTCTATAATATAATGTTCGACCTCAAATATTTTAGATTTTACCTCATTTATGACATTATCAATTTCCACTAATGAATTGTGGATAATTTTCTCAATTGGTGATTTCTTTTCTGGAGGTTCTGGAATACAATTTAGTTGGCATAACTCTGGCTCTTTAATAAACTGTACAAAATTTGTCACTGGAACTTCAGGGTCTTGTTGTACTGGCGAATCTTTTACTTCTTTCTTGAGTAATGACGGGAAATCTTTGATTCTGAGAGATAAAGAAGGTCCAAATTCCAAGAATTCTGGTGATTTCTCCGTTCTCTTTTCTTTAATTGGGATGTTTAATTGCTTGATAATATTTCTACCATGAAATACAACTTTGATGTCAGCATCTTCAGAAGCGATTTTTCTAATTGAGGCTACATTACTTGCACATTGAAATTCGTTTAAATGATTGCAATTATTTTGAACCATTCTGATAGGTTCATCTCCAGTTGTTCCCTTGACCATTGTTTCGTTATAGTAATGTTTTAATTTATACCTTCTTCTACTTAATAAAAGTCTTGAAAGTGAATTTCTCCTTAGAACGTGCATTTTAGGAGAATTTGAACAACCTTCTGGGAAAGAGGCAATCAATAAAGGTTTTTTAAAATTAGCTTTACTATCAAGCCCAGATGGGATATTAATCATATTCTCTGCATGTGGACTTGAAACGGGACTAATATCTTGGCCAGAATTAATTAAATTATTATCTGCTATACCTTTTTTTAACTTATGAAGTTTATATACATGCCAACGTCTCTTTAATCTGGTACATGAATATAATTGCCTGACCTTAATAATAGCAATACTCAAAGCTTTTGATTTTGAATTTCTTAAAGGTGGTGGTGCCCTCATCTTTTGAATGGGGAGGTGGGAATTAATAAAATTGATCTTTGCAATAAGTAATAATCAGCAATAGTGATACTCTCTGGATATCCTTTCTTCTTTGGTTTTTGAATATATCTATCCCAATTGCTAAATTATTCATTATGTTTTTTTTTGCCATTTATCTCATCTTTTATTTAGAGTTTTATAATGGGATTCTGTTTCACCTAACCTTTAATCAAAGGCTAATTATTTTGTAACTGTGTGACACAGACATTTTCATTACAATACCTAAAACCAAAAGAACAGAGAAGAGATAACAGAAAATATCTTTGGTAGTTACATATATTTATTCAGATTGGTTTTGAGTTGTGATATTGAAAACTAATAACTTTAAAATGTAAACTGGTATAATACTTTAACGAACGTTACATAATTGAATAAAAAGAGTCGATTGACTATACGTATCTTCAAAAATATAATATCATATAGATATAGAAAGAAATATTAATCATTTCTATATCTATCACATTATTTATTATGATGGTATAGAATCCCATAATTGAATTACCTAGTACGCAACAATAGTATGCTTGTTTGAGATTCCCCACAGGTATGATTTTGCCTTTAAGATCTACAATTCCTACTCAAGATTAACCCTACTAATGGGATTTTTTGAAGACTAAAATGGATTTCTAAAATATTAATTGATTACTTATTATTAAATTCATAAATTCAATATTAATATTATCAAAGTAAGTTTATTAATTACTGTTTCATTATATAGCAAATCTTGGGATTTTTGCTATATCTTCACTAATTACTGACGCTGACATTGATAATATATCACGTGTGTATCATGGCATACGTGTATTTATGATCATAATATACGATGTGTCAGTTTCTTTAAGATACAAAATGAAGAAAAAAGACCACATTTAATTTAAAGGCCATTTTAGAATTATTGAAACTTTAATGTAAGTTTTATATTAAAGAACTGTATCAATTGAAGGTTAATAATTGGGTATACAAGGTATATACAAGAACAATTTGATATCCAACTTTGACACACGGTAGTAAGTGTGTATAGTTTGGTTTTTCAGCAAATTCTAATCGAGTTTTTGGTGGTAGCACAGAGGTTTTTTGTTGTTGTTTTTGGTTATATTATAATAAATCTTAAGAGTATAACTTTAGCATTGATTAGGGAAATATATCAATACACTTGGGGAGAATATGCCACAGAATTACGATTATGACGAAGGTAGTGAAACCTGGCCATTTTTTGTTTTAACTATGGTCTTGGCGGTTTTGTTACCTATGACGTTTATTCAGTTGAAAAAATTGTTTAGAAATAAATCAGATGAAGAAATTGAACTAGAGAAGGTCAATAAAACTGATAAATTGAGTTCTATTAGTGATCTATTAACTAATAAGAAAATAAATAAGTTTCGTTCTAAATTCGAAAGTAAAACTTCAAATTTATTCAATTGGACTAATTTGTTTATTTGTGTTGGTTGGTTAGTCGTTGCTATGTTGGTTCAAGTCATCAGCAACAATGATAAGATTAGAGAAGCTGCAATTGGTTCTTTTGATCCTTACGATTTACTGGGTGTTTCTGTGACTGCTAGTGATAAGGAAATCAAATCTGCTTATAGAAAATTATCTTTGAAATTCCACCCTGATAAGGTTGCTAAAGACATTACTGAAGAGGAAAAAAATTCTTTGGAAGAGATGTATGTTCAAATTTCAAAAGCCTACGAAGCTTTAACAGATGAATTGGTCAAGCAAAATTATTTAATGTACGGTCATCCTGATGGTCCACAATCTCAAACTCATGGTATTGCTTTGCCAAGTTTCTTAGTTAACGGCCTAGTCACTCCAATTGTTGTTATATTCTATGTCCTTGTTTTAAGTTTAGTATTACCTTACTTGGTTAGTAAATGGTGGTCAAAGACTCAATCTTATACAAGAAAGGGTATCCATATTAAAACTGCTTCTCATTTCGTTGATAGAATGATCAATTATAAACCATCCGAAATCGTTACTGTTGATTTGATCATTGAATGGTTATCTCACGCAGAAGAATTTAAATTGTTATTCCCAAGTCTGAACTCTTCAGATTTTAAAAGATTATTGTACTCCCATATTAATAGAACTTCTGTAAAGGATTCTGAAGAGGATATCAAATTTAGAATTGTAGCCAAGTGTCACAGGTTATTGAATGGTTTATTGGATATTGCATGTGGTTTCAGAAATTTAGAAATTGCTATGGCTTCTTTAGATACTTTCAAATGTATCGTTCAAGCTATTCCAAATACTGAATATTCTGAAATTTTACAATTACCACATGTTGATAAGGAGCATTTCATTGATAATTCAGAAGGTATTCATACTTTAGGTAAATTATTCACTTACTCTGACGAAAAAATTGGTAAAATATTGGGTGTTAAAGATGAACAACAATTAAAAGAAACTTTATCTGTTGCTTCACACCTTCCAATTTTAAAGGTTATTAGAGCTGAATTTAAAGTTCCTGGTGAAAAATTTGTTGTTACTTCCTCTGTCCCTCATTTGAATTTAAAATTATTAGTCCGTTCCGCTAAGCACAAATATATCCCAATAGACAAGTTTACAGATGAATTATTAGCAGAAGAAGAAGATTTTGAAAGTCAAAGAGACCCATTTGCAATGGTTCTCGAGCAACCATTATTGCCATATTCCTATGCTCCATATTTTCCAACAAAAAGAGTCAACAACTGGTATTGTTTGGTCAGTCTACAAAAGGATAACAAGATTATTCAAACTCCAGTTCCTGTGGAGAGATTATCCTTTAGAAATTTGGATAAAGATTTAGATAAGAGATTGATAAAGGAATTAGATGATAAGAATTTTGATCCAAGTGAATGGGAAATCGGTACCTTTAAAGTTCCTTTAGGTCAACCAGCACCAAAAGAAAAGGGAGATGCATACTTTAGAATTGTTCTAAAATCTACAGATTATTTTGGAAGTGATCTAGACTTCACTGTTGAAATGAAAGTTCGTGACCCAGTTGAAGAAAAAGTCGAAGAAGTCTATTCTGAAGAAGATGAAGATGAAGATTCCGAAGATTCCGAAGATGAGGATGAATCTGATGAAGAAGATGAATCTGACTCCGATTATACTGACATCGACACTGATACTGAAGATGAAGATGAAGATGAATCAAATGAAAAGAAATAAGATTAAGATTAACACTGAAGGCATTATATTAAATTTGTAATTGAAATAGAACTTCTTTATAAACGTTATGTATATTATTTGTAGAAAGTCATTGATCAAAATAAAATTACATATTTTAAAGTTGCTATAAATTGAAATAACTTTCATGTATGTATGTATATATATATTAATTAGGAAATTTAAAGAAGTGGCCGTTGGAGAGTGAAACTATATAATGTTAGCTTCATACATTTTTCTTTAATATATATGCATCTGGTGAACCTGTTGTATCTTTATAATAACCTTTTAATATATCACCCTCTCTCTTAAAATCATTCTTTTCATACCAAGTAATAGCGTTAGTGTTATCAACAGCTACATGGATGTATATGCTATGCTGATAAGATCTTTTACACTCATCTTCAATATACTGTAATAAAATTTTGCCTATACCTTTATTTTGATAATGTTCAAGTACAGTGATAAATTCTATATATATTCCTGTGGATGAAATACGACTTTTAGAATTTTGAATCAATTTAGCTTTAATTGATCCTACTGGTATCTCATTGAAATATGCTATCTTACTATAAAATGTACCCCTATCAGAGGTCAACACTTCATTGAAAAAGGTATCTGGGTATGTTATTGGAAGTGTCGAATTTACAATTATCGCTAAGGTACCAACATTATTGGCATTGACATTACCCAACGTAATATTATTATAACTCATTTAATCTAATAACCCTGATATTACACTCTTCACAAGATCTTGATCGATTATTGAAACAATTGTGTACAACAGAATTTTGGTTTCTTATATTGTTTTTATCTGATCTGATCGCATCTCATCTCATCGCATCTGATCTTGAATTTTTCAAGCCTTTAAATGTAGCCAATAAATATAAATTGATATACAGAAGAGTTAAATATTTAACAAAGGATTGAAACGAATGGAGTTTATTTAATGGATAGTTTTATAAGTATATACCTTGATTGGGCATAGTTTTATCACAGTAAATATGATGTTACTTTTGCGAAGACAGGTCTTCGATTGTGGGACTTCTGGAAATATAGCGTATATTAGAAGATATTCGAAGTTTCGAGATCCTATAAGATTATGGGATGAAATACAGGATCCTAATACTACAAAAGACAAAACTACTCAATTGTTCAAAAAATACCTTAGAGAAACTGCTAAAGCGAATCAGATTTCAATAGAAAATCCAGATCTTAATAGAATATTAGATGGATTGATACCTAAAGCTGAAAATAATGCTTCTAGAAGGGACAAATCATCTATCCAAAGGGTTAAGGAAATATATAATAATATCAAGAATAAATCAATACAAGATGATGAAATATATCAAGTGATATCATCTGTTGTTAAAAAAGATCTTTACAATATTATACTTCCTTCGAAGAATACACAATCTAAGAAGGATCACATCAAAACTAAACCTAAGTCTGCTGATTTAAAGATCCATATGAGTAGTCATGGAAAATTGAATAATATTATTGATGAATTGAAAATAAATCAAGATGGTAGTGGTTTATCCAAAAATATAGGTGACCCATACGATCTTAATACAAAACTTGATATGAAATTGGAGGCTAATGAAAATAATAATTTAAACTTGAATATATTAAAGGGCTATTTAGAAGAGACAGAGATTAAACAGAAGCAATTGAAAAAGTTTTCTTGGGAGGAAAATAAGAAATATAATTGGGATACACAATCAGAAAAATTAAATAGTATATCAGCCGGGAATTTTCTCTTTGATAACTCTTCAAATCGTATAGTCAAAAAGATATTAAGGAAATCAAACTTCCTTGTTGACAAGCTTCCTCTTTTTAAATATATCAGTAATCATATTGATTCGCCAACAGAAGAGTTTTTAATATATGATTTAATCAAGGGAAAGGTCTTGAAAAAGGTGAAGTCCGATGAGGATACTAGCATCTTGATCAATATCAATCGTCAAGATCTCTTTGCAATTATTAATGGATCGATGTTGCCGCCCGAAGAGGCTCTTAAATTAATTACAAATATAGAAAACAAGGGATGGAAACTAATGGGAAGCACTTCTCATAATAGTTCAGATATAATCTTCCAGAGAAATATTGATAATACCTCCACCCCAGTTAATAACAAGGGAAACAAGATGTATAAAATATATTCCATAATAATTGCAACTCTAGGTATTGGATATTGGACATCAACAATCGCATTTCAAACACATGCAGATATGGCAAATAAGCAAGAAGGATAACTTTAATTCAAATGTAATATTTTTTTATCTGAAGATTGTTTCTATTTGTTAAAAAGTAATATACAAATTATTATATGAAAATAATATATGATGCATCTTTGATAAACTATTTGATGGCTAGGTGAGAAATGTTTTTTTCGGATGTTCATTGCATTTCAATATCAGTTAGTTCAACTTTTGAATTCAGCACTTGGGTACCTTTATCAGTGACTCTAATGAATTTAATACTATTAACACCACCAAAAGTTTGATTCCACTCTCTTAAGAAGCTTACTGTCTTCTCATCAGTTAGATCTGGACAGAAAAAGCCTTTTTCAAATTCTTCTAATTCCAATTTCTTCTTCTGTTCTAGAAGTTGTTGCTTACTTGTTGGTGGTCTGTTGGCTCTTCTCTTCTTCTTCAATTCATCTAATTCATCATCATCCCTCGCAATAAATTGTTGAATAAATACAGCGGTTTCTTCATGACTAAAAGTATTTTGTTCTTTAAATGATTCCAAATTTATCACATCTTGAATAAACTTTACCCTGGCTAATTCATTGGATCTTTTTTCGTTATAAGCCTTCTTCTTTGCTGCAATTTTACTTTCACGAATGGTAGCTTTATTTAGCTGTTGAAATTTACGTCCCTTTGGGTGAACAGTAGTTTGTTTACTACCAGTTTTCAACCTCTTTTGTATTTTAGATAATGACTTGCTGACTGGCATCTTGATTGGGGTTCTGTGCTGTGCTACTGAAGTTATGATCATCTATATCTGCTTTTAAAATAATCGATGAGATGAGCTCTTAAAATTTTCCAAAGTGCCAAATCTAAATTTCAAAATCATATCGGAAAAACTTGGATCACGTGAGCTTGATAGTTGACACTGACATTTACGAATGGTGAGGTAAAACTGTACAAGATCAACAGAGTTGTGTGATTTATTAAGAGAGTAAAATCAATAATAATCGAATCAGTATCTCCCTTTTTTGTTCTTAGTGGGGTATCAGCACTTTAAACATTTATTGGGTTTTAAATGCCTCTTCTGCTCGATCTTGTTGCTCGATTTAAACATTTAAACTTCATGAAAAATAGTCTGTATTATTACATGTATATATATATATAGAAATTGGGTTAGGGGTTGTATATACAACACTTTACCTCTTAATGAATGAACATATTCTCATCTTAACTTTTGTTGCATTAGCGACATCAAATTTGGTAGCTAAAAAGATAACATAGTTGAAACGATAAGATTTGAACTTAGATGCTATGTATTCCGGAATGAATGAATGCCATTTTTGATTATAACTTGAATCAATCTGTAGTTATTTCTCAATTAAATATCCTTTAATATAGAGATGTCAAACTACTAATAGTTGAATCAGTTTGATTGGCAATAACCGTTTCATTTAGGTTAGTAGAGTTAAAGGAAGTACCATTGAAACTTAGAGTGACAGTTTGGGTAACTGGTTCTGGGGTCACGGTGACATATTGAATAACAGCAGATGGGGTTTCAGTGATAGTGACAAAATTGGTAACTGGAACACATTCAGCAGCGACGGTAGAGCCAGCACTGTTAGTGAAAATTCTCATACCGTTTACTAATTTACCATCAAGATTAATGTACATGGTACCATCAATAGTAGTGGTGACTGGAGAGGCGGTGTGGGTTCTTGTAACGACATTAACACCAGCATTGTTGGTAGTTGAAGAGGTAGCTGGAGAAATAGTTGAAGTAGCAGATAATGTAACATAAAAGAATTTGGTGATGGTAGATGTTGATGTGGTTGTTTGTTGAGTTCCAGCATTTGTAGCAGCATTAACATTGGTAGTAGTTTGAGCAGCTTGATTATTCAAAGTAGAGGTTGGAGTGATCATTTTAGTTGTCAAAACAGTAGAAGTAATGTAAAAAGTTGTGGTGTCATCCATATAGGTGATTGTGGTGGTTTCAGTTCCTGTGGTTAATGTTGGTTGTAAAGCAGCGACATCGGTTGCCAACTGAACTGTTGAAGAAGTATAGCCATTGGTATTATAATTGGCCGTGCCATTAATGACCATGGCTGAAGCGTTAACCAAGTATAAAGTTAAAAACGATAGAAGCAATTTAATAGACATGTCTAATTAATTAATTATAGTAAAAATGAAAATAAAAATCGTAAGGAATGAATTCAGAAAATATTTATTATTTCGGTTCTAGTTGGTCAGATGTTAACGAAAGTAAATAGTAGGCTACTATGGGATAGAGATCGCTGAAATATTATTGCTGTTGAATAACTGTTGCTTATACATTTCCTCCTCAAAAAATAGGTTGTTTAAGAAATAAACTCAAGAAAGAAATCAAGATCAAAGACATATATATCTATATATATATATAAAAAAAATGCATGTTGAGTATGATGTCCCTCCCACAACAATTCATAAGCTTCTTTCCTTATGCAAATGCAAATAAATCAATACAAATACACTCTAACGCCAAGACATTATTTCGAAACCACGAAATGTAATTAAAATATCGATATTTTGGTAAGCTCAAGATCAATTGCATTACGTTTGATCTTACAACTAGATGCAACTTTTGGCGTCTTTTTAAAATCGATATTTTCTTGTTAAGTTTACGTGATTTATTTTCGCGTCAGGATGGGAAAAAATATAGAAAGAGAAACATCATCATTGCGAAAAAGTACAATGAAGCCACGAATATATTAGACATTTAGTATTATTTGAATCAGTTTCTAGTATTTTAGTGAAAAGGATTGTTAGATAAATTACAATTTCGTGAATTTGCTTATTGAGAACGTACCATGTGTACTTTGTATTCAATCATATTGCCATTGCTTGTTCCCCCAAACCCAATCCTTCTCCCCCATGGAAAGGAGCTTACTGAAGCTATTTGCTTAATGAAGTTCTTTGCTTTATTTGGTAACTTTTTGGGATGAAACCTGGACATAGCATGACATTATCTTCAATACATTCAATTATGATTTTTAATTACTTGTTGAAATTATTTGATAATTTTTGTAAGCAAAAGTATATGGATTGTGTACGATGACAGGAAATTGAATAGGATGAAAAAATCTACGTCATCTAACATTCTATAAATATAGTTAGATGAGTATTATACAAATTAACGGAATATTGTTACATTTATTTCAGATGCATTAAATTATAGATACTTAGTTAATTTAGATGCCATAATATTTAGCGATTATTTAAAATATGTGCATTTTGTATTTATTTTGGTATATCGCGCAGAATGAGTTATGTGGGATATTATATACGTCATTCAGCTGAAATATTCTTTTGAAATGTCATAAAGCTTGGTTTCATCTATTGTTAGTACATCAATGTTTTTCAACAATTCTATTGACATTCCCGATACAAATTTACCGTTATTAAAACAGCTTTCACTAGCTCTATCAGTTTTATCTTTTAATGATAATAATGTTTCCATCAAAACCAGGAATTTATCTATATGATTCGTAAAGATTATGTTGTTATTGATTTTATCTTGCGCACAATTTCTTAAATAAATACCAATTGTTTTTGAAATGTGAAATAAGAATGACATAGAAACGCCTGCTCCTTCTTGACTGGATGCCACTGAACTATCCTGAAATTGAAATGCTGACTTGAATAATTTATCTAATATATCTTCAGAGATAGAATCCCTCGTAACAAGGAGCTTATCTAACAGCAGGCATACTAATATTCCACCTCTCTCAATGATCACATCTAAAAATAATGAATCATTTGGATCATTAACAATATTCTTAATAGTTGAACTTGGTACAGTCACTAGGAACTTGTTGATTAAATTATCTAAGAGTGGGGATAGGGATGAGAAGTATTTAGTTTGGTCATGGCAAATTTTAATCACCGTTGATAGGTCTTTCATCTCGTCTTTGGTAATGAACATAGCACTACTTAGATTCAATAATTTTTTCAACAGATCAAGGTAACCTTGGAATTGCATTGGATCTCTAAAATATTTTCCGATAGGTATAACATCTGATATTTCAAGTTGTTTTGATAGAATGTTTGCATCTTCTTTGCAATTAATGGAATTTGATAAAACTATACTGGCGGCAGCTAATTTATATCCAAATTGAGAATTTTTTAAAATATCGATGCAAATTTCTTGCTCATTTCTATTTGAGTTTGTATTATTTGCAGAAATGTGACCTATTGTTGAAACAATTCTTCTCATTATAATTAACTTATTATGAAATTCCTTTACAGAAAGTATCTCTAATGCATTGAAAAGTGACAGCTGAATATTTGTGGTTTCTGTTGTATTAGAGGTAAAATCCAATGTATAATTTTTGGATACTATTGCCTCAGCAGCCATAATTAAATTCATTTGAATATCTACACTTGGATCATCTTCGATTTCTTCCTTTTCTTCTTTTTCAGTTGAATTGGTTACGATTTCAGTACTCTCTACATCTTCATCAATTACTATATTTTCAATTGTTTTTGATACCCTTTCAATAAATAATGATAAGAATCTTAATTCTTCTATTTTGATGCCATCACAATTTACTTGAACAAACTCATTAAACAATTCAGTTGCCAATACTGCTGAATCAGGGTCATTGAGATAAACGTGTTGAGAAACTCCAAGAAAGCTTAACAATGGGCCCTTTAAAGTCTTTGATAATTTTAGTGTGTATTCATTGCTCTCTAGACATAAATTTTTCACCAATACGATTGATCTCATTTGTAATTGTTCTAATATAGTTTCATCATCACCTAAAGATGTCAATTTCAAAATTCTTCCTATATAATAATCTAAAATTTCATTTTTGTTGGCCACGTTACCCATAGTTATCTCCCTATTAGTATTATTATCTATCAAACTGTTAGCAATGCATCTTATCAACTCAGATGCTAATTTAAACCAAGGCAAATTCTGATAATCATTATGAAAGCAAATATCTAAGATTCCATTTAAAACCCTTAATAAGTTGGAAAGCAATCCAGTATGTCCAACCACATCTCTGTTGTTAGGTGCTCTCAATGAAACTGCCAACTGATCCAATACTGTCAAATAACTTTCCAAATAAACCTCTTGGATTGGAATAGTATTTATAGGGTCAGCATTGATAATTGGTTGTAAACCAAAAAGAAGTTCCTCGTAATCCATATTCTAAAAGTACAACGGCAGTCAATAACTTTTAGCTACCTCTCTATAATAATATTCAAGTCGAAGTTTTCACAAATATTATTAACAATGAAGATTAAATGCAATGTTACGTAATTTCTCAACCATAAACGTTGCCAACAAGAAAATTCAAAAAGATATTCCCTCCAACACAAGAATACATCCTTAAAAATATTATAATCATTGCACCCAACGACTATATTGGAACTAACCTTTGTAGAATCACTCATCGATATCAGTTCCTTTACCTTACATTATTAATTGCATCTAAATTTTTTCAAAATTGAAAAAATATGACGTCATAGCATCTAAATCAAGCAATTGTCGTAGATATAAATTAAATAGGAAAACATATTCAAGATTATATAAATATAGAAAGAACAAAGCAAAACCAGCAAAGGTTAACCAACAAACAGTATATCAATATAACTGTACCCTTGTAATTCCAATAGTAAGGAACTCTTAACCACTCTAATCTATAACGATGCCATCTATGATGACCATACATCCACATTCAATTGCTTACAAGATATCCACTTTAGACTACTGTATATCAAATTTTTAAACTACGAAACAGAGCCAAGAAGACCAAAAGAAGAAAAAAAAATTTAGTTTAAAGGTTTCGATTCGAAGTGAAAAAAAAAAAAAAAGATTAGTTAACAGATGAGAGTTTAGATTATAGTTTAAGATTGGATCATGAAGATTGAATTGATCTGGAATTGAGGATATTGTTTTGGAGGTGGATGATTCTGGAAGTTTCGTATTGCTTTATAATTTAGTTCGTTTAGTAAGTGAAGAGGAAGCATAAAAATAAAAAACGAAACATATTCAATAAGAAATTTTGTAGTCTTAGATACTTTAGATATTTACAAAGAGACGGTTAGTTGGCTAAATGTTTGATCCTGAGTCTTTACCTTACTATAATCCTGAGACTGAGAGGAAAGTTGCGGTAGTTACAGGTGGTAACAGTGGCATAGGATGGTATACGGTGCTTCATCTATACATGCATGGTTTTACCGTTTATATATTTGGTAGAAATTCTAATAAAGTTAACAAAGCCATTGATGAAATTATAAAACAAGCCAAGAAACGTTTTAAGCATTTTAAAAAGGAAGAGAATGATGAGAAAACTAAAGAACGTTATTTGGGTAATATCTATTATGTTCATATGGACCTGACTGATTTAAAATCAGTCGAAAGAGCTTGTAAAAAATTTTCTAAAGTTGAAACTAAATTAGATGTATTGGTTAATAACGCTGCAGTGATGGCATTACCATTTGAAATGACTAAAGATGGGTTTGAAATTCAATTACAAACTAATTATGTTTCACCATTTTTATTATCGCTGAGGTTGCTTCCCTTAATCGAGGCTGCAAACGGTAGATTGGTAACTCTCTCATCGTTAGGTCATAACTTACAACAAGTGCATTGGTCTCTTGACCAAAATTTCAATTACAAACCGAACATGATATTTACATGGTTTAGGTATGCGATGGCAAAGACATCGGTGATTCAATTCACGAAGATGATGGCAATTAAGTATCCGAATGTTTTATGTCTATCGATTCATCCAGGGTTGGTGATGAACACGAATCTATTCAGTTATTGGACAAGATTACCTATAGTTGGTATGTTCTTTTGGATGTTATTTCAATTAGTAGGGTATTTCTTTGGGGTCTCGAATGAAGAAGGCTCTCTGGCGACGATCAAATGTGCATTGTCGCCAGAATTGACCCTTGATAAAGACAATGGTAAGTATTTTAGTACAGGAGGTGTTGAGACGAAGCCTAGTCATATAGCAAATAATCTAGACAATGCAGCGTCGACTTGGATATGGACAATCCATGAATTAAGAGATCGTGGGTTCGACGTTTAAAAGAAATCCAAAACGTGATGAGAATGATTTGTTTTTCTTTCAATTCAAGCATGGGTATAGGTATAGGCATGGGCATGGGCAAACAATACAAAAATTAAAAAGAAGAAATGACAAATCGATAGAAATAAGATTTGTTTGTTTCATATTATTTTAGTAAATTGGATAAAGATGGGATTAATTTTGAACATTTTTCTTCCTTTCATGTAAATTTAGAGATATGGCATTAAATTTCAAGACAAAAAATACAGTCGTGTATATTTTTTTAAAATTAAGAGAGCATGTACAGTCCGCATTATATATATATATATGTATGTATATTATAATACAATTACTGTCAGTAATAGGATATGTATTTACAGTCATCTTTTTAAGTGAACCTGTGATGGTTCGTGAGTAAGATATTTAAATAACTATTTAAACCATTTGAAACAAGGCAGAGAGGCATCAACTAAAGAAATCTAAAACAACATATTGTAGCGTTTAAATACTTCTGCGGGAGAAAGGGTGGATCAGGCATGTTGGTTGTACTATTGTTGTTGCCATTAAAATCAAAGTTTGTTCTAACTATGCTCTTTTCTATCAAGTAAGTGTGACACACATTATAGACCAATATAGTGATAGTTACCCGGTAACGGACATTTTGTCTGCTACGGCTCCGTTACCGGGATTGTACTCCTCCGTTCCTGCCTTCCTTCCTACCTCACATTGCCCCCAAAAGAACCACGTGATATATACTATTCTGTAGTAAAACAAGTATATGCTACCCTCATTATTGACGAGCGCATTCAAATAAAAAGTCAAAATTCGAAACCGAAAAAGAAAAAAAAAAGAAATAAAAAAAAAGAAAAAGAAAGGTCGCCGTTTTTTTCTTCTTGCTGAAGTTGCTAAAATTTGAAGCATTCGAATAACAGCAAGATTCCATCCATCTTAGCTTATTCGAATTAGTAAAAGAAATAGAGATGTAGTCATCGAATCAAACTATTATTCACACAATTATATATATATATATGTTCAATTAAGATATATTTCTGGTAACTAGTTTTATTTGTATTGTGGTTCTTGGTTGTTGGCCGTTTTTATTTGGTGTCGTATTTCCCAAATCTGTGAACGCAAAAGATGACCAGTTCTACTGAAGGTAAAGGTTTAGTCCTTGAAAATACAGGACGTAGAGATGCTTTGATTGCTATTGAAAAGAAGTATCAGAAAATATGGGCTGAAGAGCACCAATTTGAAATCGATGCTCCATCTATTGATGATGAGCCAATTACAATGGATTCTGAAGAATTACATGCAAAATATCCAAAGTTCATGTCATCCATGGCTTATCCTTATATGAATGGTGTCTTGCATGCAGGTCACTGTTTCACTTTATCCAAAGTTGAATTCTCTGTTGGTTTCGAAAGAATGAATGGTAAGAGAGCTTTGTTCCCATTGGGTTTCCATTGTACTGGTATGCCAATTTTAGCTTGTGCTGATAAATTGAAAAGAGAAGCTGAGTTATTTGGTGAAGATTATTCTAATGTTCCTGCTGAAGAGGCTGAAGAAGCAAAGGAGGAAGTCAAACAAGAATCTGAAGATGTCACTAAGTTTAAGGCTAAAAAATCAAAGGCCCAAGCTAAGAAAGGTCGTGGTAAATATCAATTTGAAATTATGTTACAATTAGGTATTCAAAGAGAGGATATTATTAAATTCGCTGATGCTCAATATTGGTTGACATACTTCCCTCCTCTATGTCAAAAGGATTGTTCTGCTTTAGGTAGCCGTATTGATTGGAGACGTTCTTTGATCACTACCGATGCTAACCCATACTACGATGCTTTCATTAGATGGCAAATGAATAAATTAAAGGCTGCAGGTAAGATTAAGTTTGGTGAACGTTACACTATTTACTCAGAAAAGGATGGTCAAGCTTGTATGGATCATGATAGACAATCTGGTGAAGGTGTCACTCCACAAGAATATGTCGGTATTAAAATTGATGTTCTAGAATTCGCCCCGGAAGCTCAAAAAATTGTCGATGCCACTGAGGGATTGGATAAATCAAAGAAGGTTCATTTCATTGCCGCTACTCTAAGACCAGAAACCATGTACGGTCAAACATGTTGTTTTGTTTCTCCAAAGATCACTTATGGTATTTTCGACGCTGGTGACTCTTATTATATCACTACTGAACGTGCTTTCAAGAATATGTCTTACCAAAAGATTACTCCAACGAGAGGTTACTATAAACCAATTGCCAATTTAGAAGGTAAGACCTTAATTGGTACTAAGATTCATGCACCAAACTCCATTCATCCAGAATTGAGAATCTTACCAATGGAAACTGTTATTGCTAACAAGGGTACTGGTGTTGTTACTTGTGTTCCTTCTAACTCTCCAGATGATTACATGACTTTAAGAGACTTGCAAAACAAACCAGAATACTATGGTATTGATCCTGAATGGGTCAATTATGACATTTTACCAATTATCCGTACTGAAAAATACGGTGATTTAATTGCCAAAGCCATCTGTGAAGAAAAGAAGATTCAATCTCCAAAAGACACAAATGCCTTAGCTGAAGCTAAAAAATTGGCTTATAAAGAAGATTACTACACCGGTGTTATGATCTACGGTAAATACACTGGTGAAAAGGTTGAAGTCGCTAAAAACAAGGTGAAAGCTGATATGATTGCTGAAGGTACAGCCTTTGTTTACAATGAACCAGAATCTCAAGTTATTTCTCGTTCTGGTGATGAATGTATCGTTTCATTGGAAGATCAATGGTATTTGGATTATGGTGAAGAATCTTGGAAATTGCAAGCAGTTGAATGTTTGGAAAGCATGCAATGTTTTGCTCCAGAAGTTAAGAACGCTTTTGAAGGTGTTTTAGACTGGTTAAAGAACTGGGCCGTTTGTCGTACTTATGGTTTAGGTACTAAGTTGCCTTGGGATCCAAAGTATTTAGTTGAATCCTTATCTGATTCTACTATTTACCAATGTTTCTATACCATTTCCCATTTATTATTCAAGGACTATTATGGCCAAGAAGTCGGTCCATTGAATATTAAAGCAGAACAAATGACTGATGAAGTCTTTGACTACATCTTCCAACATGTAGATGAAATCAAAACTGATATTCCATTAACTGCTTTGCATAAATTAAGAAGAGAATTTGAGTACTTCTATCCATTAGATGTTTCTATCTCCGGTAAAGATTTGATTCCAAACCATTTAACTTTCTTTATTTACACTCATGTTGCATTATTCCCAAAGAAATTCTGGCCAAAGGGTATTAGAGCCAATGGTCATTTGATGTTAAACAACGCCAAGATGTCTAAATCTACTGGTAACTTTATGACCTTACAACAATTAGTCGAAAAATTTGGTGCTGATGCTTCTCGTATTGCTTTAGCCGATGCTGGTGATTCTGTTGAAGATGCCAATTTTGATGAATCTAATGCTAATGCAGCAATTTTGAGACTGTTCAATTTGAAGGAATGGGCTGAAGAAGTTGTCAATGATATCTCCAATTTAAGAACTGGTCCAATTACTGGCTTCTTTGATTTGGCATTTGAACATGAAATGAACTCAAATATCGAAAAGACATACGAACAATATCAATTGACTAACTACAAAAATGCTTTGAAATATGGTTTGTTTGATTTCCAAGCCGCCAGAGATTATTATCGTGAATCAAGTGAAACCATGCATAAGGATTTAGTTTTGCGTTATATTGAAACACAAGTTTTAATGTTGGCTCCAATTGCCCCTCACTTTGCTGAATACATTTATCGTGAAGTCCTGAAGAAGGAAGGTTCAGTCCAAAATACTAAGTTCCCTCGTGCTTCTAAGCCAATTGACAATGGTGTATTATCTGCTTTGGAATACGTTAGAAACTTACAAAGAAGTATCAGAGAAGCTGAAGGTCAAGGTTTGAAAAAGAAGAAGGGTAAAGACGCTGAATTAGACTCTAGTAAGCCAGTTAGATTGACCTTACTAGTTTCTGAAAACTTCCCAGAATGGCAATCTGCTTGTATTGAAGTCATTCGTGAATTGTTAGAAGCTCAATGTTTGGATGATAACAAGAAAGTTAGAGAAAAGGTCAATCCAAAGGATATGAAGCGTGCTATGCCATTTATTTCTTTGGTCAAGCAACGTTTAATTTCTGAATCTGCTGATGAGGTTCTAAATAGAGAATTATTATTTGATGAGATTGAAACTATCAAGGTCACAAAATCTAATATTATTAATGCATCCCAAGCCTTCAAGATCGAAGAACTTCGTGTTTTGTCTTACCCTCAAGGTTCCAAGACAGGTAAGAACATTTTCACTAATGAAGAAGAAGAATTGCCTAATGCTGCTAAGATTGTTGAAAATGCTGTACCAGGTTCACCAGGTGTTTTATTACAAAACATCTAGATTTGTAAATTACGATTCATCTATACATGTTAATTAGTTACTATAGAATTACTGTATTTATACCAATAGGCTTATTGTCTTTAAAAATTGTTATTATTTCCCAATTACGTTGTCCCCTAGTTAAGACTATACGTGCATGACTTTTTGAGTTAAAAGAAAATATATATATATTTAATGAATAATAAATAATTTATAAAGCCTGTATAAAAGTGATAATTGAAATAAATAAATTTTGAATAAGTATAAATGATAATTCCTTATGCGATCCCCGAAATGATATTGAGTTAATAATAATTTATAAGATTGTGTGATGTATTTTTAATCAAGTTAAAATACTATGCTAATTTCCCGAGACTTCACCGTTACAAACAAATGAGTATTTTGGTTTTGGATTTGAAGCTTCCTTGATAACTTGTGATTTAACATTTCCATCTATGTCAGGTGGTTGAAATGGTGTTAAGCTATTGATGACTTCTTCTGGGACACTGTGCCATTCTCTATAACGTTCCATACCAGTAGCGGAAGAGGTCCAAATACTGTTGTGGCCGGAAGGAGGTACTGGTGAATCCAGAGTTAAAGATACTTCATACCAAGTACTAGAATCTTCATCTTTATTTTCTAATTCTGTTGGATCTATAGATAAAGGACGGAAACCAGAATAGAAAATGTCAGTAGTGATATCTTGATGTGTTAAACGTTTATTAGAAGGAACTTTTGGTAACCATGAATAATCAACAACTAGATCATTATTCAGTTGAGTGTTATTATTATATTTGTTTAATTGTAGTTTTTGACTATAAAATAATCTTTCTGAATTACCAATCTTATGATTTAATTTGCTTACTGGATTTTTAATTTTAATTTTGCTATTGTTAACAACTGATTTCCGAAGTAAAGGGTTATTATTCAGATATGAAAAGGATGATAGAAATCTTTCTGACCTTTTTAAGTTTAAAGAACGGATTGCGTTATTAGATGAATATATTGTAGTATTTTTGCTTATGAACATGTTTAAATTGGATTTCTCAATAAATAGGATAAATAATTAACTGTTATTTCTAACGAGTTTTCTATGAATAAATAATAATGGGAATAATTGGTATGGAAATGATGTATTATTGGTCCATCAATTTGATAAAATAAGGTATAAATAAATATAGAAGGGAAACTTCTGTTCTTGCGAAACTGTTATATGTGCCTGTAAAAAATATTTTTTCTTACCACTAACTAAATACAGTTTATCGGTTGATTATAGATATTATATTAGTTAATCTTATCTTAATCTATTAGTTTAAAGTACTATATTTCCAGAAAATCTTTACTACACCACCAGTAGAGTCCTCTAAATTCTGTATGCGATGTAAAAGTAACTAACCAAAAAACTCTAGCCTATATATATGTATAGATATAAGTATAAGAATAAGTCAAAGGCGAAAGAGATGTCTTAAAAGTTGCAATAATATACGTACAGCACTCAAAAATAATAGTAAATATCAAGTATATATATGATCTTAAAAAAAACTTAGACTCAGTTTCGAAATGTTGGGCCTCAACCATTAGCCTATTTCGAACCAAACAAGATAGTGAGCATCTTCTCTTACACATACTTCACTATGCCCTCCTTCGTTGAAGTTGTATTTTTTCCCATTTACAAGTCCTGTCTCTCTCATTAGAATATAGACAGGTATAGTGAGTAAAGAACATAGCAAAGGTATAACATAATATTAGTAAATATTTAGTACTGCATCTCAGAGTGGTGGTCAAAGTACTAATCTAGAAGAGATGTCGAAAATTCAATCAAATTCGATTAAAAAATTTGAATGCATTAGTATCAACGTTTCTTTTCTTTAGCACTTCTCCTGTGGTTTCTCACACAACTCGAACTAAAAGTTGTTGTTTTTTGTTTTTTTTTGGTTTCGACTTTTTCTTTTGGTTTTGTTTGGTTTTTTCTCCAGTCGTTTTTATTTCGAAACTGCCGGACCACCATCACCACCATAGGGGAAACCGTTGTGTTTATATGGCATCTTTTTCAGTTTTACGAAACCTTCTCCGTGCATTTCTTCGCTCGTTCTTTAAATTAAAAAAAACAAAAAGAAACAACACACTGTAATATCATTTTTAGTTTCTTTTTTTTAGTAAAATAGTAGTAATGCCCAGACATATTCGTAGAATCGCTTTACTGCTTGTGTGCAATGTCTATCGTAGCAATCCTCTGCTTATAGCCATGGTACGTGTGTTTCTTACATGTGTTAAGCTGAGGTGTTTGTCATTGGAAAGGTAGCTTGCAGAGAAGTGAAGGTACCACATAATATTGTATTGTCGTTTCTTTTGTTGAGTTTTTGTGTACGAATTTGAATATAACGATCGAAATAGTTAAACGAGACTATGTTAATAATATAATTTGTAATAACGGCCACTGGAAGGAAAGATAGCTATTTGTAGTTCGTTAGTGGTGATGTAGAATAGCAAGAATGTTTAAGAAATGCAAGCTTTCTTTTATGGGCGGTAACATTGGTGGTACACCATCTTGGTCAATCTATAAAGACAGGCTGGGAATCACTAACCAACGAGACCTCTTTCTATAATATATTTTAAATAAATAGTGGACTGGAGAGACTGGAGCTATCATAAACATTACTGCCACTGGCGACAGTAACGAGATAATTTTGACTTGGCCAACTACAGTGCCACCATCTTCCCCTTTTTATTTCTTCCTCCATATGTCTGTTTATTTCACCTAAACGTTTGTGTCCCTCACAATGAATTGTACCTTTGTGTTTTCTATAGTTTAGTTGTAGTTCGGTTTACGAGTTTCCAATAACATAATTGTTACTAACCTTAAGGGTATTTCATGGGATTTCAAAAGTTAACACTTTCGACTCAACGTTGGGAGCAGCTTTATTCTGATGACTATTCTAACAAAAACTAACACAATTTAAACACAACTTTGTTTTGTGCGGAAGTTGATAGTATTGATTATTTACCGACTTTACAATTAGTAAAAAAGTGAGTAAATGATTCATTATAATAAATGTTATAGTAACCATCGAACCAACTAGAAAATATTCAAGGTAAATGAATGCCGAAAATATAGGTAGTAGTTTTAAGAATTGTATAAAGATACTTTTCTTATTATGAATTCATAGAGGTTGTCAATTAATAGACAATATAATATTGTATACCCGTCTAAAAGCTATTTTCATTTAAAGTAGCTTCCAGGACTAAGTCTCTTGATCGTTTAGTGAAAAAGAATAGAATGGAGTGTCAGGGTTTTCGGTTTTTGTTCTGTTATACTTAAAGGGTTATAAGATAGTAGTTAAATGTAGATGAGGATCATTTTAGAAATACCTGGAATTTTCTAGTACTTGGTATTAATTTGGATTCAACTATCAATTTAGGATTTTAAGGTTGTGCTCTTGAGATGCATTAAGTCACCCCATTTAAAGACAAACATATGCCATTTTTGTATTACTGATTATCCCAGGCAGTTGCTGTTCATAGTATAAATTAAAATATTCAAATTATTATATATTATTGTTTATTTAATTAATATTAGATTAGTTTATATGCTGTATGATTAATGCTGGGGTTGAAAAGTATTATCGTGTATACATAACCAGAATCAATCTGGATTAATGTGACAACTTTCTTTATACTTTCATGCTAATAGGTAAAGTAAGAGATCTTTTGACATCTTGTGCGTGGAAAGACAAAACACTTGTACTGTGCTTACCTTGAGACTCGCCAAAATCAGTATGGATGGATAGACTTAATCTGTCACTAGAGTATACATTGTCATTTGAAGTATTTTTATATTGGAAAGGCAAGGCAAGATCTGATGTTGCATGGTTGAAGATTGAATCTTCGCTGCTTGTTTCAGACGACAAATAGGTCCTGGATTTTTCGAAAATTTGAGATCTTCTGTTTCTCGATTCTTGTTCAGAAATTAAAGATACTAAGGTACTGAGGTGTTTATCATCATAATGACTACTATTGGATTCTCTTTCAATTTTTCCTGTTTCTTGAAATTTGGCCAACTGTAATCTCAACTTTATCCTTTGAGCTATTACGTGTGTCAAATATTGTTTCAACATCTTTTGTAATTGTTCAGACTCATTTTTCTTAATTATTTCAGAGGCTAATAAATGTTCGTTATCGTTGTCCATACTGACAAAATCAACGTCATCAAAGCTGGAATCATCATTATCAATTTCCTCTGCGGGTTCTAAATTGGTTATATTATGCTTGTTTGAAATTTGTTTTTCCAATTGTTCAGTCTTGATTACATATTCGTCAATGTTTTCCTCATTTTCTTCTTTGATTTCATCAGAACTTAGTTTTTCTTCATCTTCTTCTTTGATTGCATAATGTTTCATTGATAATGGAATAACCTTGTTTCTAACAACAATAGAAGGTTCTCTGATAATTGTGTTTAAGGAAGAATGTCCTTGTGATCTACTGATCTTCCCTTTTATGGTATTATTTTGTTGATGTAATAATTCAGGGGACTTAGGACCTTCCTCAGTTGCATGGACAATGTTTGCCAAGTTTTCGGTAGTTGCATTGGCGGAGTTATTATGGCTTGTAAATACAGATGCTGCTCTTCTGATTGAAGATGGGGTACGTCTTAATGACGCAGTCTTCTTGTAATTGGCCGCTTTCTGGGAATTTGAAATCTTTCTCATTGGGGATGTTGCATTTGGCATTATATCTGTAAATCTAGGAACTAGTACCGGTTCTAATGATTTATATGACATTGATCTTTGCAAGTTAGTGATATAACCCTGAGTTCTTTTCAAGTGTGATGTGACTGGTCTGTTCTTGATTGAAGTTGATTTTTTTGCCTTTTTATTCAATTCACTTTTAATGCTGGCACTACGGTGAATTGAGTTACTTCTCTGATATCCAAATAATTTTCTTTTAATTGCCATTCTCATTTTGTGGAATTGTTTTCTGAATTTGGCTCCCATTGTCGTGAAATAATATAATAGTCCTCCCTTGCATCTAATTGCTCCAGATCTCTTTAAACTTGAAACATTGCTCCTCTTTCTGTTCAAAGATAATGAAGAGGTACCTACATTCAAACTGCTACTTGAATAGCTAGCAATAGATCCGATTCTGGTTATTGTTGGAACTCTATTAATAGAAGGTCTTTCCAATCTTTTGGTTTGAATTACGGATTTCGAGGACTTCAATGATGAAGTGGCAGACTCTATTCTATAAGATATATTTTCTATCGTTGGTATACTATGGTTAGCGGTTGATATAGAATTTGAAATTCCTCTACCGAGAACTTTAGTCTCGGTATTATTTTCTTGTGTATCATTTCCTGCGGTAGAGTGGATATATCCATTATTATGGTTCGTGTCGTTGCTTGAAATCTTTTCGGGATCTAATGTATGACGATATTCTGTTTCTTGGAGTTCATCATTTGAAAACAAACCATAAGATTGATAGCTATTAGGTCCATTTCTTGAGGTTGTGTTATCAGAAATGTTTGCAAAAGAATAGTAGCCATTAGAAGAATTTGGATTGGAAAATGAGGTATAATCTGATAAAATTTGTGAATTGGTATCTGAATCAATCGCAGATCCTGAATGCATATTGGCAGTTGTTACATTAACTCTTGGAATTGAATCATTCAATAAGTGATGGTTATCCAAATGATATTCGTCCATTTCGTTTTTTAATAAACTTTCAGTAGATGGAAATTTAAAATCAGATTGGGGACCATGAAATGATTTAGTCTTTTTCCTCTCAGGTTCTCGTAATATATGGCTTTGTAAATGTTGTTTTTCCATAACTACTGGGAATACTATCGTATTACTCTTGTCAAATTAATATTGGAACAATATTTCTTACTTCCTTATGGCTTTCAATATAAAATATATGTATCTCTCTATGCTTATATTAGGTTAATTCTAAATTCGAAATGGGTGTAACATCTTTACAACATTTTTGATATCGATATATATATATATAGTAACTTTATTTATTAGGAAGACATATCTACATCTGTGGGGGTGCTCCTATATAGGAAAACTCAGCATAGTATACAGATTAGGTTATTGACATTATTTTTGATCCAGCATTTAAATTAAAATGGCTGTTAATTTTAGCAGGACCATATCTAGTTGAATGCAAGATGCGTATTCGAAATTGACTTTTTATTCCTTTCTTGTCTCTTGTAATTAATTATTTTAAGTTTTGCTGGTTCCCAAACCAGCCTTCTAATTAATGCGACATACTAGGCAATATTAATGAAAAAGAAAAAAATTGATCCGAAGACAGTATCGGAGAAGGAAAAAATAGGTACATTTTCTATACAATATCAGCTGGCTCTAAGAAGTTTCAAAGATCCCTAATGGACGATTTCGAATGTTAACCTGATCCATAAGTAAGAACAATTCAGACAATTAGCAAAATTCATTAGTCTGTTTCAGTTTAGATCTACATATTGGATCAATATTCCCCTGATCCATAAAGATTAAGATCACTGTAAATTTTATATCAAGAAATTGAATAACTCAATTAGTGGTGAGTGAATTCTTGAGTGAAAATAAGGGCAATCGGGTATCAATTATAGTAGATGATATATAAGTTTCATTATATATATATGTATATATATTGTACGTTGCAAAATGGCATCAAAAAATGAGTATACTTGTGTAGCAGGATATGATTTATCTATCCATTGCAAATGCTATGTGTGTGAATGAAGGATGGATATTTATTCCTAGATTTATATGTAAATGAGTTCATGAATTTGAAGGCATATCTTTCTTTTGAATCATAACATTATCACTAGCAAATGACTTTAATTTATCTAGAAGAATGCCTTTGGTTTGTGCTTGTTTGATATCTTTTTCAATGCCATTGTTAATTACTGAAACACCATTGATGAATAAATATGGAACTTCCGGTGGATTACCATTTTCACCGCTGGTTAACTGGTATGCTTTAATGTACTTTTGAAGTAATTGACCTTGGACATGTCTGTCTAAGTCGACTACTGCCATTTCTGGTGAAACTTCATATTCTCTCAAGAGTAAATTCTTTAAGTAATGAGAAGCTGGATCTGAAGATTTAATAAATATAACTACTGGCGAAGTATTGATGATTTCTTTGAAATTTCTTTCAGCGTCAAAATTTAGACCTAGACCTGGGGTGATAGTTGGGGCACGAATGTTTGTATTAATATGGGTTGGTGCTATGTTACTTAGTTCTCCTCTGATAGTTGAGATTTGTTCTTCTACTCTTAAGGAATTCAATTCAATTTCTTCCTTCATATTGCTTGGTACCTTATTATTTGTAAGTTTGGTATTTTCATTATCTTCAAATAGATCAGAAGCTAAATCGTTCATGCCCTTTTTGCCATAATCATATGAGGAAGAGTCCTCAGTGAAAGTAAATATGAGCAGACCAAATACACATAGAAGCAGTAATGTAGTAGATAAGATTTTGGAACCTCTTGGAGTAGTTGATTGTTTTGTAATTTTCTTTAATCCCATTGTGAGTGTAATTCTTGTGTTGAATGAATAATTAAAGAAGAATGATTAATTTCAGTTCAATTCTTTATTGATATTGTTGTTGTTGTTACTGTAGTAGTTCGTATACCTAATGAACATGAACGTAAATATTAAAAAGCTAACTAAGGTTCACGTGTAAGCAATTGGATGAAATAATTTTCAGTGTTATAAAGAGTATTTAAAAGACCCAGTTGTTATGTATGGGTAAAAATGAAATAAGAATCTATGTCACAAATTTCCTATCCTAATAATTAGGATTATATATTTTGATCTTTTGTTTATTTATATATATTTCTGAAAGAGTGTGTGATCGTGAGATTAGAAATAGTAATATATTCCTAAGTTTCGGATTACAATGAATTTTTCTGGCATTCATTTACTACTAAATGGTATCAAGGTTTTAGTTTATGACTACTAGTGTGTGTAAGGTTTTTTCTCTTACATAGCTCGATATTTCTACTTTCCCTCTACAGTGAAAACAACTAAAATATTTCAAAACCGACCAAACCAAAAAAAAAAAAAAAATAACACTTAGATAGTTACTTTCTAAGCCCTTAGTAAGAATTCTACTCCCCAAACAACAGGTTTGTACCAGGACAAAACTACTCTGAAATAAAGAAGCCGAATACACTAATAGGCTAATAGGTTGTTGTGTGAGTAAAAAAACATGAAGATATTAAAGAGAGTTAATTCGAATTCTCAAGGATCAAAGAAGGTTTTTGTTCAATCTGTCGTTGCACATTGCTTTCTTTGAATTGTAAAGTAAAATGGAAGTTAAAAGAAAAGACGACAACCTTATAATACTAGTGAAATATTGATGTAACTGTAATAGTACTATTGTCTCTTAAAGGAAGTTTGGTTCTGTCAGGAATAATAGTGAGAAATTATACAAAAACTGCATAATTACTTGTTAAATCTTTTTTTTTTTTATTGATTGTATTTGTCAGGACTCTCTATCCTATCACCTGGCTGTTAAAATTCCCAGTATTACAACATCGATAAACCGAACTCTCTCTCTCTCTGTTTCTTCCCCCTCCCCACCCCTATTTAGTAATATTCAGTTAAAATGACACTAAACGCCAGAGAGAAAGCAAATAATCTTGCTTATTATTTTTTTTATTTTTTAGAAAAGCTGCCTAAGAGCAAGAGCAAGAGCAAGAGCAAGAGAAATTGCTAAGTATAAGGTCAAATCATTGCAGAGCTTCTGTTCATTTGAAATTCAGACAACGATGGAACAAATAATTTTACACACGCGTTACATATCATTTCATGTTGATTTCGAGTTAATTATCATTACGAAACCAGGATAAAAGCAGTAATTTTTCTTAGAAAAAAAGTCAATTCTAATTACCGGCATCCTTTGATTTGTCTCACAGCCTTAGGAAACACCTAATCGATACTGATCATGACTAGAGTGGAACAGAAGACCACTACTGGTTCTAGATTTTGGGAAAGTATAGTTATAGTTGTGTTCATGTTCAGCCCAATTCTCTCTCTCTCTCTCTTGCTCTTGCTCATGCTCATGCTCTTGTTCTGTTTCTTTCCCTTTCCATGATGATGCCCTTTGATATCGAAAGCTGTTAAACTGGTATAGTGTTGGAACATTTACTTCTACATACGGAACTCTGGGTATTTCCATTTTCAGTTTCCATTCCCGTTTTGCAGGAATAGGCGGATATTGAAAGGAAATAACGAGAGGGTAACGCGTTGTCCCAAAGACTGCAATACCTGCCATCCGAAGTTCTAAAGTAACGAATAGTGAGAGAGATATCTGGATCGGTATATTCCGGTTTGGTGTTGTTTTTTTAGTAGGTTGTGTACGGAGGGACGGCATCAGAGAAAATGTAAAAAAATAAAAAATAAAAAATAAGAAGATCAATAATTCCCAGATGGTATTGCAGACAACTGTACGAGTTAATGTCAATGTTTTTTTGGTTAATTAAGGCCAATTTTTTTCTTTTTTTGGGTAAAAAAGTGGTTATTCGTTTTTATTTTATTTTTTTTGTTTAAATGGCCCGAAAGAACTGCGGCAATAGAGTGTTAAGTGAAAAATATGAAAAATATGAAAAAAACAAGTTATAGAACAAAAAGAAATTCTGGCTGCATGTCCCAGGTATATCCCATCTATCTATCCTACATGATATCCTTATACGGAATGCTAAATTCAATCTTTTTCTTAGTTTTTCTAATTTTTTGCCACACTCATCCGGAAATATGTCTTTTAATACGTGTGTGTTTCTCGGAAGTCAACTGTAATTGGTTACACTGTTGCTGACAAATAAGGAAATGATGACATTTTAGGAAAAGAAAATGTCGTGTTAATTATTACATCAATGATAAAATTTCAACTTTTAGATAAATAGTAGCTAAGATATTACCATTTTATTGCTTTCACCTTAATCTTCTATAATCAAGCTGTGTCCTGTTCTCTTGACTTGTTCTGTACTGATAGTAATCCTACTAGTTTGGGCAATTAATAATGGTAAGGATATTAAAAATATAGAAAGATGTCTGTCTCTATATCTGTCTGTCTGTCGTTGATTAAGAGGTTGGTTTGGTCTAGATGAAATGTGATGTAATTATACAGGCCAGAGAAAACTTTAAAATCTGTCTTTTTGTTTTAGTTACTATGTTTTGTTTTTGATATTGTTCTCAACTGATGGACTGCTCTTATGGTGGAATGACCACAGGTCCATTTGACTGACTGACTTTTTTTTTTTACAAGAAAGTTAGAGAGAGGTTCGATATATAGATCTAGAGATATTTGTCAAGTGTCCTTTTCTAATTTTACACGTGTGGTTTGAAGAGATCTCCTATACCAAGTTCATCACTACTGCTTCTCACTATCTTAACGGCTAATGACTTGCTTTACTATTTGTTCATAAATTTACTTTAAATTTTGCCGAACCCACTATTAGCAGGTTTTGAGACGTGAAAACGCCTCATTTCACAGGCTACACTTTTGATAGCCTATAAAAATTTAAGAGATGTATTGGTAAGTATTATTGGGAGAAGGGTACGAGTTCTAAGGCAGGAGACATTCCTATTTCATTATAAAAGTCTATTCATCACAGATAAATATAGACAGCAGACTTCAGGCTTTACAATAAATTGATGTAGCTTATTCTTATCCCGTTTCGGTTACGTTTCGAAAATGATCCATGTTAGATCTAAGTACTGTGTGATCCGATATTTCTTCTGTAGCCCAGAATCTTTGAATTGAATATTCTCATAAGTATTGTGTTTTTCTGTATTCCCCTCTTTTAACCTCTTGACTTGATATTTCTCTTGTACATAACATTTAAGTCAAATAACCCAGTGGCATGATCACATGATTATCACATGCATTGTTGATAAAATTAAAAATATTCATATAGTCATTAACTCCTAACTTCTACTGTTCCTAACTTTGAGGTAATTGATTGAAATTATTCTAACAAAACATATCAACAAGTTGGAATTTACAACAACTTAACATACACATAGTTTTTCTAGTAGTTCAAGTACAAGAAAATAAATTGGTTTAAGTATTTCTCTTTTAATCGCTTAGAACTAACTGTGTATTTCACCCTTAAAGCTATCAGCTATCTGTTTTAGGAAAAGTAATTAATTCATTTATGATCTATCTTATTTAAGCTTGTTTGTACTTTTATCAGGTATATGATGCTTTTAACGGCTTCAGTTATTCTTATGATTAATGAAACTAGTTGCTACCACTCTCCCTCCATCAAGGAAGTTGTTTAATAGCAAGAGAAACCGCGGATTTATTTATTTTGCCTCAACAAAATATTGATAAGGCAGTCAAGCCTGAAAACGATAATATTTCTTCTTTCGAAAGGTAAGCAGCAATTGTTATTCTTGGGTTGATATTCTTGGATTTAAGATTTAAATAGTTCTACAATCTGTACCTTTTAGTAAAATAAAAAATAAAATGGTATCTACGTTTTGAGTAAATTGATTATAATAGTTCGGCATATTAAAATAGATTAACTTAAGTCTAACAATATTAATATTTAACGAAGTGTTCACAAAAGGGAAGGAAGAAATAAATAAACAAGGGGATGTTGATAAAACAGAAATGAAGGAATGAACTTGTATTATTTGCACTCACCCAACAGACAACTAATGAAGATAGAAAAAAAAATAAAAAAGAACTCAATCCAATTTTTATAGTTACAATAATTATTTTAACCATAGAATGGAAAATAAATTGATTAATTGTAATCTCTTAAACGTCAGTAATTTCTTTAAACTGATTTGGCTAGCCCAACTGCATTATTCTCTAGATCGTATATTGAATAAAAACGACGTAAAAATGCATCACCAATAATTGATAATGGACCTACAGGTTGTGGGAAATCCATTGGAGTTATTGCTGAAATACAAGACCCAGAAATTTCCAAAGTGTAGTCAAAAGGATCAATTGTAAAATTATGATTGTAGAAATTTAAAGTAAGTTTAGGTAAACTTTCTCTTTTCTTACAATCAATTGTATACTGGCCATTCCATGACTTTTTGGCTCCGATTTCATTATTTAGGAAATCAGCAATTTGGGAAGGCAGTGTTATCAAAGAAGTGCCAGTATCAATTGCAGCACCATGGCCTTCCAACTTCATAAATTTATCTCCTAACTTAATTCCATCAAATTGAACTTCCCAATAGGCCTTTCGACGTACCGGTAACCATTTGATTTCACCTTCAAACCTTGAAGGATCATAGCCACCAAAAGTAGCCTCTCCGCCATTTTTGCTTGACTTTTCATCACCTAAATAAAAAGCAAACATAGGTTTGTCTAGTAAGCCCCTATGAATAGCATTGTATAGAGGTGGTACTGCTTTATTGACTGATATTGAGTCATATGCCAGACCTAAAATCCCATCAAACTTACCAAATGCAAAAGCTAGGCCAGGTTCGGCAGTAGCTTCAGCAAAATCTTGTTGAGGAATAATCAAATCACCAATAGTTAAAGTATCCTGTGAGATGTATCCTTTTAGAGATCCCGAACCATATTGGATGACAAAATCAGATCCATTACTTCGATAAGTAGATGATAGGCTATGGTCATATTTGGAATGTAAATAGCAAGCCAAAGAAGAGCAACCTACACTAGGAACCCATAAATTTGATGAACCGGTATCTAATATTACTTTGAATTTTTGTGGAGGTGTTCCAATGCTAACGTCAGTATAATATTGAGCATTTAAATAATTATCCAACGGGACATCGTGGCTTTCAATAGTAAATTGATCTTTTTTACTTATATGTACCTCTGGGAAGGCTTTCTCAAATTGATTGAGGTATTTCCTGCCCAAGTGACTGATATAATCTGAAAGTCTTATTCCTTTAATATCTTCACTGTCATCTCTTTTCTCCAAACTTACCTTGTGCAGCTTCGCATTCACTGAACCTAACCAAGTGACACATAATAAAAAGTAGACTGTCAGCATTAAAAAATTTGGTTATTTAAAATAATCTTATTCTTCAAGGTAAATATAACGAATGAATATTTATATAAATATACTTTTGAACCTTGATTTTATTAATAAATAAGAATGTATATGTTATTTTAATACGGTGGAAGTTATCTGTCTGGGATTCTATTTGAAAATTTAATTATGTTAATGAAATGATTTGTTAACCAACTGTTATCTTAAATATGTAAGTTTTATAAATTATTTACTTTATATAATAAACTCTTGGACCCTTTTATGTGTGTATAAGATAATGTTTTTTATTTTGAGTCGTCAGAGCAGAATCACCACAATAATGAGCCAAAATTGACACGGGTATCAGATTAAATTATACGTCGTTATCAAGAGTTCGTAGGTATTATATATCAATCCTGGATTAGTGATACCTTCTTTCGATTTCATGTCACTTCAACATAAAGTGAACTTTGAGTATTAAAAGTCCATCTGTCTTTACAGATAGTATCCAATCCCAAAAATATTTAAGATTACGTGATATTGTTTAATCATGCATTAATGCTCGTGTGATGTCTATTTAAACAAATGTATATAATATCAGGCTTTGTCTATAGAAATTGTAATGTGTTATTATCTTTAGAAGCTGGATCTAATACTGCTCTTTTGACCTTTTTATTCGGATCTGTTTGAGATTGTGACAAACTTACAGAATGTACACGTTTTAAAATATTTGTAGCAGTTCTATTCGCATCATTCAGATTCTGGGATTGGGGAGTTGAATGGAGTACAGGTGACGATATTGAACTCGATTCTTCTGCTCTCTTCACAGCCATCATCTGTGTTAGTCTCTTGACAAGAGTTTTTTCATCTTCTCTCTGTTCTACGACTGCTTCTTGATGACCCTTTACAGATGAACCATCATTGAATAGACCTGTTGTGTCGTTAATTTCCATTTTGAATCCAATAGTAGAATTGTTATGTTTATCCCAGATTATTTTAATTTCATCTCCTTGATGCAACAAAACTTTGTACCCAGGAGGGACTTTAACATTATTTATATAGCTGATATTTGAACCTGTATGACAATACCAAATATCATCTAGACCTTGTGCTGGTGATTCATAGATGCTGTTACCTACAATATGTCTATTTTTTAAAATAAAACAATGAACTCTAGAAAGTCTACTGTCCTCTATATTACAGTTACAATCATCAGATCTACCGATAAAGTAAGGATTTATGCCTTGTTTGATAATAATAGCTTCCTGTATGAGACTTCCTTCAATTGGATGGAGTGTCACAAACTTACCGTCACCTTTCTTAACTACACGCTGTGGTGCATTTCGATCAGTGCCTGTAGTTTCATTTTCATTTGCTCTCGCTTGGGTGAATAATACAGGTGTTCTAGTTGGTACTTTAAATTTACCTTGTTTATTTTCAGTAAGCTGAGAAAGTCCTGCTTCTTCTTGCTGTCTTTGGTATTGCATTTTCTTTCGTGCCTTCATAAATTCATATTGGGCATCATCCATGTTTTCTAAGACCTTTTGTTGTGATAATGATTGTGAAAGTGAAACTTGAGATAGTTCACTTCCAAATGATTGTGACGTATAAGTACCCATTTTTATCCATGGGTGATTCAGCGCCTTTATTGCTGTTAATCTCTTATTTGGACTAACTTGTAATAACGAATCAATAAAATCTCTTGCTTCGTCGGATATTCTGAAATCTTTTAAAGGACCTTCATGGTAAGAGCCTCTGCAAATTTGTTTATACAGTTGGTCTTGTGTGCTTCCACTGAAAGGTAAATGACCTGTAAGGATGACATATACAAGGCATCCGATAGACCACATATCAACAAGAGAAGAATATTCAATCCGATCTTCATTTTCTTCAGCAGAATTTTTACCTCCAATCACTTCAGGTGCTACATATGCCAAGGTACCGCAAAACGTTTTCATAAATGTACCATTTCCCTGAACTTTAGCTAAACCAAAATCTGTAATTTTTACTAGAACTGGGTCATCTTGTTCTATCAATATATTGTCAGGTTTTAGATCTCTATGGCTAATACCTTGTAAGTGGATATATTTCACTGCTTCCAAAATCTGTCTTGTTATTTCTCTGCCTGCATCTTCACCTACTGAACCGTGTGCGGCAACAAAATCCATTAAATCACCTCCTGAAACAAATTCCATTAAAAGGTAGTAGCTATCTTCATCTTCGTAAAACCCTTTTAGTCTGACGATTCTTGGGTGATCCAGCTTTCTTAATACATCCAATTCTCTCGTTACACCATCCATATTGCCCATAACTTTTCTCTTATTTATGATTTTAACAGCAAATGTCTTCCCTGTAGATCTTTCAACAGCCTTTTTAACAATTGCAAAGGCACCCTGTCCAACTACTTCATCTTTAATAGAAAAATCTTTAAAGATTCCAGTCGAATACATGTTGTTACTTCCACCTGATTGAAGTTTAGAATTTCTACCAGTTTTTGCATTGGATTTTATCAAATTCATTTTTGCTTGTTTCAATGATTCAGAGAATTTATCATTCACAAATAATACTAAAGATATGACATCGGATGCTACACCTACGCCCACTGTTATTTCATCACCTTGAGATAATATCTGATTTCTATTCTTTTCTAACCTTAATCCATTTAGCCAAGTACCATTGGTAGATGTATCCTTTAACAATAAATTTCCGTCTTCTCCTAATAAAATTTGGAAATGCTTATTTGATAGTCTAGTAACCTCACCAAGATAGTAATCGCATTTGGGATTTCTACCAAATGACCACACTTTTTTAATTGACTCTTTCTCATTAATAATATCATTTACATCAGCTCGGAGATCCCTGATAGGAATCTGACCAGTGGTACATATAACCCTGCAAACAATGTTATCATCGATCTGCTCCTGTGAAAACTTCTCGATCAGGTATCGCTGAGTTGCCTGTGTAGCTTGTTGCGTTGGTTGAGTAGTATTATCCATAGCAATTGAATCGATTCTCTATCCTGTTCAATTAATCACACAAATGAATATTTACCACAATCTATACCCACAAGCCTTAACAACGTAATAATTACTAGTATCGAACAAATTTTAACCAACAGGAAACCCCTTTATGATCACCTCACTTATAGCAAAGTTCTGATCTAATCAAATTATATATCTAGTTCATCATCGTTCATGATATAAATCTTGAAGATATCTTCGATATTATATCATATTTAATTTACGCGTTTCGTGTCACGTTTGGAAAATTGATGCCATGGCTGAAACAAAGGGAATTGGGCAAAGGAGTATAAAGATGACAATGCAACAGGTAGGAGAAGTTGAAAGTTACTATGATTAGTAGATCGAGGTATAGAATCACTTTCTCTTGTAATAAATCAGAAAATAGATTAAGCATAAAAATATATACAGAATGAAATATTAGGATATTGATTTAATGAATATTTTACAAGTAGAACACTAACTGATATATAATCAAATGTATAAAGTGCGACTATATAAATACGTTGTTATGTCATGCAATAGTATGATGTAATAATTTTTTGTCCCCTTTTTAAAATCTCTGAGATGATAATAGTGGGTTCCATGGAAGGCCAGGATTTGATACTTCAGTAGCCAAATCATCTTGCTTCCAGATTTTAATGCTTTTATCTACTCCACCGGTAATCAATCTTAATCCACTTTGGTCAAATGTACTTGATAAGATACCTCTCTCACTTTCTAATGATCCTGCTACTGCAGGAGATTCGAGGGACTGGTATTTATGTCCTGATTTAAAATCGTAAAATGCTAAGGTACCATTATCACAACCGGCTGCTAAAACGCCATCCTGGTTTATACTTAAAGAGTTTATAATTCCAGATGATTCAGATTCAAAATTTGTTAGTAATGAACCTTCTGGTAGTCTCCATGACCTTATATCATCAGTACATGCAGATGCAAGTGAAAATTCACTAGGGTTGAGAGCAATATCTCTTACTGATCGTTTATGATGTGTCAATACTTTTGCCGATTTACCAGCCACAATATCCCATAAATGCACTGTTGCATCTGTTGAACAGCTAATTATCTGTGGGTCTACTGGTAGACTTCTGACCTTATTTATCGGACCCTTATGCCCTATTAATGTCATCACCTCCATTCTAGAACGAATATCCCATAATCTTACTACACTATCTCTCCCTGCAGTTGCAATTAAATCGAGTGTTGGATGAATAGCAACACTATATACACCTGACAAATGTCCATGGTAATCCCTGATTGCCATATTTTTCTCAAGATCCCAACATTTGACTAGTTTATCTTCACTTGCAGAAAATAAATATGGATGTCTATCAGAAACTGTTATATCACGAACAGGCATAACATGACCTGATAATGTCAGTTTTAAATGGCCTGAAACCAGGTCCCAAACTTTGACTGTAGTATCTGTACTACCTGTTGCAAACCATGTATTCTCAACAGGCTCGCTAGCAACACAGTTTACCCACCCCATATGACCATTAATAACTCTCATCAGTTTCCAAGGAGCATGCCATTCGGGTCTTTGTAGAAGTAATTCGTTATATCTCCCCATCACAGATGAACTCTTCCCATTTCCAGCAGTCATTGCAACTTGATTCGATATATTCCTCTCGTCTGCTTTGACCATTTGGTCAACAACAGAATCATGTACTTTTAAACCAGAAGAAACAGTACCTTCACCATCACCAATCAAAATAGAACTCTTTTCATTTATAACATCCTGTAGATGTTTAGGTAAGGTACCCATATGTTTGAATTGGTTGTTCCAACGAATATCTGTATAAAATTTATCAACCTCATCGACGGTGCTTATATCTTCATGATTGCTCATCAGAATAGTGTAATTATAAATACTTTGTCAGTCTTGTGAAATACTATTCTATAACGGTTGTAGACTAAATTTCATATGAATTGGATGCCTTTTCTTTACAACTTATTATTCGTACTTGTTATACAAGATGACCTTTAATGTGCAATTTAGACCGATTTTTTAATTCTTAAATTTTAATATATGTAAAATAAGTCATATAATCAATAACTATACAAAATACATATTCTGGTGCTATAATTTGGATTGAACGAAGGTCTAGTTGTCGATGTAAATTGATTATGTGTTGTTTATGTAGTTCTCTTGAGTGCAAGAGTTATTCACATTTTGGAGCATCGTAATTGAGGGCAGAAAGTTTCTCTCTTTTCCATAATTCTTGAATCTATAAAATGGGATACAAATTGTATATATATATATACTTGATTAGTTTAAAATTTTATTCCACTGGTGAGAAGTAACTTATTTACCATCGAAAACTGTCAGCAAACCTCCAATTAGATGAAGGGAACCAGTAACAAAAATATTGACATTTTGAGCTTTCGAAATCGATTCAATATATTTACAAGAACTCTCGATGTCATGAATAACAGAGATGTTTGCGTTTTTATCAAAGCTATGCCATTCTTCTTTCAAAGCTTTCTGAACATGTAGACTTTCTACTTCATCTTTGGATGTATTAATGGAGACTAGATCAGCACTGTATCCTGAGTTACTCCAAGTAACATTGGTTGTGAATATAACTTCATCAAATGTTACATTTGGATATAAAACTTTATGGACATCGTTTATCAGGGCCTTGGCGTCTCTTGTTTGCTGATTGAAAAGTAATATATTTTTACATTTAGAATTTTCTGTAATATCTTTGAACCATCCTGAGGCTGCTACAATACTGTCCTTGGTATGAGCACCATCTAAGTACCAGGTTAAGTTTCCCTTTTTAAGAGTTTGGCATCGACCTTCCCATTTAGTGTTAATTAGTCCATTTACAATTTTTTCCGGTATGATACTGGAGTCATCAGTGATTGGATCAATAGTTGAGATATTTTTAGTGTATAAAAACTGTGATGCAAGTGTAACAGCTAAGGATGCATTTGAAATTTGAAATTTACCGTCGATACCAAGTTTTACCTCTTTGAGTTGTTTGAACGGTGAGATTTCTACTAGATTTGTTTCACGTTCAATGGCTCTTTCCCTTAAAACTTTTAATCCGTTGGTTGGTTGGTTAGAGACTGTGTATGCAGGAGCTCCCTTTTTAAAGATACCACTTTTATTCCATGCGATCTCTTCAATTGTGTTTCCCAACATGAATGTATGGTCAATACCCAGCAACGAGACACCGCAAGTGACAGGATTTTCTACAACATTGGTGCTATCGAATTCACCACCTACACCGACTTCATAAACACAACTATTACAACTCTCTTTCAAGAAGATATGGAATGAAAGCAAAGTTAAATATTTAAAATAAGCAGGTTTTGCGCCGGAAGTCATATGAGGGAAATCGGCTAAAGAAGAAGAAGTATTCTCCAATTTATCCCAAACTTCAAAGAAATATTTTGTAAATTTTTCTTCAGAGATAGGAATGCCATTAATTCTAATTCTTTCCCTTACAGATTTTAAATGAGGGGAGGTATATAATCCAATTTTCCCTATACTGTCTTTATATTCATTCAAAATAGAAGATGTGAATGCAGCGGTAGAACCTTTACCTTTAGTACCTGTGATATGAATAATATTTAATTTATCGATATCAGAGATGGAATAACCAATTCTTCTAACCCATTCTTTCATTTCCAAGATATTCATCTTATTCTTGGTGTTACCGGATTGTCTGGTTGCCAGAATTGTGGCAGCATTTGATTGCAACGTATTTAATTTTGTAATTGCATCATGGTAAGTTTTCGATGTCATCATTAGAATCCTGGCAGCTTTCATTCAAAATTACAATTTTCGACAAGTTGACTGAGATAAATCCACTAACTAAAAAGAATACTCTTGTTTCACACTTGATCTAAAGGATTAGCAATGGGTTATATCCCAAATTGTATCATCTTCTAGTGACATAACTGTGAAGAACGCCAGATTGAATAGAATAAAGTTCTAGTAGATTACTTCTTTTATATCATCATCATTTCATTGTTCAATTCAATTGATGTTAGCATTACATAGACTTGTATGTTAGAATAGAGTAGTCACGTTATAGATTCATTTGCGAATCCAAGAGATCACCTCAGATCAGATCAGATGACCTTACGAGAGGAGCCACGCCCAAGACGTTTCTTTTTCCTTGTTTGTTTGTCACGTGTCTTTACGTATCACGTGTAAGTGCCTGTCACGTGTGTATTTGTCACGTGCTCCCACCCCCCTCCCTCCAAAAATCATGCAGCGATCAAGAAAAAATAAAAAAAAAAAGGAAACCGAAATGGGAAATATTCAATCCAACATGCATCTAACCAACAGGAAGACCAAAGCCAAAGGTTAAAATGAAAGCAAGTTTATTATATAATGTGGATATATCTATTTTAAATATTTTAGAGATGTAGGAATTGAAGTTTTGGATATTCTTGCGTGAATCAGCTGTATCTGGTGGCGATTCTCAAGAACTTAATATTTTCCGTCACATACTTCTGAAGTGGCTTTTTTTATTTAAGAGGTTTGTTCAACTGTGTGGTTTTCTTGCTTAAGGGAACAACAGAATAGTTAACTCTCCAGTCAGCTTAAACTCATTGAAAAAATTTCAATTACAATAGATATTCCTTTATCATTGGTTTTCTATTTGGGGAATTTTGGGAAACGTGAAATTTCCTGTAACAACTATTTCAACTGGTTTACCAATACGACGTATTCATCTATTTCCATTGATCTGGAGTTATTATAAGTTCATTTTGTTTGATCGACTCCATTATACCCTTTACCCTTTAATTTTATTAATATTATTATTTTTATTAATATCTTTTTTTTTACCCCCCAAATATTTGCTTTATTTCTTTGATTCAATTGAAGATCCCACTTATGCATCAGTTATTCATCCTGTATTGATCAAAGTTTTAGAACTATATGAAGATGCAGCCTTCTAGAGCTGAACAGAATCAAATCAAGGCGATTATAGGAAACTCGTACAATAAACTGTATTCTCAATTGAACTCAAATGAGTTGAATGAGGTAGGCAACTATAAAATCTTAAAGCAAATCGGTGAGGGCAGTTTTGGGAAAGTTTATTTGGCTTTACATAAACCAACTCACAAGAAAGTGGTTTTGAAATCAAGTGATAAGACAGATCCAAATGTCGTAAGAGAGATATTCTACCATAGACAATTCGATTTCCCCTATATTACAAAGTTATATGAGGTTATTATAACAGAGACAAAAGTTTGGATGGTGATAGAATATTGTCCAAATAAAGAATTATATGATTATCTTTTATCAAAGAAAAGGATCTCTTTGGATGAATCGGCAAGAATATTTGCTCAGATTGTTGGTGCTGTCTACTATGCTCACTCTCTGTCTTGTGTTCATAGAGATCTAAAGTTAGAGAATATCTTGTTGGATAAAGATAATAATGCCAAATTGACAGATTTTGGCTTCACTAGAGATTTTTCTAAAAACACACAACTAGAAACTATATGTGGTACTACAGTATATATGGCGCCAGAATTACTTCGAAGGGAAAAATATGATGGTTACAAGATCGATATCTGGGCATTAGGCATCCTTCTATACACTATAATCAACGGTACCATGCCATTTGATGAAGATGACCCAAAGAAAACAGAACTAAAAATAATTAGTGCTTCTCCGGATTATGATAATAAATACTTCAATGATGATTCTATAGATCTAGTGAACAGGTTACTTTCGAAAGATCCGTCAATGAGGCCCACCATAGAACAGATTTTAATGCATCCATTTCTTGCGTCTTACGGCCAAGATATAATGCGTACTTCAGATAATATTTTACAAAGTCAAAAACTTGGTGTATTATATTTCCATTCAAAAGTAGAACATCTGCTATTGAAAAAATTGAAAAAATCAGGTTTTGATAGACAGGCAATAAAAAGCTCTGTGCAGAAAAGAAAATGTGATTCTTTGTCAAGTTTATGGTTTTTACTTTTAGAAGAAGAAAAATATCGTGCAGAACAGCGAAACTCTAAATTCACAACACGAAACTTTTCAGTTAAAAAAGTTGTTGATGCAGTGCAACCAGTAGTTCAGCCAGTTATTCAACCAACTACTGCGATAATAGACTCTCATGGTGAATACATAGGCGCAACACTAGTCGCAACAATATCAGCACCAGGCATAGCACTTAATAAAGGGAGAGAGCAACTAACCAACGTACGGAAGGCAACTGTAGAATGCATCATTGATTCAACCCCAAATAAATCTACACCATCCCCACAACTTACTCTGAATAGTCAATCACCTAGTAGACTGGTTCATTCTAAAGACAATTTTTTTAAGAAAGTTTCAAAGTTTTTCAAAAATAAGAAGCTGAACACTGACGCAGAAAGTTTTATCTCTCAAAAAAATTCAAGTAATATTCATGATTCTCACTCTTCCATTCATGACCGAAATTCAAATGAATCAAAAAAGGATGAAAATGATAGAACTTTGAGACCAACCATTTCCTCGAGAAACAATCATCAAGCTTTAAATATGGAGTCAAAGAAACAAGAAAATGGAGTCGCAGAGGGTACCTTTATGGTTAACAATAAAAAGAAAGTAGAGGAGCCGCGATTGAAAAAGTTCAAATCGGCAACTTCAAGTGAATTTTCATATAATGACTCTACTGGAAATTATGATAGTGAGTCAACGAATCACGCCATTCATGTATCTAATGATGGAGTAAAGTTACAAAATTTGAAAATATCGAGTAATATTCCACCTCGACCTGTATTATTATCAAATCTGTCTGAGATATCAAACGATACATTTAATTCAGATTATTCAACAGATGGAAATTCATCATCAATAAAGATTGCCGATACGACACAGTCATTTTTCCCTCAGGGTAATGGTGGTCTATCGCAATCAAGTTTAGCAGCTGATAAGTCTATTATTCACATAAATAAGAAAATCATTCGACGAGAATTAAGTTTTATTTCAAGTGCTTCAAGTACATCGGAATTAAGTTCAAGGGCAGATTCATTCTATGATCTTGCCACTGCATCATTACCTAAAGCAAAGGAATCCAGAAAAGCATTACGATCAAGTAATAAAGAAATGAATTCTGCCAATTTTGAGGCCCCAAGATTCTGGTCTCCAAATTCTTCATATCATAGAAGGAATAATATGAGAAGAAGGAGTCAGAAGAGAGGAATACTTCAGGGAACTGTTAATGACACCCAGCCTATTATACAAGAAGAAAGTTCGTCGGTAAATGATGATTACATCCAGGATGTACAGAGCTTACCAAATTCTGAAAGGTTAGAAATGGATGGAGATGATCAGGAATCTGTTACCCATTCTGAGAATTTTAGACCTTTGGTAATGAAAACGTCGATTAAAAAAGAAAAATCAGATAAATCAGATTTCGATGTTAGAAAAACTACACAACGTTCGTTTAGTCCAGACAGTAATTGGTCGCGTACTTATTCTGATCTAAGTGATGATTTAAAGCCAAATAAAATTATGGGAACTGATGAGCCATTAGAGAATGGAAAACCTCATATTATTGACAATGAAAGTGACGATGGAGATGAAGAATCAGTTCAACTATCCGTGAACTCGGATAATTTCTCGGATTAAACTAAATTAAAATACACATAACCCAATGCATCAATTAAAATAATATTACATACATATATATATATATTTAAAAAGCTGTATATGTTTTAGGCATTCAAACCCAATATACACATATTATGGTTTATTCATCATTATCTTTTTTTTGCAACATTACATTTAAAAAGTTCTCTATCAATTCATTTGGTCTTCCGTCTACTATCATTGATTCCAATAATCCCTTTATATATTCATTCTGATCCTCTTTGATATCTAGTGACTTCAGAACTGTGTCTATTTCATTATCATAATCATCGTCATCAAATTCAGAATTATTTAACATCTCATTGGAAGTAATATTTTGTTCACTTTCCTGTTTCAATTCATTGTTATCCGCTAAACAGTTCGCTATGTCATCTTCTTTCATATTTAATGCATTTTTCAAATAGAATTCAAAAAAATCCTCTTCACTCAAAGTCATATTTTTAACAGATGAATCGAGTCCAAATTGATTATTGTTGGTTTTATTTTCATTTTCTGTTACTGAAGAATCTAATAGGTCATCTACATCATTGGTATCTACCTCATTGAGTTTTAAGTCATTAAGATTGCCTGTTACTTGCGAAATATAACTCGTTAGCTTCTCAACAAAATTTGAATTTCGAATATCATCTTCTGAAGAGAGTTCATTATCGGTAAAGTTTGCCTCTTTGAAATTAAATGCATCAAATGGTGGTAATATTTTTCCTTGCCTATATTGGTTCTCTATATCCAAATTGCACTTTTTCAATTTCCCCTTGTCTAATAATGAATGTAGAATGTAAGATATTATTCTACCATGACATAGAGGAAGATTCATTGGTGAGCATTCATTGCTATTCACGAGTGCCACAGATAACAACTGGAAATGCGTTTTAGGTATTAATACTTCTAGTGAGTATAATTCACCATTTGCATCTTCTTTTGATACCACACTTGCAATATCTACTTCTGTAAGAACCTGCCTAACAATATAACTAATGATAGTGGGGTTTTCTGCAAGTAATTGATAAATTTCTTTGTCTTCGAAAACAACTGGAAGCTTAACCAAATTTTCTAAATATTTCTCTGGATACCCAGATAATACATTTCTGTCTATTGCTTCTGATATTCCCTCGAATTGTATTAGATTGAAATATGATTTTGTTAAAAATTGTATAGCCTCATCGGGAGTCAATCCACGGTTGTAGTAAAAGGTAATAGGTATTACTTTAAGTTTCCCTTCATGTAACCAAAATCTATTAAATGCAATTGGGATTTGATAATCCTGAGGTAAAAACTCATTGGATTCTGCAATTAAAAGGTCGAACCAATTATCGCAGATTCTAATAAAATTATTCACAGATAATTTATCTGAAACTTTATATAATAATGAAATAATCAACCTTTCTTGTTCTTCAATGCTATCTTGAACACATATGTCACCAAATACATATCTAGTACCATTAGGTAACGATTTTATCTCTAACTGGACAGAATTATAATAAGACCATGGATAATGTATGTTCCAGGCTTTGAATACATCATTAACGACATTTATGATATCCTGTAAGATGGTTTCAATGTTCCCTATTTGAAGCATGTCCAAGTGAAAGATTCCAAATAGAAGATGTATTAATTCTTGTCCTCCATTGAAGCTGTCGACACCATCTACATCATCCTCATTTTGCCATAGATGATCGGAAGATAGTTTATCGATATCTTTCACCAGCATCATAGTATACCTGATATCCGCGTATTCAGTGAATCATAGAAGTTTACTATAGAGTGTCTTCCTTTTTTGCTTGATCTATCATGTCTCTTTTACTATAAAGAAGTTATAGAATTTGACCTCATCGATTATTTCTTCGTCTTTTTTGTAGATTTTGAAATAGGCGATGAGAGAAAGAGATAGAACTATGGTGATGAGATGACGTAAATTAGCTTCCAAGTGTCAGATATGGATTGTGTACAAGGTTAATCATTTCACTGTACTCTTTATTGTCTGTTTGATGGTAAACTTTTAGGGAATTATTATAAATATGATGATTGATTATTATTAATAAGTACGAATGGGAACTAATATAAGTAGATATACTATAGAACTAATTTTTAATCTTCACGAAATCATTCACACCAACTGGACATTGAAGTTTTGATCTATGATACAATTATCCAATACTGTCTAAAATGATTTCTCTTCAGAGCTGGAACAATTGTATATATGTTTATAAACTTGTTAAAGAATTAGTATCATTCTTCCCTTTTCTAAATCGTTACTAATTGAGAGGTCCCAATATGTTATCCAAAAGTCAATGTGGTATCAAACACTTGATATTATGGTTAATTGTTGGCCTCTTCTGATGGTGAAGTGGCCTTCTTCTTCTTCTTCTTATTTTTCTTCTTCTTTTTTTTCTTTTTAGTAGCAGAATCTTCACCACCCTCAGCCTCAGGTTCTGGTTCTTCTTCCTCTTCTTCTTCAATATCATTTTCATTTTGATTCCCAGTGTCAGCTTCATCTTCAGCTTCGACAGGTTCAGCACTTTCTTCCTCTACAGGTAAAGCTTCTGATGCACTCTTTGTTTCTACAAGTTCGATAGTATTTGAATCTTCATTTGTAGTTTCCTCGTGGCCAGCCGGTTCTTCGACAACAGGCTCTTCTGCAACTACAGTTTCTTCAATTACAGTTTCTTCAACCAGAGTTTCTTCAATTTCGATTTTTTCTTCAGTGACATGTTCATCCTCCACATTTGGTTCCTCCACAACAGGCTCTTCTTCCTCTCCAACGGGTTCTGCTTGTTCAGCTGAAACAGATTCCTCTTTGACAGGAGATTGCTTTTCTTCAGTTTGGGATGAAGTTTCAATGGTAACATCACGAAGACTACCACCAGAACCTGTACGTGGCACAGGGCTACCCCCTGTATCACCTGAAATATTTTCAAATTTCTTGATCAAGTCAGCAACACCCATAGCTAAAACCAACTTATTCGATCAATTGACCTTATATCAACTATCTACAACCTTTTAAACTAATTACCCAATCTACAAAGCTGATCCCATGTTACTTTTATATCAATTATCTTTAATATTCCTAAAGTGAAAGAGTTTCGAAACTTTATTCTTGTTTCGATTTCGAATTCGCCTTAACGAAGATAAGACACGTACAAGGTAGGGCAGACTATTACCATACAGACTAATATCACCATGACAATAATTGTAGTTGTTATATTAGATTAACTGTAATGAGAATCAAATTCTTGTTATTGTAATACAATAAATGGATTATTTACATATATTAGGTCTCTATACCTTGTTTGTGATGCAAGTGAATGCAATAAGGTAATCTTTATCATGAGATATCGATAATAAAATTTGAAATAAATTTGGATCAATATAATTATTGAAAAAGTTTGTATATTTCATATTACCATTAATAAAAGATGGATCTATTTGTAAAAGTGGCTTTCCATCTCTGTCTTTGGTTCTATATGCTAATTTAGTATAAATTGTTTGAGCTGGTGGTAATTCGGTTTTAGGTACATAATTGCTTAGACTTTTATAAAAACATTCTTTTGAAGCCCAAACACTTGCAATATACTTGATTATTCGATTGACATCTCTAGGGGTATCTTGATTCAATGATTGTAGATATGAATATTCTTGTTCATGCATAAATTTATTTGATATCCTATGGAAACTTTTTTTATTTCGTATTTCTCCAGGCAGCTCTAGAGGATATCGAATCAGTAATCTTGCAATCCTAGGCAAATGAACTATATCAGTTCCGATTCCATAAACTTTTGAATTACTAATTGGCAAGGTCTTAGGCAGCATCATGTCATATATATCATGAATCAATGATGTTTTTTACGTTTATTACCTTTTCTAAAGTCTTTTGTTTTCATTATTAAGTAATTGAATGCTTTAAGGTTTTGTTTTTTATGTATTTGAAATTATTCATTTGACAACTAAACAGTAATCGTTAAACAGATTGTCGTTACAGAGATACCATGAATTTATTTTAGGTTGAATTCATCGATGAATCTAATTATATTGCTATATAGTAATTTTTGAGATTCCTCTTGTCTGACAGTGTGGGAAGCTCCTTTAATTAAACCAGAATACTGAGACCAATATTCTGAATTACTACAATTTTTCCATTTTAATATCAATTCCTGCTTGTTAACATGGTCAGGAACAAATTCATCCTCTTCTGAGTATGCTATTAAGAATGGAGTTCTTAGAGATCCAAATGTTTCTCTAAGTGATTCCATTGATAAATCGCTTGAAAAGTAATCATCATCACCGCCTTTAATCATTAATGAACACCATCTGTAAGCAGTCACTGGTACTTCACCTAGACAATTAGCATATGAGGAGTCCAAAATTTCATTTGGCTTATTATCACAAACCAATGAATAAGCTTTCTCATTCATTCGCAATAGCTCATCGGTACTCATTTCGTTACCAAATGCTTCTCTATCAGATACAGATGCTTGCAATATCCCAGCGTCTACTGTTGCCCCATACTTCAATAAATATGACATAGCATCTTGGGAACCTGTAGAATGGCCTAATAATAATACTTTTTCTCGTTTTCCACCTTGTTCACTTCTTAAATAATCTACTAATTCTTTGATCTGTTGGATATCTTCACTTAAAGAGGAAATACCAAACCCTTTGAAACTGCTCTTCATTTGCAATTGAACAACCGAATATCCAATCGAGCCCAATGCATCTACCAAACCAGGAGTGTATTCAACAGTCAGCAGTCCATCAGTCATCCCACCTATCAAAATTACAACATTTTTATTGTTTAGAGGGCTGAACTCAAAAGCAACTTGTGATGAGTTGTATTTATGCAATATACCAGGATAGCTCATTAAGGGTATATATTACGATGACAAATCTTGAAATAACCCCACCCTTATACAATTGAATGCTCTTTCTGTTGTTGTGGTTCAAGAGAAACTAGTTAGGGTTTATCTTTAAAGGTACACTTTTTTATGAGGTCCTTTAAAATGTTCGGTACTTAAGAGATGATGGATCTTAAACGACGTATTTTTTTAATCACAGAACAATGAATACAAATCATTCGAAAGTCTAGAAACTCATCTCAACTTACTATGAATCTATCAAATATTATAAAATTATAAACTAGAGGGGACAGAATTCTTTATCTTGCATGTTTTAACTCAAAAAATTGACTATTATTGAGTATTATCTACGATTTCATGCAAGAGAAATGAACGGTAGAGTCATACAAACTCATCGCTAATTTTTATTTTAAAAATAATCCCATTGTAATAATTTAGGGACTATCAAAAATTCTAAATGATTCACATCAGCGGATCTGGATCATTAGGACATTTTTAAAGTTCAAATATTCAAGAACACTGGAAAATATCGATATTCTTTATCTGGTAAGACATTTGTTTAGAAATTAATCATAACCATACTTTGCTATTTGGCATATTAAATTTTCTTAGTCTCATTAGAAATTATACCATATTATATAATTAATGTTTTAATGACCAAGGCATTTTACCTTCAACATATTGTTCAAAATACTCTATATCTGACAATTTTTCATTAAACTGTAGTATTTTAACATCATCATAAGCAGGATATCTGTTCTGGCAGTTACGGGTTATTTTCTTTGACAATAGAACATTTCTGTTACCATACCAATCCTTTTCGAATAAATTTACTGCATTGGAAAATTCATTTTTATTCAGATCTAGCATATATTTCTGATAAATCTCAGTGTCCTTAAAGTTAGTATCACCATTCAAATAACTTTCATATAATGGATTTGGATCAATAGATATGTATTTCAGCTTATTAGAATCGAAATCAATTGCCTTAGCATGAAATTTTCTAAATCTATCTTCTTTGAATCCAAATCCGACGATAGTGATATAACTTGGGAAATATCCAATAAATTGTTTAAATCTATAAATGGAATATAAAAGATTATCGAAGGAATCCAATGCAAACTCTTCTGTTGTAATATATTTACCTTCAAATAAAGAATCGACTGAAATTTTGTTTTTAAGTAATCCCTCATGTATTTCATTTATAAATGCCAACAATTCATTATCCCCCCTAAACAATAAACGTAGTTCATCTTCAGATATCTTCAGTATATTCCACATAAGCAAATAGTAACTCTGTGCTTCTGACAAGCATCCAGCTGCACTTTTAGTTTGAGAACCACTGAAAATGACAACCGACTTCTCTTGAGCAAGATGGTTTAAAAGCTCATTAATAGCTGCAAGACCATGCTTTATCATAGAAATATGGTCATAACCTTCAATTTGGAAAGGTGCTAGGTACCATTGGCTTTGATCTTGCCCTAAATTGGTCTTCCCATCTTTAGATCTATGTAGAGGGTTCCAGATACCATGGCAAGGCACCATAATCAAACGCATTGGCCCATCAATTGAATCAGACATTTCTTTAATGGGGTAGTCCTAAACTTCTAATTACAATGGTATTCCACAGGTCATCTAATCCACCAAATCCAAATATTCCATCGTTTAAGCATACTCTTAACTTATGGTTAACCCAGGTTTTTCTTTTGCTGGATCATTACAATAAAAATATCGTTATTACGAGAGGCTACGTCATAATGCGAACAGTTAGGCTTTACATAAACAAAAGTGTCAGTATAAGAAAAGGAAATTATTAATTAAAATAATAAATATGTATTGTACATTGCTAGATATGTATACAGACTTTAATGGTTAATATAGATTTTTATCAATGGGAAAGTATAAATCAACTAATTTAATTGTATTCATTTATTTATTGTTAATGAAGATGATTATGACTATTATTATTATTATTATTATTTATCATTGGGGAACAGTTTTCGAAACTATTATAATAAATGGGTTTATTTTGATTATAATACAACTTGAGTTTCACTATCCCAGTAATCTCTTCTGAAATTCCAATGTAAACAGGGAATATCAGATTTTTTATCATGTTTATCACCTACTAGAGTACCACTTGGGACATTTTTAGTTGATAATTTCAAGTCATCAGCTAACTTAACGAACATGTCATCTTTGGCCGGTTTGCTAAATTCAGTAACTGATTCTAAATTTGACTTCATTTTATCACCATAATTTATGCAATCAAACCATCTAGTTTGCCATTTTAATCCCTTTTCCTCTTCTTCTATTCTCATCTCTCTTTGCTTATTTTCTAATTCACCTTTTGTTCTACCAATTTCACTCATATCACCAGCAATAATTGCTTGTGCAACTTGTTGCCATGCTCTCCTTGATTCCAATGGATGTTGTTCTTCAATTGGTTTGACATATACATGTTCCACTTTTTCTTTATCAGCATCATAAAATAGAGTTGTTACATCACCACCATTAGCTAAGTTATGTTTTGTAATATCAGATCTTTGAGACCATTGGCCTTGGATTGTGTATACAGCCTTGTATTTGTCATCCATATCGGCTGCAGCTTTAAAAATCCTTGCTTTAAAAGAATTCTTCTTACCAGAGAAGAAACCTTTACCAGAATATTCAAAAACACATGTTATACCACTTGAAGATTGAATATACGATTTCCCTTCTAGTTCCGCATATGGTGAGGCTACTAGGATACCTTCAATATGCAATGGCGGTAAAGTGACTAAGTAAGATTCGTCGTCACCAATTTGGAAAATGGAGTGACCATATTGTTTCACATTTAAAGTCAACGTTTTAGAAATGGACGTTTTGATCTGATTATAACCTTTTAAAGTTATATCATGTTTATCGTTAATGACAGCAAAGCCAGTTATTGGAGGATGATGAGAAACTTGTTCACTTAAAAGAATAGTTTCACCAAATTCTGGGTGATTCTTGTTTTGCCATTTACCACAGAATAATTCACCTAAAAATGGATTTAATGGCTTCTTTTCGGAACCCATAGATTCATTTCTTGATGCATATTGGGATTTTAAAGTACAAACAAACCATTTAATGATTGCTAACATTTTAGCCATATCAGCAGATTCAACGTTTTTATCAGCAGTACATCTTTCTTTGTAATTATCTTCATTGATCAAAGATGGCTCTACAAAAAGATGAGGATGTTCAGCCCAATACTGTGAGAATTCAGTTAATGAAACTGGAGATAATATAAATGGAGGAGCTGATAATTTAGACAGATCACCATCGAATGAGGCCAACGATTTTAAAAAAGTAGACCAAGTAGAACTCTTAGCCTGTTGTGACATTATTATAATTATAAAGAAATCTATATTTTAAAGGGCTAGATTAGTAGGAAAAAAAATAGAATGATTTCAAAAGTTCTTCTCTTTACTATAATTTAATTGATTAGTTAACAAATAATGGAATTCTAATCGAAGGATATGTATACAATTAGGATTCTTTCTAATTTAAAACTTGTGACCTCGGAGTTTCTAGATGAAGTTTAACAATTGACGTATATACAGTAGCTAAAACCTAATTAACCTGATACGTTGTAAAACTTCTTAAGATTGTAATTGAATTATATTCATTCATTTTTTTATAAAATCAGTCATGAATTTCAATTATAAATAACACAATTTCAATCGAAAAGATTAATAAAACTAGCTTTTTTATTTACACACATATATTTATATACATATATATATTAATTCACCATGAGGAAGAACGTAAAGAGAAACATGATCCAGGTTGATCAATACCCTATGTGTTGATCTATTTCAGTAGTTCCATCTGTGTATTTCCACTAATGTATTCATTCCTTGTGCATGATTTTTTCTTATATTAACAGTCGTGGTGATGGTGATGGTGTTGTGACACTCAAACGAATCAATATTTTATCCTAAACGAGACTACATGGTTGAAAAATTCAAGAGGATAGACATATCTCTTATGAACAACAGTTGTTGAAGAGTTGGTTAAGTTGGTGGGTAAATGAGATACTAAAGGAAGGATTGTGATGGGATTGCTATACAGCTGGTTTCTTCCTTGTTCATATTTTGTTTTTTTAAAATTTTTCTTTCAAAGTAGCTCATTGAGCTTTGCTTGTTCTTGGAGTTCAATTGATTGATTGATTCGATTAATTAAAATAAAATAAAGGTTGAAATGACAAGAAAAGAGAGAGGCTTGGCACTTGTATTTTGGTATCTTTACGGTGCGATACAATTGAATTCTAATCATTGATGTATTCATTGATAGAATTATTGAAAGAAGTTAAAACAAACTGGGTTTTTATCAAGTAGGGATAGATTTATGGGGAGGTAACAAGGGAGGGGATTAATTGTCACTACAACTTTATTGATCAGTTACTTACCAGGTTAATATTTGGAATGAGTCTGGTCGATAGTAGGATTACAATAAACTTTCATAATTCAATGACGTTTCTTTGTTTTTCGAAGTCTTATTCCCTGTGTAACTGCAATTTATTGTAATTATCAATAGATCGTCTATACATTTTTATCTATAGGTGTTCATTCGTTTAAGTGTCCACTTTTTACAGAAGTCGGGAATATTTAAATTAAGGCGTTGAATTGTTACTACATAAGTTAAAACAAGCGTTTAAAGTTGATATTTCATGGAGTATAGATAGATTATTTGAATGGTGTAGATGTAAATAAATATTTGATATCAAGCTTGAAATAATATCATTTTTTTTTTCAGTTTAATTCTTATCTTTATAAATTCATTTTTTCCTCCAGAGAGAATATCCAAACTCTAATCCTCTCTCTTGTTGGGCATATTTTAAAGGTACGCTGGAATTTTTACATGGACTCTCTTTGTCAGGTAATTCGACTTGAGAAGGTAAAAATGTTCCTAAATCAACATTTTTATCTTCTATATAATTTTCAGACAGTGTTTTGCTATCCAAAAAAGTATCAACTTTTGGTGGTGGGACATCATCATCAGATCCTGTCTCTAAGGGTACAATTTTTGTAATTAACCAGTAATCACATAAGTTCAGGCTTTCTTTATATATTTCACCACCACCGATTATATACACACGTTCGATCTTGTCCTTATAGGAAGAATTCAATTTTTCAATTGAATCATATAATGAGTTACATTTTAGATAAGAATTATCATCAGAAAGAACCAGATCTGCAGTAAAGCTTCTTGAAATAACAACGTTGGTTCTGTTTGGCAATGGTCTGAATTTGGCAGGAATAGATTCCCATGTCTTTCTACCCATAATAACTGCATTTTGTTTACCTGAATCAAAAGTACTTGAAGTAACCTGTCTGAAGAATTTCATTTCTTTGGCCAACCTCCAAGGTAGAGTACCTTGAAGACCGATTCCAAACTCAGGAAGTAAGCATGCAACAATACTAACTACTGGTAACTGAGACATATTGCAACTGTAGTCTTGATGTATAAGTTCAATTGGTACAACACCTCAAGAATTATCGCTGACCTATTGCTTTAATTTATCTTTATGCAACTATTTTTTAAAAAAATCTTAATCTCAATCTGAAACTTCTTAAATTTCATAATGAAAAAATTTTGATAACGATGAGGTTAACCTTAAAGAGAAAACTTTAAAGGTTCATGGCTCTTGATCTATATAAAGAAAGGTGTATATATATTGTTGCTACAAGCAATAGGCAATACCTGAGTAAGGACATATTAGTATAAAGTACATTAAGAGAGTTTTTCCTCTGTGTATTAGGATGTCAGTGCAAACATTTAGCAAGACTTTGGAACCTTCAGGATCTATTTCTGGGAAGTTATTAGATGTTAGTGTAACTATTCCAGTTGACTTAAGTAATAACAAGATACCAATTACGGTTACAATTGGTAGCAAAGAAGGAGGTATCAATGCTGGTGAGAATGATACCGGGAATGATATTAACAATTTAAAATTGTTATGTTATTATTATTCTATTTCTAGAAGATCTGATAAGAACGATGTGGTGAGTACAGTTTTGCTAGACACCAGCATTGACAGCGTCAGAGATACAACTAGACAATTGTCGACATTGCTTTGTAAGAAATATAGACATCCATGTTATGTAGCATGGTCTTCCGACGCATCCAATACCAATGACATGTTTGACCAAATATCAATCATTAAAACTTGTGTCCAATACATACACGATAAGATTAGTACATAAGTTCTATATAAATAAAATAAAAAATATAGAAATTGATATTCAAAATTAATCTCTAGATTAGCAATCAAACCTTTGATTGACAAAACTAGAAAAAAAAATAAATATATATGATTAACTTGTCAGACTGCCATTCACACCCGCCCATTAAATATCCATCATCTCCTACAAAAATAGAAGTACACGAACAGGGCCAAGATCATCGCGCCAAGGAAACGATTTAATGTATGACCACTTAAAAAGTAAATCTGCAAAAAATCTATATGGCAAAAAATAGCAAAACTAGAATCTTCAATATATCAAATAAATGACATAATAAAAGAAACTATTTCACAGATTAGATGACCGAGTCGCTAAGGACTGCGGATCAAGCTAAAAAATGTAATAATAACGTTTTGTGGAATTCTCACTCTGAGGTACGAAGGCTCTGGTGCTCATCAACCAAGTTGGATTCAGTGGCTCTTGTGAAGAGTCAAAGAGTGACGATTACTATAGAAATGATCCTATGAAGTACGTCGATACTTTTTTTAGTAAATAACAAAAAGAATAAAACTAAATTAGAAAGAGATTAAAATTTTTTCTAACTTCGAATAGATGGGTCCTTTTATATGTTTCCAAAACTGAATAAATCTCTTCAAAAAGAAAATTTAGAGCGAAAAAATGATTTGCCCTAATGCTGAAAGAAAGAGGCAAGAAGAAAAGAGAGAGTTCCAAAGTTTTGTGTGTGTGTATCTGTAGGTATCTATGTTTTGTACGTCGTTTATGCGGTGGTATTGGTCTCAGATAAAACAGACGAAATTGGACAATGGTTACCTATTTAGGAATTGTAGCGGCGAAAAAAAGCTTAGGGCAAATGCGGTATGTGGTGTAGCGATGTGGCGGTTACACTCTTGTAATGTTAGGGCACATGACTCTATCGATACGTGACAAATGATTTACTAGAAAAAATTGGAATCCAAACTGATGTGACTGTACCATCCGCTCATTCTTTGGGTGTCTGGGTGGTGTATGGTATCTGAAATTTCTTCTGTTTTTTTTTTTTCAGATTATGTTCGTATTGTCGAAATTGCAAAAGAAGTGAGACAAGAATAAGAGACCGTTACCGATGTGATAATTAATATTCCTGGAAATGATGGAATTGTAAATGTCGTGATCGTGTTAGTAGTGCAAGACGCGTCTGTTTGAGTAGAGAGAGACATTTAGTTACAGAATTAAGGCTACTTTTGTGTGAACCTTGTCATTTTCAGTTGTAAGAGATGAAGGTCTTGTCTAAACAAAGATTAATGGTGCACGACAGATAGGTCCTTCTAATCTACCTTTCTAAAATTCTAGACACCACCTGCTCAGCTACTCACCGGCGTCTTCACCCCAGGTGGTCTGCCCAGAGTCCAGAAAGGCTTTTTTCTCCTTCTAAACAGAACGATACTCTCATCTCCCTCCCACCAAACAAAACAATTTCAAACAATTTGGAAAAGTTTCACAACGGTATGGTAAGCAATGGTCCTAAAGTGGGAAACCTGGTTGGTGCGTGGTATTCTCAGTGAAACTTTTCCAAATTGTTTGAAACTAGCTAATTAATTGTTCAGTCCATTATTGATTGGAACACTACCCATCATCATCGCATGCAATACACAAACTATCCACTAATTAGTTTACTAGCTCTGTTTGATGATAGTGAAACTTTTCACAAGAAAAACCTTTCAATCTCTCTAACCAACAGACAGCTCAAACCAAACATCATCTCTATCTCTCTAGCTCTAGTCCAACCAACAACAACTTCACATCGTCTCTAAAGTCATTAGGAAAAAATTGTAATATTCAATTTCTATTCTAGTGCAAGTTAGGTCTAACTCTAACCAACCTCTTTGATATTGTAAATTTAATTAATTATTCATTCAGTTTATGGTCTTCCACTTCTGTCTTGTTAGTTACCGTAAAGCTCAGAATAAGCACTGAAACTATAAGCTAACATCTATTGTATTTATCAAACCTATACTCTATTAAAGAATAGTTAGATATATATTTTGGATATTTTTTGATTCTAACGTTCGTTTCTATTAGTAGATAAAAAAGACCAATAAGAACTATCCAAAGATGGCTGAATCCCATAGATGTATGTACAATTATTGTTAAATGATAAAATTGGTGGCCTTGACAAGGTTGATTATTTTTAAAGATAGATTATTATAATTCATTCAGATTTAGTTTGTTTAATTCCTAATTAAAATGCTTCATTGATGAAGCCTGATTAAACATTTTTACAGTTATCCCCCATTGGTTTGGTATGCCATCCTAATGACATCCAGGCAGAACTTTAATGGATTTTTAAAATAAGTGAGTAATCTCAAGACACTAGGAATTGAAAGTAAGAAAAAAGGATTAAGAAGTTATTACAGATAAAAGTATAATACGAAATGGTTGGATTAGATTAGATTAAAAGTTGTACAGTGGAATTATTTATGTGAAGTCAACACGACTTAATTTGAATGATTTATTAATAGTAGGGAAGAAAATAGCAACTTTATTAAGAATATTTGAAAGTTCATTGTTTTACTAACATATTTTATTGAAAATACTTTTACTCGAATGTACTGGTTTATTTTCATCTTTATTTTTTACAGTGTACGTCAAAGGTAAGCACTTGTCATACCAAAGATCCAAGAAAGTTAACAACCCAAACGTCTCTTTGATTAAAATCGAAGGTGTTGCTAACCCACAAGATGCTCAATTCTACTTGGGTAAGCGTGTAGCTTACGTCTACAGAGCCTCTAAGGAAATTAGAGGTTCCAAGATTAGAGTTATCTGGGGTAAGATTGCTAGAACTCACGGTAACTCTGGTGTTGTTAGAGCTAAGTTCAGAAACAACTTACCAGCTAAGACTTTCGGTGCCTCCGTCAGAATCTTCTTGTACCCATCTAACATCTAAGCATCTTTAACAATTTTATCATTTGTTTATGTTTGTTAAATAGTTAATTAGGTAGAAGGTAATAAAAATTATTAATTATATATATATATTTCATAAATTTGATTATTCCCTTCACATTTATATCTATATCTAAATTTTAATTCACTTCAAGTAATCTCAAATAATTTCTTCTTATTGAGTTTGTCTAAGATGTTCATATCAAACGAATATTGCATACAATATTAATGAAAATATATGAGTTAAAATGTCAATATAGATATTCATATTATAATTACATATTAATATAATGGCATAAATTAGGGTATCTGAAATATATATTTGATGCAATAATGAAAAAAAAAAAATTAAATAATTATCTTTTGGTTATAATCTCATGCTTCTTCTCTTAAAGAAATCAATTACTTTTTTGGCGGTTGACTGTTCACGTTGGGGTCTGAGTTCAGGAATATTGGTATTATGCTCTTGTAAATTTGGAACCATCATTGATGCACGTTTATTCCTCGTACCTATTTTATTGGCGGTATTGTCTCTACCAATTTCAATACTAGAATAACGCTTATCGTTCTTAATTGGTTTACTAGAACGCCTTCTGTAAACATCTTCAATATCACTTTCTGCTTGGGAGATAATTCTCTCATTCTTCAAGTGTGAATTATTGGTATTATTCGTCATTGAAGGCATTCTAGTATTACGATCTCTTACTGATAGATCTGCTCTTCCTTGCGTGGCATGACCTGGGGTCAATTGGGGGCTTCCAATGGAACTATGATCTGCGCGGCTCTTTGTATCAGACGAATCGAAACTAGTTTTAGAATTGTTATTATATGAGGAATAAAATGATAAAATGCTGAATCTCTTTTTACTTCCCTTCTTTTCCTCTTTGATTTTATCTCTTTGTGTCGAAACATCAGTAAACATATATGCTTCATACATCGGAGAGGTCTTGGATTTCTCACTCTCCTGTGTAATAGAATTATATGATGTATTAGAATCAGTTAATACAGTTTCATATTTACCTCCGCTACTTGGTGGATGTTGTAAAGACGAATCATACTCTTCAGGAGTGCGGCCAAGTGAATTTTTAGGAGAACTAATAGAATGTGGAACATATTGCCAATTAGTGCCCATTACATGTTCATGAATAGACTTCGCAGCTGAATCATTTTCTCCTTGAAACTTAATCAAATCAGCAGTAACACTTTGTAAGTCCAAAGATGGCTTACTCATAGAAAATGAACGTTGAGAGAGGATCTTTGGAGACGAATTAACAGGCATGCCTGTAGCTTCAGTATCGACTATTAATGAAGGTGTCGAATCAAACTGTAACGTTTCAAGTTGACTGATAACTTTTTTAGTTGAACTCTCTGTATTAGTATTAAATGTATTGAAATCATAAGGAGACAAATTTGTCCTTCCAGAACTAGATCCAGGATGATAAGAAGTTGGTCTAGGTTTTCTATGTTTTCCGGAATTATGCGACCCCCTAGTGGAATTTTCACCATTGTAATTTGTTTCTACCTTTTTCAGTTGAATATCTTCCCTTTCATTATTTCCAGCTGATCGAATAAATTCGGCTCGAATTCCCATACTTCTATCTTGCATTGTATCATTTCTAGAAACTTGTTGTAAATTAATATACTCTTGCTTCTTATTGTCACTATTATTGTTACTCCGTTTTTCCTTGGTGTTCATATTTTCATTCCTGTTAACTTCATTTTTGACTGTATTGATATGGTCTTGATTTCTTTGACTAGCTTCAAGTTCAGCATCAACAACTGCCTGTAATGCTATTGATGCCGCCGAGTTGCTTCTACTGTGCATTTTTTTATTTTTTTGTGTAGAACTAGAAGTATCTTCATTCACAGATGATGGTTTTGTTATAATATAAGATTGATATTCTTGCGGTGGTACAGGTGATAGGAGCATAGCTGTATCGATGATTAAAGTGTCCCGTTTGTCACTATTAGAATATTTTGACGTTGATGACTCCACAGATGAGGCCTTATTCAGTTTCTCATTATTCTGTTGTGGATTAGACAGAGCAACTTCGGTCTTCATTTTATTATCCCAGTCTTCTGGAGTTATTGATAAAAATTCAGAATGCGGCCTTAACCATTCATGTTGTTGGATTTGTCGTATGTTCAATCTTTTTCGTGGATCTGAGACTAATAACCTTCTTAGTAAGTCTCTAGGGATAGGGGAAATATATTCTGGAAACTTTAGAGATGTTCTGGTGATAAAATAGTATAATCTCGCAATGTCATCACCTTCAGGATTTTGTGGATCATCATCCCAGGGTAAATATCCAGCAAGCATTGCATAAAGAATGATACCACAAGACCAAATATCAGCCTTGCGAGCTTCATAAGGTTTAGTGCTAATAACTAATTCAGGAGCTGCATAGCAAGGTGAACCACAGGAAGTCTTCATTAAATCATTATCTTTCAAGAATTCATTTACAAAACCGAAGTCTGTTATCACTAAATTTTCATGTTTATCCAATAACAGATTTTCCAACTTCAGATCTCTATGGACTAGACCTTTTGAATGCATATAATTAACACCACTTACTAATTGTGTGAATAATCTGCAACCAGCAGTCTCTTTTAATCTCCTTTTCCTTTGTATATATCTATAGAATTCACCGCCTGAGGCATATTCTAATACAATACCAATGTATTTGGAATTTTGGAGTACTTCTTCTAATTTAACTATATTAGGATGTGTCAGATGTTTCAATGCATTAATTTCTCTAAAAATCTTAATTTCCTTTTCTGAATTTTTCACAATTTTATCCCTTCTAATTAATTTAATTGCAACCTGTTTGGAAACCTCTTGGTTTGACGTTGGATTTCTTGTCCAACCCAACTTTACTTTACCAAATTCACCTTCACCCAAAGTAGATCCGATATAATAAGGGCCAAACGTAATTTGTTTCCTTTTAAGTTTTGAAAGTCTATCCGATGGAGATCTAACCATGTTAGTGGTATGCTGGGTATTAGATCCACCCCCATAGTAGGTATGTCGATTTGAAATTGAAGACATCTAATATTAAATTGATTAAATATAAACTTTCATCCAATGGTTTGTCAGTTACAATTTGATTAGAAATTGAAGGCTAAAATAGAATAACTAGTACCTCTTAAAGTAAAAAATATGGGAAACAGGTCTATAATACTCAAAAACTACCAAATATCTTCTCTACAACTAGTTTATCTGATAATTATAGTTTGGAAGTTGGCTAAAATTTCCTTTTCTTAAAATAAATGGAAACCAGATACACTAAATAATCCCCCCCACAGATTCCTTGAAAGTCAAAATAATATTGTCTCTTTTTGAAATACAAATGTCAATTTCCAGTCACTACCGTCGGAATTCTAATGGCAATTTGGTGAATCTCAACTATAGATAATAATATAAAACTTGAGACCAGTTGAATATAGGTTTGTATCACGACTTTCTCTAATTACCGCAAATAATATAATATGGAATATTTCAAAAACTTCTAGTTTTAGTTCACTAATTATATCCGTTATCCAACCAAATATTGAAAGTAATCCTATCAAAAAGTAATCTAAAGCGTATCTACTTGATAACTCAATCTAATCTTAGTATTGTAGTTATCGAATTGGTCTTTGTTACCAGATCTCATCTTAAATAAGTTTTGTCTTTTATAAATATTTACCGAAATTTGGTACTAGGCACAAGATATGTATGATCACGTGGTATGTAGTAATACCTCATTGATGATGATTATTATGATGACTCTAAAAGGTTCAAGATGTCAGCAAAAGATGAGAATGTGATACATTCAGGTGATAGCTCTATTGACTGGTTATTTATTTATACAGAGTATAATATAGTAGAAAAAAATATATTAAAAATAGATTGGTTAAGGTATATACATGGGACATATAAACTCTATATACTGAGCTATGGATTATCATTACAAAAGTAGAGAACATTAATTTTGGAATCATTAATCTTTAGTGCGTTTTATTCTTTTTTCATTTAATTAACTGTTTGTGACTTCACTTGGAATTGGTAAAGGAACAACTATTATTTATCTTCTTCGTTACCTTTAACAATACCAACCTTAGCTGGTCTAATGACTCTGTCATTCAAAGTGAACCCAATTTGTTGGACATGGAAGACGGTACCTGGTTCTTTATCTGGGTGTGCTAACTCAAAAGTAGCTTCATGTTTATTTGGGTCAAATGCCTCACCCATTGGATCCAATTTTTCAATACCATGTTTTTTCAAAGTTTTCTCAAAAATGTCTCTAGTCATCTTAACACCAGTGTAAAGATCGTGAATTTCCTTGTTACCCTTGATATCATCTTCTTGGAAGGCATTTAATGCATGACCAAAGTTGTCAACAGATTCTAGCAAATCTTTAGCAAATTTTTGCAATGCAAAATCTCTTGCCTTTTGAACATCTTTCTTGGTGACTTCTTGCAAGTTTCTAAAATCAGCAACAGATCTCAAAAGTCTGTCCTTCAATTCAACTGCTTCTTTGGTCTTAGTGTTCAACTTAGTCTCCAATTCTTTAATCTTTTTTTGCTCTTCAGTTAAATTTTCTTCAGAGGCTTCAGTCTTTTCAGTTTCTGGTTTGGCTTCGTCAGAATAGGCTCTCAATGAAGCCCTGATTGGATTGAAACTAGTAGAACGTAACGGAATGAAAGCTCTGGCTTGAATTGGAGCAATAGCTCTAGTGACAGTAGCAGTTCTGACCAATGCACGTGGAAAAGCCCTCATCATAGTTATAGTTCTTGATATGTGTGTGTTTTAAAGTAATCCTAATAGTATGTGTATACCGTCACAGATACTAGAAGATATCGATATAGTATTAAATTAAATTAAATGTCTAACGAATGTATGAAATACACATAAAGATTTTAAATGACAATTCAATTACAGCGCAATTTATTGCTTAATCGAAAGGTTGACTAGTTCGTTAATAACTTGTTGGGATTAAACTTAATTTGATTAATTTTTCACCTTGTCACAAGAGATAATTATCGTATCATGTGATCTATATGACGATAAAAGTTAGCTAATTCACCAGCCATCCTTCATTAATGACAGTAATTGGACTTCTGACAATACAATTGATAAGATTGGATCTCTGTTTTGGAGGATAGTTGTTGGGCAATAATTGTTTTAAAATAAATTATTATCTAGAATAAAGTTTTGTAATAAACTTCGTATGAGTTGGTATTTATAACTTATTTAATTGAATGCTAAATGCTAAGTGTCAGAAACAAGAAAAAACATATGAAAGAGAAAATGGGGGACATGAAAGTTTATGGCTATTGGTACGATAAATTTTATTTTGGGAATGCTTTTATGAGACTCATTAATTTGAATATGCATTTCTCCCTTGTTTTTTCCGTGTGTTTTTTATTGTCTTTATCTATTTGGATTGATGATGAAGAATGAGAAGTATGGATAATAGATGTCTTGTTTAGTTAGAAAAATTAAGTACGGTCATTTTCCCAACATTTCCTAACAAACTTTTCCATGTTTACTTTCTTCTTCATTTGACCTTGTATCCAAGGATGCTGTATCATTTGTCTTGGTGATGGCCTTTCGCTGGGGTCTTTCTTTAAACAATATTCAATAAATGACTTGAATGATTTACTCCAGACTATGTTTAGCTCTGGTTCATCTTTTAGTTGTGGTGAAAAAGTCAAAATTAACATCAGTAGTTCGATAGGTGCAATAGTTGCAGTCATCTTATCTGAACCAAATGGAAATTTAGCTTGCGCAACCTCTAATAATGTTAGACCTAACGACCAAACATCACATGTAACACTATATGGCTGGCCTTGGATTCTCTCAGGAGCCATATAGAATGAAGTACCTGTAAATGTTGTCGCTAACGAGTTAACTGCTTCTCCACTAACACCGAAATCACATAATTTAACTTGACCTTTCTCATTTAATAATATATTCTGCGGCTTGATATCTCTATGTATAACTTTCCTCTCATGCAAGTACGATAAGCCTCGTAAAACGGATTCTGCTATCTTCCCTAAAACTTTCTCACCAATTCTCCCACCAAGATTTAGTAAGTTCAGATAAATTGCATCTAATGATCTCCCACCCATATATTCCATTGCGATAAAAATTGAAGAATTACTCTCATCGGTAAACATACCATAGTACCTTACGATATAATCCGATTTGAAACTTTTATTGAATTGTAATTCTCTAAAAATTTGCTTTTGGTATTCAGGATCAGTATTTAAAGTATTAATAGTTTTTAATGCAAATATTTTGGAGCCACTTTTTAGCTTACATTTGGCAACTGAACCACCGGCACCTTCACCAAGTAATCCTAAAGTAACTATTTCATCTTTGAAATGTGTATGGTTCCATAATTCTTCTCCAATCTCATCAATATCATTACCAGGGGTTGAATTGGTCCCATTGCGATATGGTGATTTCGATGGGCTAGTATTGGCGCTACTATTTTGATCATATGAACTAATTAAAGCTGAAGGGTACGAATCTGTGGAAGCATTCAGATCCTTACTTAAATAAATCATATTGCCACTGGTATCGCCATCTATCCGTATTGGAGTCTTTTTCCCTGAGGAAGCACTGTTCAAACTATCATTAGTTGTATCTGTGTTGATTTTTAATTTCTGGAGAGAAGCTGATAGATTGGTATATGAACCTTTTGAACCTGGTTGTTGCGAGTTATTACCTTTAGCTACTACTAAAGGTGGTAGTGGAGGAGGTGCGGGCCTACTTTTTTTGGTCAACGAAGAAGATGATCCAGATGAAGTTGCAGAGTTTATCTGCTGTGATTTATAATAATTGGGCACAATTGTTGAATCAGATGAAGGAGGCTGTGGAGTTACTGGTCTCGATACCGAGGAACCTAAACTACTTGATGGACCTTCACTTTTTGAAGATGGTGCTGAAGAAAGATATACATTTCTGTCGTTTGAAGGGACGGTATTACTATTTTTACCTAAACCTGGTAATGTTAACTTAGGAGATTTGGCATTTGGTTTAGCAGACTCTGGAGGTCTGAAAATGCTTGACATTATGAAATTATTACTGGCTTACAATCAAGCTTTTGAAATTAAAGGAATGGTAACGATAATAATATTTGTTTGAAATGCACAAAAGCAGAATGCAATTTAAAAAAAGATACGATATCAATAATGCTTGGTAATGAAAGAAAACAAAAAAAATCAATAGCAAGTGACTTTATCAGATTATATAAACAGATATAATTCAAAATCACTTAATTAAAACGTTTCTTTGGACAAACCGGCAGACTATAAGTGAGTAGCAATACTATTCAAATCCAATATAATTTTGTTTTATATATTGTCTTCCTTTTGTCCTGTTCTAATGGTAGTTTTCACAATTTACATATAAATAGCAAACAATTTCAACTTCACTCATTTAGAAATTCTTCTACCTCCACTCCTAAATCATATATATATGTATATTTATATAGATGTACATGAACAAATATATCACATCTTGCTAATATTCCTCAGCTCTTCGATCTTTTTAAATCTTACAATTTGATGCAATTTCTTGATCTAAAACTCTCGGAAAAGAGTGATTATTTGATTCATTTCGTTAATGGTGATACTTATTTAGGTGATGGACCCGACTCTTCCAAATGTATTATATCCGGGTAGTGATATTCCGCCCAGAGTGGTGAAATGCATTGGTTTCATTACCTAAAACTTGGTGATATATTATATATTTCTATTTCTCATAACTCCATACTAGTTCAACTTGGCTAACGGTTTGCTTACTCATTCTATTATGCTCCTAGAAAATTGCTAATCTTTATTGATTGATCTATTACGGCACTAAAAATTGAAGGTATTCTCGTACCGGATCTTAGAGAAATAATATATCACGTGATTGAGTAGTTTCATTTCAGTTTATATAATATGTACATAGTAAAGTTAGAAACAATGTTGAATATAAGATGACACTGGTTCTTGACAAGTAACTTGTATCTTAATGTAGGATATTTTGAAGGTATTTGGGAATTGGTTAGAATATATTTAATAGGTTTAGGGAATTATGTATTAAAACTTGATTTATTTTTGTTTTCTACTTAACAAATTGTTTTTGAAATAATCAAATCATGAACTAAATGTTTATTTTTAAGATGTGTATAAGAAGCGTTTACACTTAAATGATTGAATACATAAAGTTTCTTTGTATGATAACATAGAAAACAAAAATATATTTAACAGTGTAATGACAGATAAATAATAATTTGAAGAAAATGCTTCATTATATTTTATTCTTAAGTATACTATATGATACACAACTTATCTATCTATCTATTTATTTATGGGAGTTTGTGTATATACATGCATATATCTTAAATTATGGTTTTTATTGAATAATATCGAATTTAATTTAATGTATTCCAATCAAATCAATTGCATCAATTATTTTTTGCTTAAACGAACGTTTGAAATATTGTTTAAAACTTCATTATATTTTTGAAGAACTTCTTTGGAATCGACTGTTTGAGCATCAGAGGTTCCTTTATCTTGTGCTGTTGGTGTCGTGATGGAATCTGTATTTGGGATTGCACCGAGTGTAACAGGTGAAAAAGTAGTACCATAAATTTTTTCTAAATCAGTGTTACTTTTACTAACTTTTTCGATCAAATCTTCAATCGAATGAATACCTTTAGCTTTCATAACAGCACCTCTTACATCATCACCTGATGGAATCTTGGCAAATACTCTTTGTTTATTCATACTATATGGGTTAGTAGTAATAAATGAGTTCGAAGAAGAAGAAGAAGTACTGGATGAAGGTGGTGTAGTTTCATGAGCCTTTGCAATATCTTTTGAGCCTAAACCTTGAGTAATAATTTTGACACCTGGTCTAGTACTCTTAGAATCTACAGGTTTTGAAGTATTTGGATTTTTCATATCGTTATTTTTCTGTAAACTAGATGATGGCACTTCGTTATCTGGATACCAGGACTTTTGCTGTTGAACAAAGAAACCCCATTTATGCAATTCACCTTCTTCTTCTTCCTGCTTTTTGTTAAATTGAGGAGTACCTGATGAACTTCTTACTAATAAAGGTTTCCCTGTGAAAACATCAATAACTCTACCAGAATCGGTAGCCATCAAATGTGGTCTTGGTTGGACAAATTGCGAAGAAGATGTAACAGCTTCATTTGCATTATGAATATTTCTTGCTGATTCAAAATGTTTCAATGGTGTTAAGGTGATACCAGCAATACTGCTCAATTTTGGAATATTAGAGAAAATTTCTAATATATGACATAGATTTTTTTCTACCATCAATAATCTTAATAAATTTTCCTTTTCTTTCAGCGATAATTCAGAACTATTTCTTTTCTCAAACAAATCATCAATTGTTTGTTGAACGTTGTCATAAACTTTTTGCAATTTTTCAATGTATTTTTTGAAAAGATACTTTTTTGTAGAGTCGTTACCTTGTTCATCCAAAGGTTTGGAACATAAACTGGCAATAACATTTTCAGCAGTTTCAGTAATAATAGTACCATCAAATACCAAATCGTCTTGTGAAGTTAAATCATCCAATTGGAAACTTGAATCAGTGCTACGATCCATATTACGAATTAGACACAAAGCAATTCTGGAACTAATATCATCAGGAATTTCATCGTAATTGATGTCCAAACTTACTAATTTCGGCAACTCTTTAGCAAGATTGTAAAGTGAACCATAATAACTCAAGAAATTAGATTTTGGTGCAAACGAACCAGTAGCAGCACCAGGACTTGGAGAAATTGGAACACCTGGAGATAATAATTGTGATGGGGATGTTGGAGTCAAAGAAGATGATCTATCTATAACAGGAGAAGATGGTACTTGTGAAGCAGGGTTTCCATCTGAATTTGTAGACCCATTGATTGAATCACTGTTAGAATTAGATGCCGAAGGTGAGTTTGAAGTCATCAACGAAATATGGGAAAGCGTACGACATTTGATCAAAATGGTACATATCATTGAAATATCTTTATACCGCAAATTATTATTATCAATGTGAATTCTTTGTAAAGATGGGAATCTAGGCAGATATTTGTGCATGAATGGTAAAACATCAGGGAAAATTTGTGGTAAATCACTTAAATCCAAAAATTTTAGATTTGGTAATTTAGACAGATATTTCAATATCAAAGCTACATCGTGACCTTTGGAAATGTTTGTATTGTTTATAGTAAAATACTGTAAATTGTCCAAAGGTAAAGAGGATAACTTACTCACCATTGGCTTTACCAATTCTGATAAATCATTATAAGAGATATCTACACCTTGAATATTGTACTCGGACATCCAGTTAAAAATAAGTTTTAATTGGTCTATATTAATATCGGAAGCTGCTAAACCTAATTTTAAATTGGATGGTTTAATTGCGGTTGTTGAAGGAACAGCAGCATAGGAATTCAATAAATTTTGAAAATTTTCAATTGGAATCTTATTAAATTTAATACCATTTAATAGTAATTCATCTAAGTAGCCTGAAGGTAACTGAGCATCATTAGGCAAAGAAGAATTTAATTGGAAGTTCATTTGGTTTTTTCTTTTCATCAGAATATCGGAGAATAAATGCCAATTCATATTATGACGATGCAAATGTTCTGCCAAATCTGACTTAACTTTAGTTTGAGAAATATCCAATTTTGTTAATGATTTATTATTCAGCAAAAACTTTGATAATAATAACCAACCTCTTTCATCGATAACAACATTTCTTAAACTTAATTTTTCAATAGAGTTCGAATTTACCAATGAAGTGATCAAAATTTTGAACATAATAGATGTTAGGTTTACATTATCAAAAACAATTGTATTAATTGGGACAATTGCAATGAAATCACAAAATGAATAAATATCAATTAATGTTGGTTTTGGATTTAAAAATTTCAAAGTTTGCAAAGGAGCAGTTTTTCCTTTAACTTGTCTTAAAGTTGAAGGTATTGGCAAAATTTCTCTTAAATGACAACATCTTGTATAAATAACGTCTAAAGTAATTTCGTCATCTGCATTTAATGGCTCTTCAATATCATTAAAGAAATTTTCATGTTGATGAATTGGCATATCGATTGAATTTAATTTTGTTAAATTAAAATGTTCTGTAGGTACATCTGAAATATGATGAGATAAATTTGTAGCAGAATTTGAGTTTGAATTGGGTGTCGAACTTGATAAAGTTGCGGTACGTGATTTATAATTTGAAACTTCATTAGCTATTCTCTGAGCAGCATAATGAGCTTCTTGTTGATGTTTTTCTGATTCTTTTAAAGCCTGTTTATAGTTTTCCAATGCAATTCTATATTCTCTTGAATCCTTTGATAATTTACTTTGGTCTGTTTGAGAAATTGTTGATGCAGGTGTCAATGATGCAGATGGAGTTGCTGTATTTGAGATACCCAATGAAATTAAAGGGGTATCACTGATTAAATCTTCTGGAATTAGAACGTTTCCCTTTCTTGGTTTTCTTGATGGTAATTGTTGTGGAGGGTCATTCTGGAAACTACTTACATCGAAAGTAACTCTTTTCAAAGATACGGTATCTAGATTTTCTAATAGTATTTGTGGTGGAGAATGAGAAGCATTTGTTGCAGGAGCATTTGTATTTGAGGAAGGTAAACTATTTGTTCTTGATCTTGATTTTGGAGTACGATGTCCACCGTTAATAGAAGAAGCTGAAGATGAAGGGGGAGTGGGTACAGGTTCTGGAGTAGTTGAATTTGGTATAGATTGTGCCAGGTTATTTGAAGAAGGAGATCTTCTACTGAAAAGAGAAGAAAATAATGATTTTTTATTATTTGAATTTGAAGTTGAATTTTGGGCCAATTGTTCTTTCTTCTTCATTGAAGGTACAGTTGCAGCAGAGATGGAATGTGATCTTTTAATGAGATGCGAATGTTTTGATTTTTCATTTTGTTTTTCAATAGGCTGATTATTCAGCTGTTGTTGTTGTTGATGCTGGTGCTGATTTTGTAGATTATCATATTTCAAAATACCAGAGGATAGAGCAGCATTTGAGATTGAAGTTGACCTATTTTTCTTTGAGAAGGTATTTGAACTTGGGACAACGTTATTTTTAACTACTATATTAGTATTTGTAGGAGTTGCAGATGTAGAATTATTTTTTTTCAATTTTTTTTTACCTTTGTATAACCAATCTACATGTACATCAATATCAGGAGGTAGAAACACTTCGAAATTAGTAGGCATGATGAAGAAGATGATGATTGTAAAAATTCAAGTGTGCAAAGTATACATAAGATGGAACGGCAATCTTGACATGCAGTTAGTCCCTATTTTGTATGCATAGACAGGTACCAATCTGTTTGTCTCACTTACTCTCTATCTGTATATATATATATTATATATATATATATATAGATATATATGTATATATAAAAGGATTGATAGAGACGGATATAATGCGTTGATGGATAAAGAAGTGTCTAACGACGAGATCTGTGATTGATTGGATTAATATTCAGAACATGACAACTAGGGTTGGAAGAGAAGAGGCAAGAATGGATGAATGTATTATATTTATGATGGTGTGTGTATATATGGATATGGATATGGATATGGATATGATATGATATGGATATGGACATTGGCAAGGCAAGTACCAGATAGAGGGAAACATGAGAACGAGAATACGGTATAGACAGGATGTATAAGTTGAAACAAGCCCAGGTGAGAGTGAGGTTGATTAGAAATGGAAAGCTCATCTCTGTTTCTCAGCTATTTAGCGACAGGCAGAGAGAGATAGAGAGATAGAGAGAGCAGGTAAGACATGTTGAGGATGTATTGTTGTCAAGTGGGTGAAGATAATGGTGATGGAAGAGAGGGAGATGGGAGACTACAAATTACGTATGTATGTATATGTTTGTATGTGTTGGGATGTATGTATATACGAAACGAGATAAACCAGTTGAGAGAAAGTGTATGGTATATTGATTTGTGAGTAGTTCCCGTGTAGTGTATTGGGCGGTCGAGATAGAGCGAAGGCGAGAGAATGTGCGGTACAAACGCAGTATCGGTTACCCTGCTTGCCTGCATTTCCAAAACCACAAGTCAGTTCAGCTCAGTTTGATACATGGCACTGTCAGTGTTACTGGGCAAGAGAGAGAGGCCCCCCTCTTTTTTTTACAGTTTTGTATTTTTGTATTTTTGTATTTTTATGTTTTTATGTTTTTATTGACAATTGGCCGTAGGCCAGTTCAATTTTGTGTTTGTGTTTGTGTTTGTGCGTGTGGCTGGACAGAGATTGAGGGAGACAGACACGAGGGTTGTTTCTTTTTCTGTTTCTGTTTCTATTTTAATTTTTCCCTTGCTGTGTGTGTCGGCACTCGTTTCTTCTGCGGGTTTTTGTTGTGCTGGTCAGATGATCACCATGGACGTATTCTCCCTTTCCCCTTCTCCCTTCTCTCTCTGTGTCTGTGTGTCTGTCTTGCCTTTCCAGGTTCTGCTCACCCGGACAACCTGTTGCTGAGATTACATTTTTCGCTGCAAATTTAACATCTTTACATTTTTGCCTTTTCACAATTTGGCAATTTTTCTTGCATTATCATCAGTGTCAGTATCAGTATCAGACCAGACCAGACCAGACCAGACAGAGAGTCTTTTTTTTTAATTTTGTTTTAATATCCGCGGACGAAAAGAAACTTCAGCAACAGCAACAGACATGAAAGACAAACTGTCGTCATCATCTATGCAAAACGTGACATCATCCTAACAAGTCTCAAAGGCAAAAAGGACATGCACCACACCTCACAGATTACCCTGCCACACCACTGCTGTTCTCGCCCTTATTCCCGCTATCGGGGAACCGACACCACCGTTTCTCCAATCTTGCACCCCTTTCCCACCGCGTTTTTTTGCTTCAATTTCTGGCAACTCTCTCTCTCTCTCTATGAGGTCTCTCAATCCCGTCCGTCGTCCCATTCCAACCTGCCGGTTCTAGACTCTCTTCTCCCTGGAGCCACCGCACAGCTATGCTTTTTATTTTCTCTCTTTCTTGCGATCAATCTCAAAAACACTGCTCTAGCTGCTGCTCTTGCTGCTCTTGCTTAGTCAATTCAGAATTATATCACTGGATTCTCGATGACCTTTCGTCACTTTGTCAAGTTTTACACCTTATTTTTTTTTTAAACCACTCTCTCTCTATACAAATCACATTAATACCTACATACATACTGACGTACTTAAATATATATATATATATATATATATATATACTTATATATACATACATATAGATCATCCACTTCTTCTTTATGTTCACCATATCACAACTTAATCTATTGGCTATCTCTCCCACCCCACGCAGAACCCACCAGGTACAACAATGATGTTCCTTTAGCAAAAAACAAAACTATCCTTATTGGCAGTCTAAAAGAGATTATACCATCCAAAGGTCATAGACCACTACACAAACCCAAGAAACGTAGGCTCCATGGACCAGAAATTGTCAAACGTAGGCACTGGCCTGGTCGGCGCCCCTGCCTGTGGCGATGTCATGAAGTTGCAAATTAAGGTCAACGACAAGACTGGAATCATAGAAGAGGTCAAATTCAAAACTTTTGGCTGTGGCTCAGCTATCGCATCTTCTTCCTTGATGACTGAAATGGTAAATGGTATCTCGCTGGACGAGGCTCTAAAGATTAAAAACACTGAGATCGCAAAAGAACTATGTCTACCCCCTGTGAAACTACATTGTTCCATGCTCGCTGAAGACGCAATCAAAGCAGCAATCAATGACTACAAATCTAAAAGAACTTTAAAGAAAAACACTCTAACCAATTAGAACCGGCACAACGGGGCACACACCACAGGTGCCTTTCTCCATCCTGATACACACATCTAGCATAGTTTAAATATTCTTAACTCAACTTCCCGCTCCATTGAAGTTAATTAAATATATAAATAAATATATATACATACAAATACACATACACATACACATAATAGTACTAAACGGTAAATATATATGTGATAAAACAAACAAGATTTATCATTGATTATTGATACCACCACCAACCATACAATATTAGAAACTTCAAAACTATTCAAAACTTTTCAAATAATATATTTTATATGTACGGTAACTAAAGAATATATATATATATTTTCATTCATTATTGATGCATTTTCTTGAAGAAATCCATCACACCAGTGAATACCACTAACAATATACCACCGCCAGGTCCCAATCTCAATACCTTTGGCACAAACCCCTTATATAACGCTCTAAACCCTTCTTCTTTGTAAATTGTTAAAATAGAAGGCAATGACCAGTTATATTTCTTTACTGTATCAGTAACTTTTGTGTTTTGAATTCTAGATTTAACAACATCAAATGGAGTGTTTAACAATGAACCAACAGTACCACCAATTGTACCAGCAATTAAATCATTTCTAATTGATTGGTTTTTACTCTTAGGTTTTGGTAATAGATTTCTAACTTGGAAGATAACACCAAAATAACCAGCATTCCAAACACCGTGTCTCCACATCGTTGCCTCCAATCCATTGTACATTGCAAAAAGACCTTCATTTCTAATGATCTTAGCAACAACATCAATTGGTCCCTTATAAGAAGAGTTCACATCTTGTAATCTGATTTTGACCAATTCAAATGGCACAACAACGAATGATTCAACCAAACCTGCAGAGGCACCACTTAATATAGACAAGTTCTGAGTCAATTTCTTTTCTTGAAATTGTTTCATATAATAACTAGAAAAGAAATCATTACATGCAAATTTTGTAGCTCTTTTTGGAGCCTCCATCAATATTGGCGATGAAATACCTTTATATAATCTGCTAAAACCTTCATTTTTAACAATTTTTGATATACAATCTACTACACCATTGTATTGAACCACAGCTGTAGTCCCCGTAGCTGAAGGCTTATTCACTTGTAATTGCATTCTAGTTTTAACCACATCTAATGGATACATCACTAGAATTTCTGAAATACCGGCTACTGCACCAGCAATAAATTTATATACAAATGGTAGATCAACTTCTTTATTTGACATTGTAGATAATAACACACTTTTGTTCAACTAGTTAATATTACAGAGATCTGGCGAGGAATCTATTAACAATTGAGTGGAACCCCCCTTTTTCTATTTAATAAATTGATTAACTGGAAATCAAGCTTATTGAAAAGTTAAGTGACAAACAGATCAGACACACAATTCTATAGCTGTCGTTCTTAATCAACAACTTGCTATAATATATAATAATAGCAATAAAGCTGACAATAATTAAAAAGTGAAAAATTGCAAAAAGTATAAATAAATTCAGGATATTTGATAAACTAATCTTTTAAATAAGAAGAATAAGTCAACTCGGATGTTACTATTGAGGAAGAATAGGAATTAAGAGAAGCAAAGGCAGAAAAAGGCAAGAGAAGGAAGACAGTATGGTATCGATCAAATGAATCAAACCAGTGACTTATTTTGCCTATCAAGAACAGACCCAACTGTAAGGTGCAGAAGAGTAAGAGTAAGAGTAAGAGTAAAGCGTATTGGAAAAAGTGTATACAGCAAAGCAAAGAGGGATAACTACATCGTCATCGCACTATTATAAGAACAGAGATATCCCTTCACAATACAAACAAACTTACTGACACAACCTCTACCATTTCATTACTCATTACTCATAGCCAGTGCAAGAGCAAGTGCAAGTGGAAGGAAAACGACAACCACTGTTAGCTACTACCGATTTAACCAAAAAACCATCGGGTTTTCGATAGCTGCACCAACTACATCTGATAACGAGATACTAGAAAGATTGATTACAAGTTCAAGATCCTACTTAACAATCAAAAGTTACTGAAGCACACAACATCTAAGCTTATATCGGGATAGTTCGGAATGATAATGCAAAAATGCCTTTCGAGTTTGTCAATTGTCGTCGTTGATCTGAAGAAGTGTCAAGAAAGAAATTTTAGATCATTTATTCTATATAACAGTAGCGAATAATAATCAACCAATTCGATTTCTGTTGCCTGGGGAAGTCAAAAATTGTTGTTCTAAATCGAAAAAACATAAAATTAACTAGAGCTTTTCCTATGTATATTTGATTGATTGTTTCTTACACTAGCTCCATCATAATTCAGGATGTTGCGCAACATTGGCCTGTTTAAGTTTACCTGGATTCTCAAGCGGTGTTTTACTGATTAATTGTTCTTGTCGTTACTTTAATATTTCGAATAGATAAATAAATAGTCTTACTTTCTGATGCACTTGGACGAAGAGAGAAGAGAGGGGGTGGGGATTAATGGATTAAATCAAGGTATTGCTTAATACTCGAGCATCCATAGTCCATTTAACCAACTTCAAGCCCATACTGATTACTTGCAATAATCAAACAATACTATCTGATAGTTAGGAACCACTAGTACCTAACGATCATAATAACTAGTCTCTTTCCTTTTCTTATTTGAAATGTATGTATGTATATATTAATATTGTATTTTGTATTGAAAAATTTGGTAAAAGTCAGACGGTGTTTAATTTCCGCATGGATAAATATCAACCTCATCTTGATCAAGTATCCTATTATTTACATATCGAATTTATATATACACATTTTGTCAAACAGCATCAAACTAGTACATTTTAAAACTGTCAGATATTACTAAACCAATTCATAGAACAAGCATCTTGCTACAGTATTATTTTTGATATCATTTTCTCATATACATATATATGTATTTGAAATTGACATTGAAATTTGCAATTGTAACATGAAACTTATTACTTTCCCAGGCCAAGGTACTCCTATTTCAATTCCTGTACTCAAAGCAGTCATAAGGAATAAATCGAGTTCATTCGATAAAATATTACACAAGAACCTAAATTCTAATGATTTATTAAATTACATTATAAACAATCCTTCAAGCCCAGGTTCAATTGCGGTTTGTTCAAATTTTTACTATCAACTATATTCAACGAGTTTAAGTGAAAGTAAACCTTTACTTCAAGATAATCAATTACTATTAGGCCATTCATTGGGTGAATTGACTTGCTTAAGTTTGAACTCTCTATTCTCGTTAAAGGATCTATTCGATATCGCAAATTATAGAAATGAATTGATGGTAAACTTTACTGGAAAATATTTAACCGCACATAGGTTGAATGGTACCACAAAATTTGAAATGTGGGCTTTATCTTCTCCTTTTGTTGAAAATTTACCAAATGAAATATTTAAACTATTATCAAAATCACCTTCATTCTCATCACATTTTAAATCAGTTTCAATTGCAAATTCCAATTCGGTAAAACAATGTGTCGTGACTGGTTTAATAGCTGATTTAGAATCTTTAAGGACTGAGATTAATTACAAATTCCCAAGATTAAGAATTACAGAATTGACAAATCCAGATAATATAGCATTTCATAATAATACTGTCTTAAGACCAATTCAAGAACCATTATATGATTTTATCTGGAATATTTTAAAAAAAAATCAAACTCACACACTAACAGAACTTAATTCACCAATAATTTCAAATTATGATGGTAGAATTTCATATTTTGTACATCATGCAATTGAAAAATTTGTAAAAGCAAGTTCCAATACTGTTCAGTTTACTAAATGTTATGATACAATAAATTCCTTACCTCAGATATCTGATGATACGTCTGGAAATATTGATGATAATGTTGACTTATTGGATGAAGCAATTTGTATGGGCCCAGGTAATGTTATCTATAATTTAATAAGGCGTAATTGTACGGTGAAAGCTCATCAATACAATTCGGTGGGTACTATTGATGAATTTAATGAATTGCATAATGTAAATAGTGAATCTAAATAATACTGTCATTAACCATAATAATAGATCTAAATTTAAAATACCTGCATTAAAAAAGTTTATTTTATTTTATTTTATTTTATTAAATATTATCATTATAAATTGAGTTGACGAATTAAAACTAAACTATATTTATAAAGGGATGGTGTGGATATTGCGTGAGGGCAGAGAATGTTTATAAAAAGTATGCATGGAATTATTATGACACTAAGTTAATAATAATCGTTTTAAAATTGTTTATCAGTAAGGAAGGTTTCAAAAGTTTGATAGTGTTATCTTTGGACATAATGTAGTATTTTTTTCCAATAATATTTCATTATTGTCTTTGGTGAAATGAGTCTTAATAACTTTTGGTTCCATATAATTATGAAATGAAAATCCATCTGGACCTTGAAATTGTAATAAAGTAGGAGATTCTATATCATTATGGAAAACTAATTTTGGAGAAGTATCAATTTTTGATAATATAGGTACCCTATCTTGATTGTGAAGATTATTTGAAATTGAGACGTTTAGATTTTGTAAAATAGGCGAACTTCTTAAATAAGCAATTATTAAAGAATGTATCGATTGAGTATAATGATTATCATCAAAAATAATTATGATTCTATTAAAGAAAGGTAAATTTGTAAAATGCTCTAAAGAAGATGATGCATCTGGTAGGTTTTGTTTAAATAAATAATCATAAATTGAATTTGAAAATTGTTCGAAATCAATATTGTGAATGTTTGAAATAATAATCTTTGATTGCATTACTATGACGATGCTGACTTATATTTTTTTTGTGATTTTAAATTGTTTATCTATATGCTTGATATGTATTCAATTAAAACATATATTGGTTCAAACCATCTCTATAATGATGAATATCAGTTCTAGCCTTTCTTTTATATATACAACTTTTCAAAGAGCAGCAAATAGTAATCAGCAAGTAAAAAAATCAATTAATGACATAAGCCACTGAACAAGAGATGGAAACTTTAAAATCCACTAATCGCCTCATTTGCATCTCATGAATTATCACAGCCTCGATTATAAAAAACACGACAATAACCTTTAATAACGTCACTTAATATGTGTCTTGAAGGAGTGTGAAGATTGTGATTATGATTACAACGATGAGGGATAATAATATTAAGAAGTATGAAAGGACAAGAATAATGGGTTACAGCCAACTACGTAGTATTATTCAATCAAAGAATAATATTTAAATGACGTCGAAAGTAAAATAGTCTAAAATAAGATGCTTAGAGCAACAAATTATTAGATATACTTTAATAACATATTCAATTATTACATAATTAATTAGTTTTACTCAGCCATATTATAGATGTTAACTTTGATAAACCTATTTTTTTATTTGTTTTTGAAACTTAATCAATCAATTATTTGAGTTAGCCAAGAGATAAGTCAAAAGATTGTTGCTGATATTTCGCATTGATTAGGACAAGAATAGGCAACCAGGCTTTTTCAAATTTGAAATATGATCATTACTTGCTTATTATTATATTACAAGAAAAGGCTTAACTGCAATATAAATGTTTTCTTGTTGCAACAGTACAGTTAAATAAAGTTATTTGCATTGAATTTTAGATGTTGAGATCTCTATCAAGTATGGACCTTACCAGTATATATCTGTTAACGATATCAAGGAGACGGTATAGCCACCATTCAGACTGAAGGGCGGACAACCGCAGGTGTAAATTGAAATCCGAAGAAAGTCGAGAGACTACTTCGAAATCAGGTAAACGGGACGAGTCAATCAGGCAGACTAACAATATTTGTCTTCCCCATCCGTTCGAATCCCAAGAGGAACAACATTAACATTATTTCTTGCTATTAATGTCCCTCCCCTATTTTTATTTTTCGACTTTGCTTACTTACCACACACACATAGTTGTCTAATAGTTGAGGCACAGGCTCAGTCTGCATAATAGGTGTATATCCTCTCTTTTTTTCTATCCATTCATACGTACATTAATCTATTAAACCCGAAACAATAAAAAACACAACGAAAGCGTTAGTTTTACATGACTGCACAAATCAGTACACCGTAAAAATGCACGGAGGTAAGTTTCATCCACTGCCGTAAACGTTTTCTACTTTTTTTTCATTTAAAATATAAAATTGATTGATTGTTTGCTTTATAGGAATCGTGCTGTGAATGTTTATATACCGTGATACGAAACTAAAACAGACGTACAAACGTACCATATATTTATGTTAATTTTATTTTTTGAAACAGATTACACATTTACCTACACCCCACTCACTCATTCAGTGGATCAAGACTTTTTGGAAAAAAAAAAGTTTCAGCTCATCACTCAATTTGATTAAAGTTGTCAAATTTCGAATTCCAATTCAATCAATTAGTGCAGGAGTACCATTGGAAAATTGTAAAGTAACGATGAGATGAGTTTTAATTCAACATGATTGTATGGATACTGACAGACCTCTCTACTTTGGTTTTCATCATTATTCGTAGTTTCTCTCTCTCTCTCTCTTTGTCAAACCTTCAATCAACTACGAAAATTTTCATTCTCATCAGTTTGAACAGTCTCTTAGTACTGAATTAATGGTAAATGTAATTACCAACTTCTTTTACTTTTGCTTCATCTGTATAGTTTCATCGATATAATTATCATTCATCTTGCTTACACACACATATATATATTGTTACATATTTAGGAATCCTCCTTATATATTGCTTCTTGTTCTTTTAGTTAATATTCACTTTAAAAGAAACCATACCGCTTTAACAATGGCTTTCCAATTAAACGTCAAGACCTCTGCTTACCACTCTCGTTTCCAAACTCCTTTCAGAAGAAGAAGAGAAGGTAAGACTGATTACTACCAAAGAAAGAGATTAGTCTGTCAACACAAGGCTAAGTACAATACTCCAAAGTACAGATTGGTCGTTAGATTCACTAACAAAGATATCATCTGTCAAATTGTCTCTTCCACTATCACTGGTGATGTCGTCTTGGCCGCTGCCTACTCTCACGAATTGCCAAGATACGGTATCACTCACGGTTTAACTAACTGGTCTGCTGCTTACGCTACCGGTTTGTTGATCGCCAGAAGAGCCTTACAAAAATTAGGTTTGGACGAAACTTACAAGGGTGTCGAAGAAGTTGAAGGTGAATACGAATTGACCGAAGCTGTCGAAGATGGTCCAAGACCATTCAAGGTTTTCTTGGATGTCGGTTTGCAAAGAACTACCACTGGTGCTAGAGTTTTCGGTGCTTTGAAGGGTGCTTCCGATGGTGGTTTGTACGTTCCACACTCTGAAAACAGATTCCCAGGTTGGGATTTCGAATCCGAAGAAATTGACCCAGATTTATTGAGATCTTACATCTTCGGTGGTCACGTCTCCCAATACATGGAAGAATTAGCCGATGATGATGAAGAAAGATTCTCTGAATTATTCAAGGGTTACTTGGCTGATGACATCGATGCCGATGCTGTTGAAGACATCTACGCTGAAGCTCACACCGCTATCAGAGCTGACCCAGCTTTCAAGCCAACCGAAAAGAAATTCACCAAGGAACAATACGCTGCTGAATCCAAGAAGTTCAGACAAGTTAAATTGACCAGAGAAGAAAGAGTTGCTCGTGTTGCTGCCAAGATCGCTGCTTTGGCTGGTCAACAATAAATTTAAGGTTAATCTCGTATTTCACAATTATTTCAACTTTATATAAAGTTTTATGTAATTTTTCATATATATTATTAATCTAAATTTTTTGAACTAAAAAGTGTTATGTAGTTTTGACAACTGATGATTTAACCACCATTAGAACGTTAAATTGACCAATGGAAGGTGATATTCTACTTCAAAACCCTAAGTAACATTCTTCTCACTAGGACAACCCATCTTATTCTATTTCCTAATTGGGTTCATAATAGGATTTTTCCCTTATATACGTCAATTTTTGAATCCGAAATACTTTAATCAAATCAAGTAAAGGATTGAAAAGAATTAAAGAAAGCCAGCAAGCAAGCAGCATTAAAGTTGATTTAATCAAAATAGAATTTCGAAATTTGATGCAATTAATACTCTGAAAAAGGTAATCTTGATATCAGAGGTTGAAAACTATTCTACTAAATAGGAGGATATTTATTTGGGATACAATTGCAGGACACTTCAATATTCATACATATTAATATAAATATAGGAAAGTTGGATATAATAAAGTCGAGTGATGACATCTTCCAAGACACACAAGAGAAAGAATTCACATTTATTTTTACAGCGACAAGATTCTTCAATGTCTATTTCAGATATACATTTACAGAATATGAATACTAACAGTAATGAGACATCAGATGCAATGAACCAACCGCGATTAAATATGGATTTAGAATCTTTGACCAATGAGTCGGATCCACCAAGAGACCAAAGTTGGAATGGCTTTTCATGGGATAGAACAGTTCTACATAAAAAATTTAAGAATAAAAAATGGAGAAATACTTTGCTTATGGGTTTCTTTTCGGTTTCTACGCTTTTATTCATTGTTCTCTATATTTCAAATATTTCTGCAGATACTACCGTAATTAAACCAGATAATGGAAGTACGCAGTTGAATAATAAAAGGACTTTTAGCATCAATGATGTAATGAATGGCGATTTTATACAGGGTGAAACTTCATTCAGGTTCATCCGTCCTCCACATCTACTTAAGACGCATAGTGAAGATCCTGGTTTGTATTTCACCGTCGAAATATTAAATGATCAACGTACAATTGTAGCAAAACATTTATATGATGATTTCTATAGACCAATTACACCAACTACTTTTACATATAATGACAAAGAATATTTAGTAGAGAGTATAGAAATTGATTACTCCTTAAAGAGTGCCATTATTGGTACTAATATCGAGAAACAATTCAGACATTCTTCAATTGGTAATTATTTCCTAAAAGACATAGAAACAGGAGCAGTTAAACCTCTTTCATTAGGCGACAGTGACCAAGTTTCAAATACAGAAAACAATTTACTGAAATTTTCATATGTACATTATTCTCCTAGTTATAACTACATCTATGTTGTGCTTAATAACGATCTATACATCCAAGGTACCAGAAGTTCGAAATTAAACAGAGTCACCTTTGATGGTTCAGTAGACATCATGAATGCAAAGCCAGACTGGGTTTATGAAGAGGAAGTGTTAGGATCAGAAAAAGCTATTTGGTGGGCAGAAGATGATTCAAAATTTGTTTATGCAAGATTTAATGATACCTTGACACCTAGTTACGATTTCCCATTATATACACCAAATGGTCAATATTCAACTATGAATAGTATTAAATATCCGAAACCTGGTAAAAATAATGCCAAAGTTGATTTATTCATGTTCGATATAGAAAGCAGTGTAATATACGCTGTAAAAAGCGACAATTCAGAAGATAAATTGGCAGATGGAACAATCGTTTATGATGCAAGCTGGATTGGTCCCAAATCATTCTTATTCAAAACTACAGATCGTACATCAAAGCGCTTAAAAGTAAATGTATATACTGTTGGAGAGCCTCGGTTAAAGGTTCCTAGATCAGTCAATGCTGATACTTTTAATGGTTGGATAGAGAAAACTAAAGATATACTAGTCATACCTCCAAATGAGAGTGTTGGAAGAAAAGATTATGGTTACGTCGATGTTCAAGCAAGCGCCGATGGTTATAACCATTTATTTTATTTTTCCAGCGCAAACGAAGTAGAAGGAAAACAGTTGACCAGTGGTAACTGGGAAATAACTGGCGATAATTTAGCTTTCGAGTTTGAAACGAATAAAATATTTTTTACTTCCAATAAGGCACATCCGATGACTCAACAATTGTATGCCATTGAGTTGAGTGCAGGCGAATCTGGTGAAATGATAACTCTACAAGATCCAAACAAGAATCTTGATTACTACTCGTTTGATCTAAGTTCGAGTTGTAGGTATGCTATATCCAGATACCTAGGACCAGATATCCCGTATACAAGGGTTGGAGAATTGGCAGACGTTTTGTCACATACTGGCGAGGTTCATGAAGATAATGTATTGGGTTTAACTGACAATTCCAGTTTGAACAAAACCTTGGAAAAAGTAGATCTTCCTATCACAAGTTATAACTCAATGGTTTTAGATGATGGTATTGAAATTAATTATGTGGAAATCAGACCTGCAAAAATGTCTTCTAGAAGAAAGTATCCACTTTTGGTTAACGTTTATGGTGGTCCAGGATCACAAACTTTCACCACAAGGAATACAATTCTATTTGAACAGTCTGTTTCATCGGGTTTAGATGCCATAGTTTTACAAATAGAACCAAGAGGAACTGGTGGAAAAGGTTGGAGCTTCAGATCATGGGCTCGTCGCAAAATAGGTTACTGGGAGCCTCGAGATGTTACTGCTGTTACCAAAAAATTTATTGAAACACACCAGCAAGAAATCAATATGGATAAAGTAGCAATTTGGGGTTGGTCATATGGAGGTTTTACAACATTAAAAACAATCGAATACGATCAAGGAAATACTTTTAAATATGCGATGGCTGTTGCTCCTGTGACTGATTGGGTTTATTATGATTCAATTTACACGGAGAGGTATATGGGATATCCAACCGAAAATCTTGAAGGTTACAATGAAATTTCATTAGTAAAGGATGTAAAGCCATTTGGAAACATTAACCGATTCTTACTAGTGCATGGTACTGCTGATGATAATGTCCATATTCAAAACACATATAATTTTGTAGACAAACTTGATCTGGATGAAATTGACAATTATGATATGCAAATATATCCAGATTCAAATCATTCGATAATGCACCATAATGCTTTAAAAATGGTGTACAAGAGACTTTACGACTGGCTGGATAATGCATTCTCTGATCAGTTTGATCAACAATAGAAGTAACTTTATTTAACAGTCAACTGCATAAATTAAAAAATAAAATAAAATTAAATAAAATAAATTAGACTTATATAAAAATATAGAACTAAAATTGTAATATTATAAGTAAAATCTCTTAAAGGAATGTATTTATTATTCGTAAGTCATTTTTGTACTCTAAACGCCTTTACAGAATGTTGAATAAAGAATATTTTATTTTAACCAACCAAATAATTACATATTCGTGGAAGACACAAATTGTTCCAAGTTTATAATGTTTTAAAGAAAATGCTATTTAATTAAATGTGTATTAGGAGAACTAAAATTTTATAATTCTAATATATATTTGAATTTGGTGCTAGATTGGGCCAACAGTGGTTAAAAATATTCAAGTAATAGAAATGTTTAAACAAATATTGGAATTTTTATTACTATCACTTCTTTTGGGATATTCAAATGCTGCTGATATATTGTTAAGCTTGAATACTGGTGATTTAGGTGGAGATTCGATTGATGATCTGGATACGAAACCAATTATTATCCATATCGACAAGAGTTCAATGTCTCCAGATGTTTTGAAACATCTCTCCAAGACATCAAATGTAGTTTTTGCTGACATTCCAGCATCTCCTCAATTTATTAATTTGAAAGATCTTGAAAGTGAATTAAATGATGAAATAAAAAAAGCAGAATGGAATATCGAAGCAGAGACTTATAGACAATACTCTCTTATGAACAGGACCAATACCTTATTTAACTGGTTAAAACCCAATTTACAAAAAGTGAATATGAACCAAAATGGTTTGGTCATCGAGATTAGAACCACTACAAACAATACAGAGTCAGACGAAGAAGATATTAAGTTTGCCAGGGATTCTGAACTTGAACTTGAGTCTGAACCTGAATTGCAGGAATTAGAACTAAATGAACAAGAAATTGGAGAAAAGTACCTAGATAGGAAGAGGACTGTTAATAAGGAAGAGATCGCATCTCTTACATTTACTGCTAACCCAGAGGTTTCATCCAGCGTCAGTAAGAAAAAGGTTCCTCATAATAAGGCAAACGAGTACAAAGCAGCAAATGATTCAAAACCAACAAAAATCAAAGAAGAAAATATGCAGAATAGTTCTCCATTTATGTTCCCAACCACATTATTTACCGCAATCGCACTAACATTATTAATTTTCATTCATGCATATTAATAAGTTAATAAATATATAAAGTCTCCCCCCCCCTTCCCATCACCAAGCACACATCCACATTGAATTAGACTCCAATTTCAATTCAAAGATGTCGGTAATTAATTAGCCAAATCAAATATACTTCTAAATTAATTAAAACTAAATCAAATAACAATATAAAGTTATCATTAATAAACTTGACTCTCGTTACCTCATTCATCAACCAGTTTATATTTATAATTACTGTCACTTTGTATAGTTTTGCTTTTCATGCACCATCACGTGCTCACACATTAAACAAAAAAATTCAAAAAGCATCATAAAATACGAAGGTTTTTTTTACCGAAATTAGTGGAAATTAAGAGCTTAAAATTTGAATATTTAAAGATTATTCAATGAAACAATGAAAAGAATTATGGATTAGATAGAAGGGGATAGGTACAAAATAGAGTATTGCTAGTGATCGTGGTGAACTTTTACAGTCAGGTAGCATTTATAAAGGAAGGGGAACTTTAATTGGGGAAATTATTAAAAGCCAACATGGTATCTGTATGTTAAAAAATTAAAATAAAATTGAGATTAGGATATATTTGATATAGGATGCTTTAGAACTATCTTTACTAACATGATTCATACATTTTTTTAATTCTAATGCGAATTTGTTCGCATTTTTGGTTTTATAATTACGTATATTTTTGGCAGAGTGTTAAGAGAACAGTGAGAATAAAAACAGAACAGCATGTATTACCAGACCTTCCACCTGTGGAAAATTTTCCAATGCGCCAATGGAGTATCGAAATTGTCTTATTAGATGAAGAAGGTAAAGAAGTACCAGCTACTATATTCGATAAAGTTATTTATCATTTGCATCCTACATTTTCTAACCCAAATAGAACATTCACTGATATTCCATTTAGAATTGAAGAACAAGGTTGGGGTGGATTCCCATTAGATATATCGGTTGTCTTGTTAGAAAAAGCTGGTGAAAGAAAAATTACACACGATTTAAATTTCCTACAAGAATCATATGAAGTCGATCATGTTATCCAAGTGCCTTTAAACAAACCAGCATTAACCACCGAATTAGCTAAAAGTGGATCAATAGAAGATACAGCTCCAAAACGTAAAGCAACATCTGTCGCAGAACCAAAAGCCAAAAAAGCCAAAACCGCAAGTGCTTCAACCATCAAAGGTAACGTAGATCTTGAAAAATTAGCATTTGGTTTAACAAAATTAAAAGAAGAAGACCTAGTAGGTGTAGTACAAATGGTAACAGACAACAGAACTTCCGACATGAATGTAACGAATAACATAGATGATGGTGAATTCATCATCGATTTATACAGTTTACCTGATGGTCTATTGAAAAGTTTATGGGATTACGTAAAGAAGAACACTGATTAAATTCATAACATAATAATCTTCATCTAAAAAGGATAAGTTAGCATTTTTTACTATTATCGATCAATTCTATATATATGTATCATGTATAAATAGATAAAATCTTGTATTTTAATAATATGATTGTAACAAAATCCCGAATTTTTTATTGAAATATATATTATTATGTCGTATATTCTAAAGAGAAGATCATAAATTAAATTAAAAATGCGACATTAAAATATCTACAGATGAAGAAAAAAATTACAAGCCATAACCTATTTTATACATGTTACCTAGTGTTCAAAGTCTTAATTTAGAAGTTTTTAATAATGTAATTAATAATTTTATGTGGAAAAGTTTGAGATGAATTTAAATGCAATTAATGATAATATTTTTTTGTATGGGAAGTGAAATTAGAGAACACAAACATCAAGTTAAACGTAATTTGGGGACCAAACTTTCATTGTCGAATCCCATGACCCAGTACAGACCGCTAATCCGTCAGGACTGGTTCTAATATTTGAAACTCTATTTGAGTGCCCTTCCAATTTCCCTACGATTTCAGCCTTAAGTATATCCCAAACCAATACACCAATATCTGTATAACATGCAAACATTAATCTTCCAGATGCACTGAAATCTAATGACATGACACCTTGGTTATCCAGATAACTAGAATTTAATGTTGCTACTGATGGTGAAGTTGGTGATTTTTGTCCATATTCTGTAGTAGTAGATGAATAAGTTTGTGATTCATTGGTCATAGTCTTGTTCAAACTATATGTTGCAATTGGGCAGTCTGCACGTAAATCAAACATTCTCAATGTACCATCATCACTACCTGTTACTATGGAATTACCATCCTTGAAGAATTTTACTGTGTTGACGTCACTGTTACTGACGAAGAAACTTTGTACTGAAGCTGCACTTCTAACATCCCAAATATAAGTATACCCATCTGAACCACTACTGGCAAATAAATTTGCACTGTTCTCTGTATGTGCTGGTGGTAGTGAAATCGATAGAACATCACCTAAATGGTCCGCATATTCTCTTACTCTCTTGGCCTTTGGGATATCCCATAATGCACATGTCATATCTCCACTAGCTGTTACTATCTTTGAATTATCCAGAAACTCAACATCTGATATATAACATGTATGACCTTTAAAGATCGATACAATACTTTGTTGAACTCTAGCCTCCTTAGAAACACGATACACTGTACAGTTGTTATTCAAACCAGCACTAGCTACAAGGTTACCAGAAGGAGAGATAGCACAAGATAAAACCCATTGAGAGTCTAATGGGATAGCATTTTTCTTTAGACCAGTTTCACTATCCCATACTAGCATAAAACCATCTTGACTAGCACTCAAGAGGTTTTTAGAATCCTGACTCCATCTAAAATCAGCAATTTTGTTATTATGACCTTTTAACGTTAGAGTTGGCTTCAAATTAAGAGCATCTGAATTCAAAGATTTGACACTTTTTGCCATTTGACATAAATCTGCATCCTGTACTTTCATTTTAACTTTGTCTATTTGAGCGTAAAGATGTTTGGTTTCTTGTCTAGCAAGATCTATTCTTTGCTGGATATCTTCCTCAACAGTCATAGTATCAGGAATTACTAACGTTTGCGTTTGTAGATGATAGTCGTTGTTGTAGTTATTTGTCATAACTTGATATGTACTCATTGTCTTTTTTTGTTTCTTATTATATTCAATTGTATTATGTGTTCCTTTCAATATATTTCTTAAATGCGCTTAAAAATGAATTATTTCTAATAAAAAAATATTGATGGCTTTTAGTCGTTTGAATGTCTGACTATGGGAATTAAATTTGATTTGATAAATCAATAAGATCCTTTTATTTAAATCAACATTGATCAAAGAACTGTTTAAAAAAATAACAACAAAAATTCTCAAAGTTGGGCTTGATCAGATTTGAAAAGTTTTAGGAAGAACAAATCGTTCAATTAAGAAGGTAGAAAAGATACCAAGAAAAAAATGTTGAAGTTTACTATTGCAGAGTTCTTCTACCCCCATTGCTTTGATTGCCATTCATTAGCTCACTATGGCTCTTTTTATTATTGTTAATTGTAAGTGACCACCTGGGTAACGGTTAGAGAAAGAGAACAAGCATATTAATTAATGTGTGAGAGAGAGAACTCAATGCTGGGAGCGGTGTTTTTAGAAATGATTAACAGGAGAACTGGCTTACATTGTTAGTTCAGACTATAGTCACAACTTGAGTAACTGTTTTGAGAAAACTGAAACATTGCTAAAACAAAAAGAAACAATTGCAGATATAGCAATAATAATGGGTATTCCTAAAGAGAGAAGGGAACAATTTCAGAAGGATTCGATTATTATTACACTTCCAAATCAAAACATCAAAATAAAATTAACATCTATGATCCATCAATGATTTTGAGAGTGGTTAATATTACTTTAGTGGAACTATTCAATCAATATTCGACAATAGCGTTGCAAAGAGATCTGACCAGTTTCAAGATATACGACATGCGCAGAAACAGAGTATATCAATTTATAGAGATGGCTGTATCCATCCATTTACATTGTTTGAGGTTACCAATAGTAATATACAAATCCTTTTGCAATTAGAGAGATCTCGCAAAGCAAAATAATAAGTTTCTATTGAACTGTTAGAAAAACCATGTAAATTTTTACATCAGCAAAGAAGTGTCGGTAGAAAACCCGAAATTTTTTCATTGAAGATGTTAAAAAGTACATCATAAAAAGAGAGACATGCAAAAATAAGAAACAAAAACCATGGAGGAAAATTCCACAGTAAAAGCAACGATATGGACAATGAAAGGAAGAAGATGATGTTTGAGATTTCTACACAGATCAGACAACAGTAATTTCGATCAAAGGGTAACAAGGACAATACTACCAAACTGCAGACGAATAATATCGTTAACAAAGAACATGGTGAATAAAAAATGAATTATGAAGATTGGGACGTAGAGAACATATAGCGATGTTTGAGATGGAAGTCACCATTAATTAGCGAACAAATCGATAAAGTACAACAAGTGAGACAAACTACGTTACTGATATCGGCTAAGGAAGTATACCATTGGAGAAGAGAGTGCCCATCGAAACCACCTACATTATGGTACTAGAATTATTGTTATCATCATTTTAATCAACTCTATCGTTTCGTCTGTAACTTCTAGTGCTCCAAGAGAGGAAATTATTGTTATTATTTTTAGTTTTATTGTACTTTATTCTAATTTGATTAGACCTACGTTGATGATTGTAGTCTATTTGATATACGAATAGGCTCAATGGCTCACATTTCAGAAATGGCAAAACCCCTGCAATATACAGAAGGGCAGCTACATTTCATGGAAATCTTATTTGTTTTACTTTGTCCAAGAATGATACTAATATTTCTAATTTCCTACTTTTGTAACCATCTTCTTAATTACTAACTAATGATCCCACAATTAAACTAATTATTATTGTTTGGAGATAATTGTTATTGTTTTGGAGCTGTTGTCCCACTCTAAATTCTTCTTTCTTTTTATTTTATTTTGTTTTGTTTCTTTTCAAAATATTATAACTCAATTTAGTCAAGAATTGGTTGTTTTACTTAGAGAGTAAGTGTGACAATAAAATTTACTAAAAGTACTTTAAATTTCTTGTCTATAAAACTTATTACTTGTAATCAAATGCTCACCAGGATTTGGGGTTAAAATGAACCTCAAGAAAAGGCATTACTGTTTTCAGATTGGTTAGTGACTGCATACATAAAACAATTATTTTAATTTTCTTTTTTTTTTTCTTCTGAGTTAGCTTAAAATTAATATTTCCACATCTGTTACATAAACTTTGATATTGTAATATTACGAAATTTTTGAACAGAATTATAGTTACAAGATCTAACTTTCGTCAAGACAACTGTTCTCCTCTATTGTATATGGTAGATAAATTTTTTCAATCAAATATTGAAATCATTACAATATCCTTGCGATGACGATAAAAAGAAAAGAAGTAACTAATGTAAAGTAATAATAATAATAATAATAATAATAATAATAATAATGCTGTGTGTTAAATTTTAAATTAAGTAATTATTAACAATATTTTGTTACATCAAGGACATGCTATTCTATAAATTTGTATTATTCTTTGATTTATTGATCCTTCCGGTCACTTTGAAAAGGTATTCAGGTAAAGGTTCATCTGACTTTAAATATTTTAATTTCCAATTTCTTGCTTTATCTTTTAATTGAACTTGAGTTCTATTTTTTAATATTTCATTAACTGTACCACCAGGTCCATACAAGTCCAATATCTTTGACCATGATGGTCCCAAATCTTGCAAACCTTTTTGTAGAATTGCTTCTTCTTCCTTTGTCCAATTTTTCTTAGGCTTCAATTTTTTAACACCTGTCTTGGCTGACTCAACAATAGCGACATCAACCAAATCCTTTGACGTTACTTTATTTTGACTGTTAAGGGTCATCAATGGTATGCTGATTTTTGCAAGATTTTTCTTCTTATTTTCAACGTGAATTTTCATTACTTTACCTTCATCGGAAACTTTCGAAACATCAAGAATTGTTGACTCTTTTTCATTGGATTTCGTTACGGCATTTGCCTTAGAATTATTAATATTTTGATCCTTTGAAATATTTCTTGTAATGTTAATATTTTCTAATTTGTAATCAAATAGCGGATTTATATCTCTGTGTGGTCTTCCTAAAATTATCATGCCGATATTCTTGTCGCAGAAATTCACTAGCTCTTTAATGTAATCTTTCCATTCGTAATCTTTCTGTAAATTTTCTAAAGAATCATACTTCAAAAGCGATTCCTTTCTATGATTGCATCTCTTAATAAATTCAATTTCAGATGGGATCATATTTTTGTCATTAATATTAATTAAATCTGGTGGGAAAATTTGATTTAAAATATCTTCCTTTATGAAATCAATTGCCTCATTTGAATTTTCCAATATTGTTATGAAATGTTGAGTCTTCAGTTCTAAATAAAGTACACCATGTGTTTTCAAAAACTTTCTAGCAATATCCAAATCCTTTTTATTGTTGAAATCTTCGAAAGTTGTAGTTGTATCCAACTCCGGTTGAAGTTTACGTATTTTATATTTATTGAATATTGAATGTGGACAGAAAATGTCAAAGAATATTTCGTCTAATATATCAAATCCATAGTCTTCACAACAACCTAAGGAAATTAGTAAATAAGTCAGTAGATTAATCTTTTTAACCGTATTTGTAATATAAAACTTAAATTCTTTTAAAATGTAGGGGGGAGAGGAATTAGGCACCCAAAGACCATATGCAACGTCAAAGACTGTAATAATTAGTTTATTATTATAAATTTTTTTCAAATTCATAAAATTATGCAATAAATTTTGAAATATTTCGATATCATGTAAAATTGTCAAATTCTCCTTACCATTTACCAAACCACTTAGTGCTTTTGTATCTCCATTGATAAGAATCGAGATTGCATGAGGAGCCAATTTATTCAATAAGATGAACCTTAATATCAAAGTTGAAATATCATCTAGTATGCAAAGTGATGAAAGTGTTAACCTTGTCTTTTCTGGCAAATGTGGTAATATGGAATCGAAACGGTTCATTACTGTGCCTGCTTGGCATTGAATATATTGATTTCTTTGTATTATAATAACCATATTACTACTAAAATCATTAAATCTAAAAATCGATGAAATGAGATGAGATGAGCTAAGATAAATTTTTTTTAAAGACTTATATCCTCTACGGCTTAGAAACGGGAATTAGATGTGGAAAAACAGTTCCAGATGAGAGCGCCGTACTCAAAATAAGTACAAGAAGACAGCAAATATCTATAAATATAACTTGAATCATAAATTGCAACTTAATGATAATAAACTATGGTTACATTAAACAATTGAGATAATAATATGTAGGTATATTAATAGTAATTGTAGTGATGATGATAAGGAGATGGAGGGGATGAAAGTTTGAGAGGTAAGGGAATGATAACAGGTAAATAAACAGACATTATATATAACAATATGAAATAATACAGTTGAAAGGGTTAGAAAGAGATTTGAATAGGTAAGGGGGGGAATAACACAAACAAAGGAAAGAAACGGTAACATTAAATTTCTATTTTAATTTAATTTAGTTTAATTTGATTCAATTCAATTCAATTCAATTCATTTTAATTTAATTTAATTTAATTTAATTTGATTTAATTTAATTTATTTTAAAATTTCCTGGAAGTTTAATTGACCTTCTTCTTTTGTTTATTAATTTTAACAATCCCAGAAGGACCTTTTGGTTGTGAGAAATCGTTTGATTCCAAACCTTTTCTAATAGTTGTGTTGAACAAACTGTTGAAATTGTTTGGTACTTGTTTTTCTTTGAAATAATTTTCTTGGATATAACTTTTCAAAGCTGTACGAGAAGAACCTTTACCGTTATTTAAAGAAGTGATAGCAATTGTAATCATTTGTTTGTAAGATAATGGGCCATTAGATGATTTTGATACATCTTTTTTCTTATCTTTTTTCACAACAGCTTTTGATTTTGGTTTTGAAACGGTAGATGTTTTTTTACTTGAAGCAGCAGCAGCAGCAGTAGTAGTAGTAGTAGTAGTACTAGTAGATGGTGTTGATTTTGATTTTGGTTTTATTATCTTTTTCTTATCCGATGTTGTTGTTGTGGCAGTAGATTCCTTTTTCTTGATTTGTTTTTTTACAGGTTTTTCAATTTTAGTTAACTTCACAGTACCAGCTGGACCTTTTGGCAAATTAAACAATTTTGCCTCTACACCTTTGTTAATTGCGGAATTAAAATGATAAGTGAAAGTAGGAGCGCTATAAACAACAGGATAATTTTTTTTAATAAAATTTTTCAAAGCCAATCTCGAAGAGCCCTTTTTATCATTCAAAGAGACCAAACCTTCTTTAATCAAATCTCTGTAGTTTTTAGAGCCAGTGCCTACTGGTTTTTTAGCATTTACTTTTGTTTCAGTAACAGATTTTTTTGGAGCCATGTTGTGGAGGATATTAGGGTGGATTGGGTTGGAAATGGGAATGGGGATCTATATCTATATGTATTTGTATATAAATATATCTCTTGTCTTGCAATACAATACCACTTGTGTATATATTTGTTATACCAGAGAGAGGATACTTGAACAATAGAGGAGAAGACAATGTTTTGATGTTGAGCAGAGGGACAGAAGTTGTATGTAAACAACAGGAAGATGGAAAGAAGATACTTATAAATACCACAATTTGGGAAAAGCGAGAAACAAAGAAAACAAAGAAAACAAAACAAATCAAAACAAATCAAAACAAAACAAAACAGGACAAAGTGAAATGAAATGAAATGAAATTGGATGAAGAGGAAGAGAATGGAATGGAATAAACAAAGAAAAAACAAAAAAAAAACACAACACAACAACAAAACAACAAAAGACAAAATAACAAAACAACAGACAAAACAGAGAAAAAAAAGAGAGACGAGACTGACAGAGGGATAAACAAACAAGAGTCCACAAGATGTTTTCTTTCCAGTCACCAATTATCAGTTATCAGCTATCAATTATCAGCCACCAGCCCACAGACAGCGATGACGACAAGCAATACAAACTGATTGAACAGACCAATTCCAAATCTAGACTGCAACAGGATCTGGTAGACGACTATTGTTGATGAGATAGTTCAGCTCTGTTTATTATGGGTATTCGGGTTCAGGTTTGGTCAGATCAGATCAGGTCACGTTTGGCTGGGGGGTGTCTGTCTCTGTCTCTGTCTGCGTCTGCGTCTGCGTCTGCGTGTGTGTGGTGCTGCTCGTATGTTGTGATATAGCTAAATGACACCAAAACGCCAAAAACAAAAAACAAAAAACAAAAGCAAAAATAAAAATAAAAATGACAACAACAAACGCGAAAAAAAAATAATACAGAAGAAGAAGAAGAAGAAGAAGAAGGTCATGTGACGGGATTCTTTTTTTATTTTTTATTTTTCATCTTTTCGTTCTTTTGGTTTTTGTTGCCTTATTGTTGAAATAGAGAGAAGATGGGATTTGATGTCACATGATTTCCTGTCAGTTCTCTAAACGGCTGTGTGTTGGTGATGAGTGTCTGTGGTCCACCACGTCTTCAGATTTTGGCAGGGGAGGGAGCTACCAGTGAACGGTGAACCAAGTAACAATACGATACAGAACGTTCAGGTCTTTGATGTATAGTCGCCGTCCTTGTCGTTGTTTGATAGATAAAATGGAATACTTTTTTTCAATATGCAAAATGTCTTTAGCCGTACTGTGCTGACAACCATGTTTCTTATTGGGATATATGTATAGGAATAAGAAGCTCCTTTTTTTGTACTTGACCGTTTAGATCATGCTGGCAAAACAGAGTTCTACTGAGAATACTCGGCTACTAGCAAGGGAGGCCCATAGCATGTCTTGGATGAATCAATGAGAATGAGTATTACATGATATATACCGTTAATAATGATATGCTATGATCCAATCACGTGTCATCTTATTCATTGAAATAGTTTTGTTCTGTCAGGGTAATAACACCTGGATTATTATTATTGGATTCATTTTAGTTTTGTCTCCTCATCGTTCTCTTCTACTCTACTCTACTCTACTCTACTCTACTCAGAACACTATATTTGGTAATAACTAAGAATTAGTATTACTTTATGTTACTTAACCAATGTAACAAAAGGTTTGATACAGTTAAAATAAAACTTATCATTACTACCCATTTTCTTCTATCGTCCTTATTACTATTTTTTATTACTAATTTTAACACTAACATTAACGTTAAAATTAATATCTTACCTTTCATTCAACCCTCCCACCATACCCTTTCAATCTGATCTCATAATATCAAAGAATGCAAAATCATTGTACTAGAATAATATTAAGATGGCGAGATAAACATGTAACCTCTATCTTATTCAAAAGAAATTACCATTTGATCAAAAATAACAGTTACAACAACTCTCGTCACCTTATTAATAATCCAATTCTGTTTCAATTAAATTCAAAAAGATTAATTTCTTCTTTCTTCCCAAGAATAATAACCAGAGTTATTAAACTACCTGCTTACATTAGCGGTGTAATGGCTGCTACAGGAAGTATCATTGCCTACAAAATAGATTCTTTAAAACAATCGGATTACTTCGTTAATTTGAAATCTTTCTTAGAGAATATGTTCCAAAATGACTCTATAACAAGTGGAAATACCTCTTCTTCTTCGGGAGGTGCCAATAGTGGTGCAGTAGTAGCAAGTACAACTATATTAGCTGCAAATTCTTCTAATGATCAAGAAGTAGGTGACGACGAAGACGATGACGACGAAAATGAAATAGATAACACTAATGATGACATGCTGAATTTGACAAAGCAAATGATAGAAATTAGAACTATATTAAATAAAATCGACTCAAGCTCAAATCATCTAACTTTACCTTCCATAGTAGTAATAGGTTCTCAATCCTCAGGGAAATCCTCGGTTTTAGAATCTATCGTCGGCAAACAGTTCCTACCAAAAGGTTCAAACATGGTAACTAAAAGACCAATCGAATTGACTCTAGTAAATACCCCAAATCTAAAAGAAACTACAGCGGATTTCCCAGATTTGAGAATTTATAATTTGAAAAACTTTAAAGAAGTTGAAAAAATTCTAATAGACTCAAATTTGAGTGTCTCAATGAGAGAAGCAATTTCAGAAGAACCCATTCAATTGACTATTAAATCACCAAATGTCCCAGATCTATCGCTTGTGGACCTTCCAGGTTACATCCAAATAGAGGCCGCTGATCAACCATTGGAATTGAAAAGTAAAATCGCAAATCTTTGTGACAGATATTTACAAGCCCCAAATATTATTCTAGCAATTTCTCCTGCTGATGTAGATTTAGCCAATAGTTCAGCTTTAAGAGCTTCAAAAAGAGTAGACCCTACAAGTTCAAGAACTATTGGTGTCATTACTAAGCTAGATTTAGTAGACCCAGAAACTGCAAGAGATATCCTCAACAATAAAAAGTACCCATTAAAAATGGGCTACGTTGGTGTTATTACCAAAAATATTGATAGCAGAGATGGTACAAACAAAAAATCTTTCTTGGCCCCATTGAAAAAATCAAATGATGGACACCCCAATGATTCTTCAAATAACTCCATACAATCACAAACAAAACAATTCGAAAGAAATTACTTTCATGAAAATAAAAAATATTTCTCCAATTGTCAAGTTACGACTAAAAAGTTAAGAGAAAAACTAATCAAAATCCTAGAAATTTCGATGTCAAATGCATTAGAACCAACTTCAACTTTAATCCAACAGGAGTTAGATGATACTTCATACCTTTTTAAAGTGGAATTTAATGACCGTCAATTAACTGCCAAATCATATTTATTGAATAATATTGATGTTTTCAAATTAGCAGTTAAACAATTCCAGGAAAACTTTAACAGAATCGAGCTAAGATCGATTTTAAAGGCCGATTTAGATCAAAAGGTCTTAGATTTCTTGGCTACAAGATATTGGAAAGATGAAAATCTATCAGAATTAGGAAATAATAATATAACAGACGATGAAATGCTATATTGGCATAAGAAGTTAGAATTAGCGTCTTCTAGTTTAACTAAGATTGGTGTTGGTAGACAAGCTACAATGTTGGTGACAAATTCAATTCTAAAAGAATTAGATAATATTTTGCTATCAACTCAATTGAGGAATCATGACTTGATCAAAAATTTAGTTACAAATACGGCTGTAGATGTTTTAAATACCAAATATTATACTACAGCAGATCAAGTAGAAAACTGTATCAAGCCTTTTAAATATGAAATTGATCTAGAAGATAGAGACTGGGTAATTTCGCATGAACATTCTATTAGGTTGTTAAAGGAAGAGTTTAGACAAGCCAATGAACAATTGCAAAAAATTAAAAATGTTGTGGGGAATAGGAAACTTCAACAAGTAATGAATTATTTAGAAAAGAATAATAATCAAATCGACAAAGAAACATTAGGCATGTCCAAATTATTATTGGAAAGATGTTCAGAGGCTTTATTCCTTGAAAAGCGTTTAAATGTTTTATCATTCAGGTTAAAATTGTTGAAAAATAAGTGCAACTCAACCTCAGAAAAAGATAAATGTCCTGAAATATTTTTAGATGCTGTCAGTGATAAATTAACATCAACAGCCGTACTTTTCCTAAACGTTGAGCTGTTAAGTGATTTTTTCTATAATTTCCCGATAGAATTGGATAAAAAACTAAATAAACTGTCAGAGGAACAAATAGAATTATTTGCCAAAGAAGATCCAAAGATCTCAAGACATATAGAATTACAGAAACGTAAAGAATTGTTAGAGTTGGCTTTGGAGAAAATTGATTCAATTCTGGTATTTAGAAAGAGTTACAAAGGTATAACCAAGAGTAACAATTTGTAATGATAAAATGCCAAACAGAGACACTTCCTTTTTTTTTATCAATTATAATTTTCAATTATAAACCCATCATGTAATAGTAAGTAATATGTAAATAAATTCCACAGTAAAGACTCAAATATGCATTATTTTATTGATTCATAATTCTTTTTTTCATTTATACTTAATAAGGTTATCTAATCTATACAGAAAAATTACAAATGTGTATCTAAGAACCCAAACTGTATAAATATGTATATTTGCTCTCAGAGGTTCGTTGTAATTATTGTTAAATAGAACATAAACCTAAAAATCAACTAGAGGTAGAGGGGAAGTTAACTATTGTACAATAAAACAAAGCCCATATAAAATGATGGGATGCCACGCTGATATGGTAGCTACGAATGGAACATTCTCTGAGTAGGTCAATGTTCTCTCATAGTGGTTGGTATCAGCTCTATTTATTTTTTTATTTTAATTTAGTTTTTTTTATAATTTGTTCAGATATAAGTTCATCGAAAGAAAATGGAATAAAAACACACAAACGCAGATATTACACTAAGAGATGCGAAACTCTCTAATCTCTCTTTTCCAATGGGTTGTATCTCAAAAACTTTTCAATTAAATCAACATGTGTTAAAATCATTCTTCTACAACAGTATCTTGTCAAACCCAATCTAGATAAAGCAGTACCTTCATCCAATTCATCTTCTTGTAACATATTCAAATAACTCTCCCACTTATCACCAACAACCTTACCACAAGAGAAACATCTTACTGGAACAATCATATTAGTCTATTATTTAATATTACCGATTCTTTCTATGGTGAGATTACTAATTAAAAATAACAGGAATATCGTCTATTGATATTAGCAGCCTATTTTAAATGTGGGAAAGACAGAGAGTGCAATTGGTACCTATTAAACAATCAATAAAAATACCTAAATCTAATTTATCAACACCTTTTAACTACCTTTGATACACTTCAATTATAAGTTGATTTATTGTTAAAACCTTTCTCATCTCATCAAATTTTATTCAAATTTCTTCTTGTTTAACATAAATTTTTCAATCATTATATACGTAAACATATATCGAAACCACCAACTGCTAGCGACACCAGTCATTTTTTGATCCTTTAGATGGTCACGAATAGTAAAGATATATTTATATATATATACAAATTTATATTAATATACAAGTACTGGCTAAAACCAATAGACTTTATAGCATCGATAAGTATTGCTGATATAACTCGATAGACTAGAACCCGTCCATGCTGTTTGTTCAGCGTGATTTGACACCATTCGTTTCGAAGTTTTAATCCGTATGACGCTGATACCGCTAATATATATAGTTATATATTCATATTTATATATATATACATCGTATCTCATGACATTGAAAATTTTTGCACAGTAGAAAAGACAAAATGCGATGAGGTTGAAAAGTTTAATGAATTTTAACAGTAACAGGTAGAGATTTATCAACAGCTATAGAGACAAGTATAGGTTACGGTGAGCTTAAAGTAGTGCCAAATCGAAGTTTATAAGGTGTATGATCAGTGAGATTACTTTTACCTGGTTAAAAAAAGTAACAAATAGCTACTTCTGAAGGTTTTTACGCCATTATTAGACTTTGACATCTGCTTCCACTATATTATTCGTTACACTAGCTCCTGTTATTTCAGAATAAGAAATTCGTTTGATCTACAGCTTGTAATTTACGCAATATATTGAAATTAATTTGAATTGAATTAATTATTCAAATATTAAAACTAAGTATTACGAGAGGACATCAGTCTAGAAGGCTAGAAGAATTAAAAGGAAAAAAAAATGACACAATCTTCTGCGGTGAACCAACAATATAAACTATCAGTAGTGTCTGGTGGTAAGCCAATACTACCAAGATACGCCAATTCTTCAAGTTTAAACAAAAGTGTCACTTGCTTAACCCATGATTTATTAAACTATATTGTTCCGTTCAACAACCAATTAAAAATATATTCTATTGAAACTAGACAATGTATCAAAACAATTAAATTTGCTAATAGTGATTTGTTAATGTCTATTTTCTCTGATGACGATACTTTTGTAACCGATATTAAATTGGGAAATATCGTTGACACTAGTAATGGAAACGCCATCGATGTTAACGATAAAGATATCACAATCTTTACAAATCATGGTTACATTGTTGTTTTACAATACAAGGGTAAATTACTTGAAAATCCATTGAATTTTAAATTGGATTTGAATGATGGAGAATTTGTTTCAAAAATTTTCCAAGATGAAGAAACTGGCGCCACTAAAGTATTAACTACTAAGCAGTCGGACATTAAATCATCTCTATTTACTTATAACCTTTATTCATTATCATTCAATGACAATAAACTACAATCTAAGTTAGATAGATCTTTTGAGAATACTATATTATCAACCTGGTCCACCAATGATAAATTTTTAGCATTATTACATGAATCTGAAGGCAAAAAACAATTATCCATTGCATCGGTTTTCGATGTCTTAGAGGAAGTTAAATCTTTCCCTGTTTCTTCCATCTTATCAGCTACAACTTCAACTGGTTCCGCAAACTCAAGATATGTCACTTCAATGGCTATAGATAATACCAACTCTCAATTAGCATTAGGTTTTGCATCAGGTGTTATCACTATAGTAGATGTCTCAGATTTGAAAACTAGATTACTAAAATGGCACATCGATTCTGTTTTGTCATTAGCTTTTACTAAAGATGGTTCGTACTTATTGTCTGGTGGTTGGGAAAAAGTAGTAATTTTTTGGCAACTATCAACAAACTTACAACAATTCTTACCACGTTTGAATGGTGTTATGATAGATTGTCAATCTATTGGTAATGATAAATACTACTCACTAGCGTTACAGATGAGTGAAAATAGAAGTAATTCGGATTTCCAACTACTTCTATTGAATGCAGCAGACTTAAAATCAAGTTTATCTATCAACGGTCCACTGCCAGTATTTAATAGTACCATCAAAGATTCAGTACAACTATTATCAGCTGTTTCTACTAGAACATCTACAAATATTTCCAAAGCATCAATGTCAAAGAAGAAGCAAAAGAAGAAATTACTGAAGAGTAAGAGACAAGACTATACAACATGCATCGAAATACATCCAACAAGTAAACACTTAGTTTTCCCTCATATGTCTGCAATTCAAACATATGATTTTTATAGAAATGAACAAATTGCATACCAATATCTAACATCTGGTATAAACAATTCCATGGGTAAAGTTAGATTTGAATTAAATATAAGAGATCCAGAAGTTGTTGATGTGAAATTTACTAAGAACGGTAAGTGGATGATTACAAGTGAAATAGAATACCCACCTGCAGATTTGTTATCATCTAAGGATTTAATTTATCACTTGAAGTTCTGGTATAAGAATGATCAAGACTCTGATTGGGCTTTAAAAACAAAAGTTATAAACCCACATGGCTTAAATGTCCCAATTACAAAGATCATTTCATGTCCATATTCTGTGAATAATTCTGAAGGTTGTATTACCGCTGATAATAACGGTGGTTTGAAATATTGGTCCTATGAAGATCATGAAAAAAATTGGTGTTTAACAAAAATCTCATTACCTAATTTCAATCACTTTAGTAATTCTGTGTCATTAGACTGGTCTCAAGATGGTAGTTTAGTTTTCCACGGGTTTGATGACAAGTTAACCATATTGGATTTCGATACCTTCAGAAAATTTGAAACTAGCGACAACGATAAGATACCAAATGAATATACGTTAGATACTGAGATTCAAACAATTAAGTTAGTCAATAGTTCTAACATAATTATTGCTACTCAGACCACACTATGTTCATTGAACCTACTGATGGGTAAGATTATCAATAGTTTTGATATTTATCCATTCGTCAAAGGCATCTATAAGAATGGTCATTTGGACAGATTAATATCTTGTGATGAGAAGTCAGGTAAAATAGCAATTGTCATCAATCGTCAAGTCAAAGACGAGAGCGGAAATCCAACATTGAAACATAAAGCTCAAATTATTGCATTTAACTCTGATTTGTCTAATAGACTAGGAACTTTTGTTCATAACGAGTATGTTTCTTGGATTGGCTGGAACCACGATACCGACTTTATTTTCCTAGATACTGAAAGTAGATTAGGTATAGTCGGAACTACTGTGAATACAGAGATGTTGGATGAAGTTAACACAACCAGTGTATTCGAGGGATCTACAAACAGGGATACATTTGCTTCAGAATTAAAGAAACTATCAGATAGCAAATCTACGAATGATGATGAAATGGAAGATATCAACCTTGAATTCATCAACGGTAACACTAACGATAAAACAATCAATATGAACAGTTTCACCAGCATGTTCGAAAACGTTCAAAATGTACAAATGTATACCTTATTCGATCGTGTCATGAAAGTGATAACGTAAAGTGTAATAGTTAATCAACCTATAATCAATAATAGGACATTTCATAATATTTAACCACCACCCCCCAATCATAGGAAAAAAAGAGTAAAATAATTATCAAATCGTAATTATGTATAGATATATATATATATATAAATAGAAGATCATATCATTAATAAAGCTAAAATCATCTATATATCTAGGATATATCCAGATGACATTCTAATTAATTGCTGTCACCTGACCGTCATGTCAATTTTTACATCAATTAAATTTTTCTTTTCTTTTTTACTTTCTGCTTCGCTTTCGAATTTGTAAGAATGTCAAAAGTCGAATGCCAATTGAAGAAGTTTTAACCTATTAATTAAGATGATTTGTGCTACATTAGAGTTAAAATGTAGTTGTTATCATTAAAAACTGGTTAATTATATGGATGCAGTCCACATTAATAATTTTGATATAGAAAAATATTTAAAATCCGTGGGAGGAAGTGAATTTAGAACCATAGTTAGAAAATATTATCTGATATATTTCTGATTTATTTTATAGTCAATCCTATTGAAGAAATTATGACCGATACTAGTACCATTAACAATGCTACCATTACCTCTTTATTAGATACTGACATGTATAAATTGACTATGCATGCTGCGGTATTTATGAATTTTCCAGAGGCAAATGTGGTATACAGATATACAAATAGATCTTCTCAAATGAAATTTAACGCTAAAGCTATTGAATGGCTGACAACACAATTTAAAGCATTGGCTAATCTAAAATTTACTCATGATGAAATACAATATTTGAGAAACGAAATCCCATTTTTACCAGAACGTTATTTAGAATTTATTGCAAGCGATGATTTTCAATTAAATCCTGATGAACAGATTGAATTCTCTACAAGCATTTCAACTGAAAATCCTGAATTATATGATTTAAATATTTTAATTAAAGGTTTATGGAGAGATACAATTCTTTATGAAATTCCAATATTAGCCTTGGTATCAGAGGCCTACTTTAAATTTGTCGAAACTGATTGGTCTTATGATGGTCAAATCGACTTGGCAAAAAAGAAGGCAATCGAATTATTAGAAAACAACGTTGCATTTAGCGAATTTGGTACTAGACGTAGAAGATCTCTAAAAACACAAGATTTGGTCATGCAAGGTATCATGGATGCTGTTAAAATAAATGGAAAATATAGAAAAACATTTATTGGCACGTCAAATGTCTTATTTGCTAAAAAATACAATGTTAAACCAATAGGTACTGTAGCCCATGAATGGGTCATGGGTATTGCATCAATAACTGGTGATTATATCAATGCTAATAAGAATGCAATGGATTATTGGATTAATACATTTGGTGCAGAACATGCTGGCTTAGCATTAACGGACACTTTTGGTACTGACGATTTCTTGAAATCATTTAAACCCCCATACTCAGATGCATACATTGGTGTCAGACAAGATTCTGGTGATCCAATTAAATATACAGAAAAAGTTTCTCATCATTTTAATGAAGTGTTGAATTTACCTAAATTCACAAAGGTCATTTGCTACTCTGATTCTTTAAATGTTGAAAAGGCTATACAATATGCAGAATTTGCAAAGGAAAAAGGCCTAATTGCTACTTTTGGTATTGGAACAAATCTGAGTAATGACTTCCAGAAGAAATCAGATCCATCTGTTAAAAGTGAACCATTAAATATCGTCATTAAATTATTGGAAGTTAATGGAAATCATGCTATAAAAATCTCAGATAATTTAGGTAAAAATATGGGTGATCCTGCAACAGTGAGAAAAGTCAAAGAAGAGCTAGGATATGTTGAACGTAATTGGCAGGGGGATAATGAAGCACATAGATGGGCTGTTTAATCCGAGCCTTTGGCTTCCATATAATTTTAAATTTCCATCGAAGTTAAAATTAATCATTCACCTATTTTACTAATAGGAAGATTATTCATATATATATAGTTGTCCTTATAGAGGTTTCGCCGTATGTTCCAAATTTATTATAAAAATACCCTCCCTAATTATAATTCCCAAATTTTGAAATTCAAGATTGTGTAAGATTTTAGTATGCATATCAAATTGTTTGCATGATATCATTCAATAGCACACTATATATCCAAACCTCTTTTGCCTTTGATTGTAAACTACGATTTATTATTTTATTATTACTATAATTATTACCTTTTCTATAGTTAATAATATACTATTATATACTATGTAAGTTTAGATATATTTAATGCCATTCTATTGTCTATAATAATATGCAAGTAACTACTTCTAGTCAATCTATAAGTTTTTCCTTATTCTTTGATAATGCAAAATATTGGAGTAGTGCTTCATAACAGGTAATATATTGTGTCAAATTCTGTACCATAGATAATCGTTGTTTTCTCAATTCATTGACAACAACGAAAATAAGATCTTCTTCCATTTGCCATACATCGATTTTATTATTGGCGTTCATTTCTTTTGTGAAGACGTTCATCAAGAAGTCTAAGGTGATGAACACACCGGTTCTACCACATCCAGCTGAACAATGCACCAGCAGCGGATGGGATTCATATGAATATTCGTTCCCTCTTAGTAACTTATCTTGTTTTAAAATATTATCTGCGGTTATATTTTCTAGATTTGGGTTATCCAGCAAGCTTGATCTATTCCTTACTATCATATTTTTTAATTCATACAGTTTAATAATATCTTCCATATTAACACCACACGAATCTAACCATTTAGTATATTGAATTTGGTATACAATTTTTCCATCCTCTAATAAAGCCTTAGAAGTTTCGTCCTCATCTTGTTGTTTCCGAACCTTAAATATCCTCAATACACAACCATCAATACCAAATATATTTGGAATTGTTTTTTCTATTGTGATATCATGTTTCTTCATCGAATTATTATTCCAATAAATATCCCACTTTCTCATATTTAATTCATCATCAGAGATTAATGAAACAATTACTGAAACATTATTAGATATTACCACTTTCCAAAAGTCATCCATGGTGGAAGGTAGTGGGGCTTGAGTAGCGATGTATACAAAATCAGAATTTAATTGTGATAGTTTTAGATAGTTAGCATTGAAGTAATCATTGAAAATTCCTGTATTCAACAATTTTGTATCATTAACATAGCTGTCATCATCAGCAAAGTATGAGGAATTTCTTTTAACGGTAGTTTTAGGTATTCCAGCCTTACTTATCGGTGGTAAAGAAATCCCAGTGTCATCTACTGTTGTAGGTGAAGGTTGTAATTTCACTCTTGAATGTTCATATGGTAAAATATTTGAATATCTATTCTTCATGAATGACTGAACTCCCTGAGATATTTCATAAAAATCTAAAGGTGTCACAAGGTTATCGCTATCTGGAGTTGTGGAAGCTGAGGAGGCGCATTTTTGGTTATGACATAGAGGATTAGGTGGAGCTATTGTGAATAATTGATTCTCCCTAAAATGGGAGGTCAGATTTGAAACAACCTTAAAATCACTATTAAATATCAATGATGTATTTTTCGAATCCATTGTTTTCTTTTTCTTATATTGTTTTTGCAATTCTGCTAGACTATATACATTTTGCCTTGTCCTTCTATCTTCTTGAGTTTTGGATGCTTCACGAAGTGTTGATACATTGATTGATTTTTCTAGTCTATCATTCTCCAGTTTTTCAAGTAATTCGAATTTAGATAGGAGTTGTCTTAAAACTGCCTCCTTTTCTTCATCTGTTTGTATCACATAACCTCTTAACCAAGTTGGAAGGTAATCTTCATGACCCAAAAGACCTTTCGGTACATCAAAATCAAAGTACTTCTTGAGGGACGTTGGGGAGTAATGGACATAATCTTTCTTTATTGATTTGATAAACATCGAATTTTTATCATCAGTAGTTGCTGCCGAAGGAATTTCAATGGTCAAATTAAATTTCGATTTCTTTGGTTTTTCATTATATAAACTGGGTATATTGCACGATGACTTGGCGCTACATCCATCCAATAAATAAATCCTATCAGTATCAGCTATGTTTTTGTAACTGTTAAATTTCGTTATAAACCAGTAAGTTGAAAGCGAGCATTTTTTATAATTGCTGGCACCATCGAAAAATATAAATACTGAACAGTTTTGAATCAATTCAGTTAAATTATTCAATTTATTATCATTAGTAATTGCAGTTTTAGCAAGCTTTAGGAAATCGAAATTAGGTCTTTTCACCAAAGTACTAGGTAATGGCAAATGTATCAATTCAATGTTGTCATTATTTTGAACCATATAATTTGGCATGTGGCATGAATTACTTGTTGAAAGATCAACAATCAACATTTTAGTGTTTGAATCATTAATTTGAAATTGTGAAATTGGATCAATAGAGTTTATGCTAATCAAATTCTTGATATGATATTCCTTTAATGTCAAATCGACTTTAGTTTTACTATTTGTAAAAGCAGCCGGTGCCTTAGAGATATAAACGTTTTGTGAATTGATAGTAGTTGATGCAATTTCAGCAGTGATCATCGTTTTACCAATATTATCAGTTAGTTTTAGCATTGGGAGCTTTAAATTACCAGAATCTAAATTTTTATTTTGAAATATCTCATTTGTTGAAATTTTACCAATACTGCTGTTACTCCCAGCAGATTTCGTTGGGAAGTTTCCAGACATATCAATTATGTATGACTATCAAAAATATTAATAAATTTATATGATTACTTCACCTTCCCTTGCAATATTCTTATCACAAGTTTCCAACTTGTTTCAATATCTCTTTATATTGATATTATCGCTTTAATAAAGACTGCTTCTAAAAATAGGTACTATTTTACTTCTAAACCTTTTGTAAGATTTTGAATAGAATCTAACTGTAATCGATCAAAAATCTTGAATAACACAATACAAAATCCATATATAGTATAAATGGGTCTTAGATTAATTTTCAATACCTCTATTATCAAACAACCAATCGATAATAGCTAACCTTTGTTTTTTCTTGTTCTCTTTACCTTTAATAATTTTTGGCACTTGTAAAATCGAAAACTTCACCTATATTCGTTTAGATCTGAAATCTATATACTTTCTCCCTCCCACCTTTGAAACTAAGTTATCAACAATATAACACCTAACTTCCAGTTCAATATTTCAAAATCAATGAACTAAAAGTCCCAATCACCACTTTATACAAATCTTAAAGCAGTTCTAAGCTGATAAAATCTTTGACCAACTATGAAATTCTTGAATTATTTATTAAATAACAATTGAGGAGTAGGCAAATTTTTGTCAATATTTGCTTTACAATATTTATATAAAGTAACGTAATGCATGTGAACCCTTGGAATTAAATCAAGATCAAATAATTGTTCAAACGTATCTATCCAATCAAGAATTTATCAAGTGTAACTTAGCCATTTTGAGGGTTACCTTCAAGAGTAACTGGTGGTTTCGAAAAGCTTAAATGAAATTGTACCTAAATTTAGATTAGAACGGTTAAATTCTACAGTAGAGAGAACAAGAAAGTTGATGATTTAGCAGGAGAGAGAGAGGATTTAGAGTAGTAAGACATGATGTGACGTTTTTAAGGTATAGATAGATATTTGTAGTGATTTTAAAAATCCACGTCAAATTTAGTATACTTTTTCTTTAATAATTGTCTTTTTATTTCTATTTGTCTCAGATTTTGATAAGTATAAGAGAGATAGGGAGACGGAATAGAGTGATATTTAGCATAGTTTAATTTAGTATAACTTAAACTATCTATAGGAAGCCTCAGAACTAAAAGAAAAATATTGCTATTTAGATCACAGATACAGAGTTGTACGTTTCAACAGTTAGTTATAAAGTTTGTTTATTTATCTATAATATACATTTTAACTATGCGTGGTAGTTCTTAATTTTTTTTTTCCCACTTCTATTTTTATTCGATATTACATTTTATTCTCCTATGCAATGTAAATCGATCGTAGGATAGTAGAATTGGGACTGTATTAGTCTGACATATCGACGTCTTCATCATCTTCATCATCTTCATCAGCTTCGTCAATTTCATCCTCTACAACCATTTCCTTTAGTTTTTGTTCTTCCTTATCTCTATCTTCTTCTTCCAAACTTTCTCTCATCAATCTTGCCCTTTCTTCTTTAACTTCTCTTTGTACAGTGACATATGATCCTAAAGGAGTTTTAGACCATGTTACCTCTCTTAAGAAATTCATAACTTCTTCTCTTTGAATTGGGGAGAAGTCGGCAGTGGATCTTTGTTCATCAATGTAATCACTATTTTTAGTCAATTTTTCAACGACATTAGATAATTGTTTGTTAAATTTAATATTCTTAGAAGCTTTCATATAACGACGTAAACCAATAATTGCAGGAGTACTAAATTCAGGGAATGATATATCTTTACAGTACAAAACAAAATACTCAGATATCAAATCAACAAATTGTTCCGATAAACCTTCTTGATAAGCTCTTGTATTTAAGTAAGCTTGATTACATTTAATGTTATGATCAAAATCAAAGGCTTCTAAGTTCTCTTTCTTTTTTGGGCTCTTGGTAAATGCAGTGGAGTTTAATATTTCAGATAACAATGGGTAAACTGGAACCATGACACTTGTGTTTTGAGACAATCTAATTAATGACCTTATCAAATAAAATCTCAATGGGAAATATTGTGGAGTTGGATTCAATCTAATTACACCAATTGTAACTTGGACTAATGGATAAACTAATTGACTCAATGGTGAACTTGCAGCATTTTTCTTCATGGAATTACAAGAAAAGGATAGTACACGAGACCAGAAATCCAAAGAATGACAAAATTGCCAATTGTAAACCAACTTGTAAGCATCTGCTGAGTTGACTTTATAGGATTTTTTTGTTGTTGTAGTCATGGCATTTCTTAATTGAATAGCCAGTTGTCTGATATATTCGAAACCTACTTGATAACTCAAGACTTCATCGATAGCAAATAATTCTGCCGCCGAATTTTTTTGGAAATTAATTAATGGCATTGTACGCATATTAGTTTTACGACAACTTTTAACAAATGTAGAATATGTTGCTCTTAAAACTAATTCTAAGATAGATTTCTTGAATTCTTTTGAAGAACTGTGGAGTAATGCAAATGTAGCAATTTGTGTTTCAACATCTCTTGTAGTAGCCCAAATTTCAACAATTGCCTTTATCATCTCTTTCAATAATCTTCTGTGTGATAGAAAGAATGGTAACAATTGATCGACTGAGTAAAGAACCAATGCAGCGGTTTCTGTATTTGTGATATCATTCAATAAAGTCAAAAGGGAAGCAGCATGAGATTTTAAAATAGATGACAATTTGGTTACAGTTTTACCAGTTTGTAAAATTCTAACATTCTTTTTCATTTTATATGGTGCCAATTTTTGAATAGCTTGAGGTAGACCCTTTAAACATAAGAACATTAATTCATGGAAGGCCTTTTCATCTGTAACAGTATATTTATATTCTGCAATATTTTCTTCTTTGTTCAAATTAACAGCTACTTTAAAAGCTGTAACAACATTTCTAATCAATTTCAAAGTTGGCTCTTCTTTTAATGATTTTTTCCATTTCAATACCAACTTCAAGGTCAAATCAATTTTTTCTTCAGCTTTTTCCATTGCTGGTTCATCTTTATTTTCATCAACTTTATTGCTAGTGTCTTCTTCTTCATGCTGATCAGCATCTTGATCATTATCGTCATTATCAGAACCACTAATTGCATCTAGCGGGTTTGATGCAGTGAAATCCAAAAGGTCTTTATCATTATCCTTTAAAAACTTGTAAAATTCTGGATCCTGTTCTGATAAGGCAGCCATGTTAGCTTCCATATCAACAGCTTCGTCTTCAGAAGAAGAGGAACTTTCAGCATCCTCTTCAACTATTTGTTTCTTATTCTTGTTCTTGTTCTTGTTCTTGTTCTTGTGCTTCTTGCCCATTTTTTTATCATCTTTACCTTCAAAACCACCATTGAAAAATTCTTCAACAGGCATATTTCCTAAATCTTCATCATCAGTAACCTTACCTTTTGTTGGTTTCTTATGAATCTTCGATTTCTTTGCATCATGTTTGATACTCTTAGATTCAAGCTTCTTTGATTTGGTAATTTTACCCATTTTCAAATGTTAGTGTTTTGAAGTTATTTCTTCTCAATCAAAATAGGATGAAGTAATATTCACTATTAGTAGGACTCAGATATATGCCTTGAGGATAATAAATATATCAAACTTTCTATAATAGTTGATAAATTAAATCTCATCTTCAACTCATCTCATCTCATCTCATCTCATCGCTTCAGTCTTTTCTTCCTGCTTTCTATTACTGAAAAATTTTCAATATCAAAGAAAATATCAAAGGCGGGTAACTTACAAGATAACAATGCTAACATAAATTCAGTGCCAGATCGAATCAGAGACCTACATGGTCATTGAAAACTGGAATAGAAGTTATAAACAGTGAAAATAATATATAGCCTCTATCATTATTACATCATTATATATATACAGATATATTTAAAAAAGATTAATGTTTATTCTATCTACAAATAGTTAAGCAGATATAAAATTTAAAATACTAATATACAACTGAACCGTGAATGAAATATTGAATACAATTAATAAATAGATTTCATCGGATTTCATCGTAGTTATTATAAAAATCATGATGGGATGATTACAAATATCTTATTATTATTATTTTATATTTTTTCCTTTGTAAATTACAACAATACTTCTTAATTTTCATCTTGAATACGGATTTTCAAATGAAAAGAACACGACTTTAATGAATTAATGTTTGCTTTAAAAGAAAATAAAAATGACTATGGCAAAAATATAGGAATCATGACTTATTGTTGGACATATTAGTCCTTATCATTTCATTGCACAATTGTATACTATTGATAATAAAAAAAAATTAGTAAAGGCCTTAAAAAAAAATGAGGTCTTTCAATATAGCAGTAAATGAAATTTTGTAATAACAGAAGAGATAAAAAAACATATGAGAAAAAGATAGCTTGTCAGCAACTGATAAAAATAATAAAGTAATAGTAAAAAAAATATTATCCTATATGCTATTTTATCATCATAATTCTAGCCACGGAGCATGACTAAATATATAATGGGTAAAACAACATAAGACAATCGTTCATTATCTCAAACAAATCACCACCATGAAGATTTGGCATTGGAACCAGCGCCAGCGTTAGAGCTAGAAGAGTTGCCCCAGCCAGATGAACCGGATCTACCCCAGGAAGAGCCGCCAGCACCGCCAGCACCACCAGCACCACCAGCACCACCAGCACCGCCGGATCTAGAAGAGCCCCAACCGCCAGCACCGCTGTTGCTGTTGCTTCTGGAGTTGCCCCAAGAACCGCCGTTGTTCGAGCCTGATCTACGGTAATCTCTATTACTGTTGTTACGACTTGAGAAACCACTGGTTCTACCACCTCTGCCAGATTCTCTCATGACATCGTTCAAGAATGGAGGAATTTCTTGGTTAGCTTCGGCCAACAATTCGTACATACCCTTGACAATGTTTCTGTTACCTCTGTTAAAGAAGGCAGTAGCAACACCGGTATTACCAGCACGACCAGTTCTACCAATTCTGTGGACGTAGTCATCAATGTCACTTGGCAAGTCGTAGTTAACAACGTGAGTAACATTTGGAATATCCAAACCTCTAGCAGCAACAGCGGTAGCAACCAACAAGTTAGCGTTACCGTTCTTGAAAGCGGCCAAGGCACGTTCACGTTCAGATTGAGTACGGTCACCGTGAATAGCAGTAGCTCTGAAGTCTTGCATGATCAAGAAATCGGTCAATTCATCGGCCATTCTCTTGGTTTCAACGAAAATCAAGGTCAAACCATCGTTGCTAGCTGACAACAAGTCTAACAAAGTAGATTTCTTATCCATGTCTTCGACGTATAAGATTCTTTGAGTAATGTTTTCAGAAGTGGAACCAACTTTACCAACGGACAAGAAGATATAGTCACTTAAGAAATCTCTGGCCAAATGTTGGATATCATCTGGGAAAGTGGCGGAAAACATTAAAGTTTGTCTTTCACCGACAGGAGGCATGTCACAACCGTCGACGATTTGTCTGATTTGAGGTTCGAAACCCATATCCAACATTCTATCAGCTTCATCCAAAACCAAGTATTTGACGTTAGCCAAGGAGACTCTACCACGTTCTAACAAATCGGACAAACGACCTGGGGTAGCGACTAACAAATCACAACCACGGGACAAGTCTCTAATTTGGGAACCGATGTCAGAACCACCGTAAACAACAGTTGGTCTGACCCATGATCTGTAGGTGAACTTTTTAGCTTCGTCGTAGATTTGAGTGGCCAATTCTCTGGTTGGAGCCAAGACCAAAGCAGTTGGGTAAGCTTTCTTGACAAAGGACTTTCTAGCGCTTTCAGGCATTGGAGAAGGACCGTTCTTGAAAGATTCTGATAGGACAGGGAATAAGAAACCACCGGTTTTACCTGAACCAGTTTGGGCACAGGCCATTAAATCTCTACCCCTGGATACGATTGGGACGGAGTATTTTTGGACAGGAGTTGGTTTGGTGAAACGGGCCAAGATGATGTTTTCCAATAACAAAGCATCCAAAGGAGGAGAGGTGAATTCGGTGATAGCCTCTGGGACATCAGTACCTGAGGCATCGACAGGGATATCGTCATAGTTGTCGAAGTTGATACCAGAAGATTGGAATTGAGGGTCTTCTGGAGTACCGAACAGTTGGACTTCTAAGTTTTGGTTTTTAGCACCTGGGACATGTTTGCCGTTGGTCCAAGAACCTCTGCCTGGGATTCTGTTGAACCCGCCACCGTTGTTGTTGTTGTTGCTGTTATTTTGGCCACCTTGGTAGTTGCCTCTTCTGTTGTAGGAGTTGTTACCACCTCTGTAACCACTACCACCGTTGTAGCCACCACGACGGTTGTTGAAACCGAAGCCAAAGTCGTTGTTGTTTTCAGAGCCATCAGATGGAGAGTCGTGTCTTGGTGGACCTCTTCTTTGGTTTCTCAAATGAGGTGGAACATACGATGAAGCATTTTTGTCATCATCGTTAATATTCAAATTTTGCACTTGTTCTTGCAAATCAGCCATAATAAAGTACTGGTTCTCTCTTTCTTTAGTAAATAACTTGCAGAGAATATGAAGAATATAAAGTTATACAAAAGAGTAAAACTGAAATAAATAGATATTTTAAATACTAAAAGAACCAGAAAAAGTAGGAAAAGTAGGAAAAGTAGAAAAACTAGAAATACTAAAATGAACTGTGAAGAAAAAAAGAAGAAGAAGATAGTAAACCAACCTTTGTAAATATAAAATAATGCTGATGAACAAGAGTAAGATAAAAATAAAAATAAGTGAAAGAATTCAAATTTCTTGTCTATTTGGAAAACTCTTGTGAAAAGTAATTAAAGTGGATGGTATAGTATATCCATACTCAATAGTCAATAATCCATAACCATCAATAATCAATTATCAGTAATACCATACATTACCATACATTACCATACATTACAAGAGTACCCGATATCATCTCTGTTCAGTAGCAGATACAATCAATTCGAAGACCAAAGCGAAAGAAAGAGAGAAAGAAAAAAAATTTTCTGCATTTTCTGTGAAAACGGCGCACGCCCGTTCAAAAATTTTTCATTTCCAATTTTCAACTTTCCAAGTTTCTTTCTTTTGTATGGCAGGGCCTGAGGAAGAGACAGATGGGTAGATAGAGTGAGATAGATAGAGTGAGCGTGAGAGTGATTGAGGGAGAACAAGAAAGGATAGACGACAGTGGTGGTTAGCGTAAGGTATTGTAACGTAGTGTAGGCTGTTACACTGTGAAGTTGGTAACCGTCGTCGACGTCTCATCGTTGGGAGGGCTCTTTTATTATTTCACTAATTTATTCTTATTCTTAGTCTTATTCTTATTCTTAAAAAGGCTCAATTTCAACACAAACAGACCTTGTCGTACGGTTTTGTCTTAAGATGCGATGCAATGCGATGAGATGAGATGCGATGAGATGAGGTGTCGTGGGTTGTGATGTGGGTTACCCGAGCATCTCGTCTCCTTTCGTTTCTTGTTTCCAGGTCGTCATCGCACAATCAGGGTAACTAGTATCGTACACAACGAGAACCGTGATATGTGATGTACGTGTTCAGTGATGACCAGCTTCTTCCTCTTCCTCTTTTATTGTTCATCTTACTTTATTTTGACCAATTTTATTATGGCTTTCCCCAATTAAAAAATAAAAAATTGTAGATTTTAGATTAAACTAAATTAAATTAGATATATCAAAAGGCAACTAAGTAAGTATATATATATATATACGACCCCTAACCCATATAATATACACTTCATAAGGCATACATAAACACCATATCATTCTCAATTGGTGATTACATTTGGGGATAAAGAATATTATACAATGAGTGTCTCACAGTTGCTGAGAAAATCAAAAATTGCACAAGTAGTCAATACAAAAAATCCACTATATGTCAGCAACAAATTCCATCCAACACATCAATTGATCACTACTAAACGGACAAATTTTAACCAAATCAATGACTGGGGTCTCAAATCACCAATTCCTTCAAGAGATAACTCCCGCTATTTAGTCTACAACGATCTAGACACCTTGGAAAGAATTGCAACTTATGAAAAAAATAATGGCCAACAATGGACAAGAATCAGATTCAATGAATTAAACCTCACTCCAACTTTCAACCCAGGTGTAGCCAACCCTTTGTTCAAAAGTAACTCAGTACAAACTGACAACTCCTCCCCATTGTCCTCGGTTTTGAATTTAAATTCAAATGCTAGCAGTAACAGCAATCGTTTGAAAATAGGAAATATTAAAAATCTAAGGTCAGATTTCAAAAAATGGTTATTGGACAATGATATAGACTCCTTAAAACATAACACTTTTAACGTCAAATACATGAATCGTAGCGCCATAAATTATTTAAATGACAAGAGACTTAATAATCATCATGACACAAATAGGAAATTAAATTTACCAACAAATAATATGACTCATGTTATAGGTACCGGTGGTTTATCTTATAACTTACGTGGTAAGTTGCAAAACACTCCAAATGGTATTAAACAAAAAACCATCGTCCCAGGTAGATATCTGAACGTAGATGGTAGTAAATGGTTAACTGGTATCGGTGGTATGGTAGGTTTCGAAAATTCTTCCTTCTCTCCAACTAGATTAGACAGAATGAACGCCGAAACAGCAAGGGAAAAGGCTTACCCATTCGAAGTGCAACGTATTTCCGTAGACCATAAGGGAAACATCATGATGAGATCAAGAGTAGTAAATGATAATTTAAATTCAAAATTCACTTATGCCCGTGAAGATTTCCAAAGACGTCCAAAATCATCAAGAAGAGCTGTAACAAAAGAAGAATCATCATTAAAGGCTAATGAATTGTTGGGCATAGTGCAAAGCTTCTAAGCAATTGCTTAAATTTTAACTACTGCTCGTCTTTTTTAACTCTACGACACTATTCACATTCTTGTATTTCTAATGGGATCGAAAAATAAAATCTTCAAAGATAGTATATATCAACGTTTATACAAGTCATCAATATCCATGTACATAGACTTTATAAATTCATTCTAATCTACATATAAAATATATTTCTTTCATGTTATAAATTATATCTTTGCTGTGAAGCGTCGGAGAAAGCTTGAAATTTTTATACAATATCAGAAATAAAAATCTAAAGTCATCGAAAAATCTCAAAACTATATATATGATGTATAGTTAAGTGATTCATCGATATGAGGACAGAAAGGTAAAACCCAAATACTTTAGGTAATCTAAGACTACATCAAAAGGACATACCTCCAACTTTAATATGTCTTTGATCAACCAATTAGTCTTTAAACGGTTTATGGCGATTCGTCCTGCTGTCAATGTACCTAAATTGAAAGGCAATAAACCAAAATTTGAGCGTAATATGCCTATAAATAGGAGAGTTAAAGCTTGGGAAAGAGCTGGTGAAGACAAAGACGATTTCTTCAGACGTAAGTATGCCCATGTTCATGCTAGGCAAAAAGAGGGAAGAAGAAGTTACGAGAAGCATTCTGCGAAGGAGGAAACGCAACCTCCAAGACAAAGCTTTTTTGATAGACCAAGAAGAAATGCTAATCCATCAAGGTATCTACAGGCCAATCCATTGTTAGAATATGTATATGGTACCAATAGTGTTCTTGCAGCTCTACAAAGTAATAAAAGGGAATATTTTACAAAACTGTATTATCATGGTTCATTGCAACCGGATATTGAGAATTTATCCAAAAGTCGTTCAGTAGAATTGGTTAAAACTGATAAACACAACTTAAATTTGTTAACGAAAGATGCTGTTCATAATAATGTTGTATTAGAGACGAAACCGTTGAAACCAATTGAAATTAATAATTTAGAAACTGTAAATACTGAAGATTGTACTTTTCAAATCACTGAACAGAGTTTAATAAAGAAAACCAAATCTATTGGATATATTAGCAACGAAAACAAGAAGTTCCCATTAGGTGTGTATCTTGATGAAGTCATGGATCCTCATAATGTTGGTGCTATCATTAGAAGCGCGTACTTTTTAGGAGCTGATTTCGTAGTGATGTCTCGTAAGAATTGTGCACCATTATCAGGAACAGTGAATAAAACCAGTAGTGGGTCTATGGAGTTGTTACCAATATATTATGTTGATAAGCCTTTGACATTTTTCCAGAAGAGTAGTGAAGAAGGAGGATGGTCATTCATTTCCAGTTGTATTACCGATGATATTATTAGCAAAGATAATAAATTTATCAAAAACAAGATGCTTTCATTAGAGGATCTAAGTGGTTTATGTAAAGAATTTCCTGTTGTGCTTGTAGTTGGTAACGAAAACACAGGTATTAGAACTAATTTACGAATGAGAAGTGATTTCTATGTTGAGATTCCATTTGGAAGGGATTCAGAGAGTGACAGTAACCGCCAAGCAATTAGTACAGTAGATTCCCTAAACGTAAGTGTTGCGACTGCATTGTTATTGAACAGAATATTGACGTAACAAAATATAGAAACATAAACATTAACCCGTCATGTTTTCCCTTCAAGAGACCAACAAAAAAATCATAAGAATCAGAACTCCCATGTATATATTATAAAATAGTAAAACAAGTAGATAGACAAATGATTTATTACAATTGTAATTGAACACCTCTAGAATGTAATTCCATAGGACTACACAAAAGCAGATCTCGTGATCATATTTACTGACGTAACAGTCTTACAATATTGTGACACTTGGAAAGTTACCCTCATCAACATTTGGCCATTTCCAAAAAAATTAAATATAAGACATAAAACTATACATTTCATCACGTGGAACGGACAATGACCCAAATAGGAAACCCCCCAAACTCAAAAGGAGAAAAAGGAAAAAGCGATTTCGAAAAATAAAAAAAGAAACGATAATGCAGTAGTCCTTCCATTATGACGCAACCAACAAGTGTTCCGTACACAATGAGTGAAAAATTTTTCTAACTTCATCTTAATCCTTCCAAGACGTAGTTCTGAACAGAACAGGACAGAACAGTGCAAGAACAAGAGCAAGAGCAAGAGCAAGAGCAATGCCAAATCCAAAACCAATGCCAATGCCAAAGGTAATACCAATACTAATGATTAATACCAACTAAATCACTGGAACTTAACTCAAATCAACTGTCTAATCTCTACGTGGATACTTATATTAAACATTGATCTCTGAGGTTTAATAACGTACTACTGTCCATCATCACTTAAGTGTAGAATAACTTTTCATTTAAGTATTCTCTACGTCGCAGTTTGGTCCTCTCTACGTTGTGTTTAAACTTTTCACTAAGATTGAGTAATCGAGTGATTGATAGATTGACTAGATTGATACGTTTCACTTTGCTTTGCTCTGCTCTGCTTTGCTCTCGCTACCTACATATCATTGGTACTCTAAGAACTGATTTGAAAATTAAATTTAAAAGACTGGTAGAAGGTTCTAGTTTTTGAAAGTTTTTATTGTTAACAATTGCAACGAACAACGAAATATCAGACTTTCCATCTACTTATCCCTCTCTTATCTCTTGCTTAGTCTGTGATTCCTGTTATCATTAGGCAAAATTTTTATTCTCTTTGTTTTGTTTTGGTTTAGTCTGCTTTAATTTATTCAGTGTATGTGTATTTTTTTTTTTTAAATTTGACGTTGATACTTCGTTATAATTTTGGAAATTTCGTTGTCTTTTTATATAACTCTCAAACTGTTTACGATCTCAAATATAAGTTGGCTAGTTTTATCCACATAGACAGAATTCGTTACGTTTATTAATTTGTTAATTGATTTTCTTTCTCTCTTTATATATTCATATATATACTCCTTTGCATTTATATTATTTTTTGTCAAGGTAGATACTGCTAGATCAGATCATTCTAAAGTAGAAAAAAAAAATATAGAGCCCTAGTGTGTTTAGAAATGTCTTCTTCTGGTAACTTTAAGATCAAACGTCCTGACGTTGCTGTCAGAGACAGAAAATTGGATACTTTAAATGTTCAATTGAAAAAAATTGATGAAGAAATTGCATTATTGAGAAAGCAAATTGATCAAAACCAAGTCAATGATGTTACTCAACAAGAAAGAAAAAAGTTACAAGATCAAACAAAGGAAATCATCAAAACTCAAGCTGATTTGAAAACTAGAAGAAATACTATCCATGAAAGTATCAAACAAATCGATTCTCAAATTAAAAGAAAGACTACCGAAATTAACGATAAGTTAGGTAAGAAATCAAAGTATACTTCAACTGCCGAAATTAAACAAAGATTGGCCCAAATTGAAGATTCTATCTCTTCAGGTGATTTATCATTAGTCGAAGAAAAAATGCTTGTTAAAGAAATGCAATCCTTAAATAAATTAAATAAGGATTTGGTTGCCATTGAACCAGTTAAAAAATCTATCGATGCCGATAAGATTAAAATCACTGAATTAAAGGAACAATTGAATTCAATGAATCCAAGAGAAGTTTCTGCTAAATTTGAAGATACTCAAAAAAGATTGAATGATTTACAATCAAAGACTCAAGGTGTTTACGATAAAAGACAGGCTCTATTTACTAAACGTACTGTTCTTTATAAAAAAAGAGATGAAGTTTACTCTCAAATTAGAAAAATTAGAACAGATTTCGATAATGAATTTAAATCATTTAAACAAAAAATGGAAACCGAACGTATTAAGCGTGAAGAAGAACAAAAATTATCTAAATTATTAGAAGAAAAAGATAATGCTTTAGGTAAATTACAAGAAAAATTAAACCATTCTAAAGTCCCAGCTTTCACTTTTGAAATTGAAGCTATCGAAAATTCTTTGACTGCTTTGGATCCAACTTACGTCAAACCAAAGAAAGCTTTGTTCACTGATTCTGATGATCCATTAAATGTTGATAACAGAACTGCTGTCAAACAAGTTGAAAATGATGATTTGGTCCCTGTTGCCAAGAAAGACGATGACGTATTCACTAATACTGCTCCATCAAAGTCAAAGAAATTCAAGAAAAAATCTCAAAATAAAATTTCTGCTGAACCTGCCTCTGACGGTAAATTCTCTCTAGAACCAACTTTGATTGCTACTTTAGCTGAATTAGATGTTTCAGTACCAATCTCTCAAGATTCCGTTGAAAAGACTTTACAAGAATTGAAGGCTAAGCATGAAGAATTTGTTGCTAAACAAGATGAACAAACTAAAATTAACATTGCCGATGTTGAAAAGGAAATTGCTCAACTAGAAATTAACTATGCTGCTAAAGAAGAACAAGTTAAGAAGGAACTAGAAGAAAAAAGAGCTAAAGAACAAGCTGAAAAGGAAGCTAATGAACAAGCTGATAAAGAAAACTAATTCTAATGATTATCAAACATTTGTCATTCAAAATGAAATAAAAGTAAACTAGGAAAAGTCATATCTTGAATTTATTTCATCTCATTTTGAATGCTAGCCTGACTCAGTCACATAAATTATATAGAGTCGATATAATGAAAATAGATAACTCATATATATCTAATAAGTAAATAAATATTAATCTTATTAACTTAAAATCGATAATCCGGCAGTACTGTTCACCTTGCCATTATTAATGTTACTATTCATTTTAAAAGTACTAATACAACTTGTGATGAATTTTTTTTGGTTCTTTACAGTCATCAATTGACGAACTGTAAATTAACATCAATTGGATGCGAAGCAGATAACTGAGGCTTCTGAGAATACTTACCAGTTAATTCTTGTCTCATATTTTGTAATAAAGATAGATACGTTTGCTGTGGTTGAGCAGACAGGACTTTTATGAATGCGTATGACATGGCACCAGTTGCTTGTCCATTTTCAACACTGTCAGCAGAAGTTTGATTATCTTTTGATCCAGAAAACATTATTACATCTGCTGAGCAAAATTTAGCTTGTCTCATTTGTTCTCTCTTCTGTTTGCCCATCCCCTTCCCTCTTGATACTTTTGTCACCATGTTTCCTAGAGAACTCATCATTCCATAAGTATTTCCTGACATGTAACATAATGCTGCCCCCATCGCATCACCACCGACATCCTTCATCATATTAGGTTCTTTAACGACACCTTTTGTTGAGTATATATATGGTAGGTCAAGAGCAGTTCCAGAATGACACGAGTCCATTAAGGCAGTTAGTCTGACACCTTGTTGTAAAGGTTTCACCAAAATATCATGAAGTTCATCATCTATAATTACACCTGCGGTGGCAAAATCTACAGGATATATGGTGCTATCGTATCCATCTTCCTCATCACCATCTAAATCTTCAACTTGACCACCATGTCCTGAATAATGGAAGAATAAAGCATCGTTCGGTTGGGCGTCTTTAACTAACCAATGCATTGCTCTGATCATATTGGCTCTTGTAGGCTGGCAAACAGGATTTGGTTGATCATCACTAAGAAGTACGATGTCTTCTTGTCTATAATTGCATCTTGTAGTTAAAAAGTTGAGAATATTGTGGATATCATTGATACAACCTCTTAGTTGGTTATTGGTACCGATATAGTTAATTCCAATCAACAAAGCTTTACGTCGACCTGTACATAAAGAGTACTGATAGGATATATTAGAACCTGCTATTTGTTGGGCTTGGACAGGTGGAGCGATTAAATTTGCAGGTTGATAATAGTCACTTCCTCTGGGCTGTCCATAGCCATATCCATAATAGTTGTTAGTTTGGTACATTGCTGACATATTGATAACCGTTACTGAGTATGAAAATGGAATTCAAACAAGACACTTAATTAAAATAAAGTTTGAATAAAAACAATGCTGATTCCATAAACTTGTATATTTATATATGTGGATATAGACTTGTCTCTGAAAAGAAGACATACGAACTCGTTGTTCTTCTTGTCCTCTTCACCTCAACTAGAAGAAGTCCATCACATAAGGAAGGAACCAAAAGACAAAGGAAAGAACCTCAAAATAAAGACTTGAAAATAAGAAACAAAGACAATCGAAATGCGGCTAATAGCCAAGATTACCTAATTTCCATATACCTTGACTGCCTTGAATTAAACTGAGATACCAACTCAATCAATAATGTAACACCAGAGAAACATCTTGGAATCTAAGCCCTTTTTTAAATATTTTGTACCAGAAGATGACAGGCAATAAATATAACCAGAGATAAGTCAACCTTTATTAGAATATGGGCAAACTTTTTTCACAAAAACAGTTTCACAAGATCACATCACCAACACCACCACCAACATCACCAACAAGAACAATGACCATTGTGCCATGACCCTTTCAAGCAGAAGAAACACTTCATGCCTTTATTTACTACCCACAGTTAGCCCCTCCTCTTCAGCAACAACACCAACATAACCCAATCCTCCTCAATATTTGCAATTACTTCAACAAGAACAAGAACAACAATAATATCAAGAACTGACATTACCCTTTTAGATTAGGAATCATTAACAATCAAACAGGCAAAGAAAGAGACATCACCCCCTCCTTCTTCCTGTAACATCAAAACAAGAACTGACATCAAATTCCAAATGGAAACTACAAACTAGATAAAACAAGAAAAGTAACAAGGTTTAATCGATAAACAGGAACTAGATTGTGGTGGTTTCTATACTCTGAATCAATTCACATCCAGGAAGGGTTTTGTAAATCACAAGCAAATCAATAAAAGAGAACAAGAACAAGAACAAAAAACACACCATCATTTATCAACAAGAACAAGAATCTAGATACAAGAAACCAGTTTTATCAACTCGTTTGGATCAAGAAAAAGGTTCAATTTTATATATAAAGGACCATCATAATCATCATCATCATCAGTAACAGCAAATATAGGAATATTTATAATAATCATAGTTGGAATAATGTCACTTGAGGAAGATTCTCATTGCCAGCAAACAACAGTGTCAGTTTGGATTATTCATCTGCTTTTAGAGATATTAAGAAGATTTTACAAGATAGCAATGACACACGGATCATATTTAAGTGCTATCCTTGCTAATTTAAGTTTGCATAAGTCTATAACCTCTGAATCTGGATCATCAAGAGGTGGTGACAACAATAATGTCACTGGTTCCAATAACAATAATGGAATTGATGGCATCGATAATAACAGTGGTGGAGGTGGAGGTGGTGGTGCCAATGGTAGATCTGGGACCAATGTGACGTTTGGGAATGAATTGCATATTGTCAAATATTCTTTGAAACATTTAAATGAACTACCATTAGTATTCCCTTTAATGATTGACAAGTCAAATGGTATCGGTAAGAATTTATATCATCAAGTTTATCCTGCGAATTCTGAAGGTCCTTTGAACCTAGATTTGAATCTTGGTGTCGATATAGCTAATCTTGATGGTTCTGAAATTGAAAAAATTAAAGACTCAAAGGGAAGATTTAGCATAAGATTGACTTCCTTATTAGATGCTTCAAATTTAAATTTTTATTTTGAAACAATGATAAGAAAAGTAGGTCCAAATTCACAAATTGTTATTGCTCGTTTTACCAATGATAACGATCCAATAATATCAAAAATACCAGAAAATGTTAAACCCATAATCTTTAAATCAAAAGTAATCTCAAGGATTCATGGTTGTTTTAAAGTAGATTCTCAAGGTAATTGGTTCTTACATGATCATTTTTCTTCAAGTGGAACTTTTTTAAATAATGAAAGATTATCATTATCAAAATCAATATCAAAAGATTACCCTTTAAAGGATAAAGATATCATACAATTTGGTGTGACTTTAAATGATTCACAGGGACAAATTTATAGATGTGTGAAATTAAGAGTGGAATTAAATAATTCTTGGAAAAGAAATAAAATTGTTCCAACAAGGACTCAATCGATTATAAAAAATTCAAATTTACCTTATCTACAAAATGAAGAAATTTGTTCAATTTGTTTAAATAATATTGCTATTCAACAACCAGTATTCATATCGCATTGTTTCCATTTTTGGCATTTTAATTGCATTATGCCAATAATACAAACTACATATCCTCAATTTAATTGTCCAAATTGTAGATCATTCATAGATTTCTTAGATGCCCAAAATTCTTCAGATTCCTCAAGTGACGAAGAGAACGAGCCTTTGGATCAAGAATTTGAATGTGATTCAATATAGATTATTAATTGATCCTACCATTCACATTACACATATAACTGCTGTCATCTAAAAAGTTAAATTAAAATGATCACATTCAAAACTATCCTCTGCATTCATCAAATATATTTCAATTCATCATTAATTTAAATATAATATATATAAATATATCTACATTTATATAGATATTTATATAGGTATATAACTCATAAAATGTAATTTTATCATAAACACCAACAAGGGATTAATTATTTACAGTATGAAGATGGGAATAAACCTTTAGCCCCATTTGATTCACCATATGTCCAACCAGAACCATCATCTCCCCTTATGACTTTGATGGTCTCACCTTGACTTATACTCAATTCATCATCCCCAGCTGCTTCATAATCATATATTGCCTCAACTGTTCGAATAGAAGCTGTAACTCTTCTGGATGGTGGTGCTGCAGGAGCAGGTCCTCTTGGACTGTTGCTAGCTTTTTGATTGATTTCGACATATGAAGTAGGTACCAAGCCAGTTTCACCAGTTGTGTTATTTTTAATTCTTGTCCATCCAGATCCGGTATCAGCGGTAACTAATGAAATAGAATCTTCCAGTGAAATATCTATTTCATCATCATCTTGTCTGGTATATGAAAACAAAACTTTATTTTGTTCAGAATTCCCAGTTCCTGCATTTGCTGATCCTGTGTTAACTGAAAAAGTGTCAGAGGCAGCATTTGTTGAAACATAGTTAGAATCATCATCAAAATCACTGGTTTCTCCCCCATCATTACTTGAAACTGCTGAAGTTCTTTTATTAAGAGTACCTCCAATGGAACCAAATACTGAACGATGAGTTTTGTTACTATTTCCACTATGTGGTTTAGAATCATTTGATTTTAAACCTTGTTTAAACATACTAAAGAAGCCAGTTTTCTTTTTCGTACTGGATATATTAATATTATCAGTAGATAAATCAAATTCACTGGGAGTGTTATTTTGAATACTTTCAATCTGAACTTCAGATTTAAGTTTCATTGTTTCATGATTTGTGAATGATGAAACCAGGCCAATATATGTTTTCATATTATCGAAAAACTCTTGACCTTTTATATTATCTTCGTTGGATTTCATTTCCTGCTTTTTCTTGTTCAAAGAAGATAACTGAGAAAATTCACCTTTTGCAAGATCATTATTTTGATTATACTCTTTTTCAGCTACTGCCAATTTCATTCTTAAATCATTGGCTTCAACTTGAGAAGGAACAACAAACTTCTCATCATCATGCCATATAGGTGAAGGTCTATATTGGAAATCTGCAGGTTCTTTCCATTGTTTAACGTTGTGCTTAATGAACATAGCTGTACTTAACGATGGCTTATTTTGAGAAAGTATAGTGTCTGCAGTTTCTAATCTTTTTTGAACTTGCAATCCCAAATTAGTTTCAAATGAAGATGCTTGTTTTAAGATTTCATTCAAGAAGATTATACGAACTTCATTTAAATCTTGCATCAAATCCAATGCTTCAGGAACATCTTGGAAATAATACTTATCTTTAACTCTATTAGCCTGGTTGATTTTAATTAAATATGCATTTTTTGCTATATTCATATCTGTTTCTTTCTCAGCTAACTTATTCTTGTTTCTTTCATTTGGTGACTTTGTATTTTTGTTTCTAGCATTTTCCATAACTTGACAACTTTCATCATACGCCTTTTTGGATCTTTCTAATTCGTTATAGACATCGTTACGTCTATCAGTCATTTCTTTTCCATACCCTTGAATTTTAGATAAAGTCATATCCACTTTGGAGTGTAATCCAGATAATTGACCACCTATTTGACCGTCGAATTCTTGAGCTAATTTCCCATGTTCTTTAGCAATCAATTCTGTTTGAGCTAAGATTTCATTCCATGTCACAACAGAAGCTGCTTCAATTGAACCAGGTGAAGTTGTAGGGGTATCTCCCACAGATAATGGTACTGAACTGGCACTCTTCTTATTAAAATACTCTCCAGTTAAATGTAATAATTTCTCACAGTACTCCTTCTCTAATTTAGCCCTTTCCCTGTAAAACGATTCTACTTCCTTTAACCATTTAACATTGTTATGGACCCATTTATCGGTCTCCTTCAATGAATCCTTCAATTCATTACCAATTGACAATTGACCTGACATTACAGCTAGTTAACAGATCAGTATAATATAATCTCAGCGAAGTTTTGACTGTTGGCAATACCTATAATTAGCCAACAAAATAATATTCAAAAATTAACCTTCTAAACCAGACTTTTTTCAACCTCACACAAACAGTACCACTACAAACAACAATTAATGACTAAATGATACTATCTGCTTAATATCAACTCTTATTC